TGTGAGGATTTCCTTATATAACATCAGTCTTAAAACAGACTTTTAGGAAGATCTTAAATTTCATCTAACAGAAGAACCTGGTAAATTTGATACTACTATTATTTGTTGGTTTACATAGAAGTTCCTATCTAAAAATTTAGATCTATTGGACCAAAACATGTAGCTTAATAATTTGTATTGTAAGTGTGAATGATGCTTCACCACCCAAGTTCAAGTCTACATAATGTTTGTCCTTAGTTTGAAATTTAGGTGTAGTATTTTTTCTTTTCTTTTAAATTGACGAATATGTATATTTGCATAATCAAACACACTTGCCAACAAATCTTTACGGCTTCCTGTGAAACACGTTTTAAGAAATTTATCCACAAATATAATTTATTGAAAATGAAATTCTTAACAAAATAATAACAACTAGATGTTTTGGGCTAGCGATGTCGTTGAGCAATAATTTTTTGCCATACCTGTGGAACCGGCTAAAATATCTCAATCTGCTCGATCGCATTCACAATAATATGACATGTGCTCGCATTCAATCTTTGGCCAGTGTTTCCCTAGAAAATGTACGACCAAACATGATTACATGACCATAACATTTTATGCAAAAATAAATTGATAATAGGGGAAATTTCAAAACTACATCTCTTGAGGTGCAAATTTTCAAAAATACACCTCTATGGTGCCAATTTTCAAAATTACACTTTTTCATTTAGTAAAAGAACTCTAAACTCTAAAATATAAATCCAAAACCCTAAAATCTAACATTGAACCCTTAAATCTAAACTCTAAACCCTAAAATCTAAACCCTAATATAGGATTAGTGAACCCAAACATATATATTAAAATTGGGAAAAGGTGTATTTTTGAAAATTTCCACGCTATAGGTATAATTTTGAAAATTTGCACCTCAAGAGGTGTATTTCATAAAATTTATCTTGATAAAAACAAGCCATCTTTCATTAGTCCTATAGTTGTCTAGATTTTAAATATACTTAAAATCTGGTTTTGTGTTGGTTTATGTAAAGTTAAACAATTTGAGACTATAAATTTGGACAATTTGAAACCGCATACTAAACCCATTATATAATTTTTTTTTTTAAGATAGTTTATTATTCACTCCAAGCCAAGTGATACAGCAAATCTCGACACTCTCTGAGAGAACTAGACCCCAAAGGCGTATGACGCCAGAACTATTTCATGTCACACAAAAATCGTTTGAAAACATTCCAAAGTATTAATTGATGTAATTTTTTTTATAAATTTAATAATTTATGAAAATGTGAATGTTTGCTTTCCAAAGGTTAAACTATATATTAGCGAGTTTTTTCTTTTTTTTGGGAAAATAACTCGCTAACATGCAAAGCTTTTTGAAGAATATGATGACATTCTTGACTGACTCAAAATAGTGTAACAAAAATCGAAAATTTCGTCCCAAACAGATAAAAAAATTAAAAGGGAGAAAAACATGAACAGTTCTCACTACTCTCTTGATAACGATTTGAGTGGACAACATAAATACCTGGAAAGTATTTGACTATTATTATTTTTTTGAATTATGACATATATTTTATTATATAGTAGAATATAAAATCTAAAATTCAAAAAAAAATCCGGGTCCTATAAATAAAAGGTGCCGCTACAGTCCAACTCAAACCCAAACCATTCATAAGATAGCTTCTTGAGACATTAAGCAAAAATGTAAGTTTTTCATTCAAATATCTTTATCATGTTTTCAGACGAATCTTGTCTGAGTTTTCGTTTTTCTCTTTTTTGATAAAGAACGATAGAATAATTTTCGTTTTTCTCTTACTTATGGAACAGGGAAAATGGTAGCAAGAATTTAACAAAAACAGAAAATGGTAGCAAGAACGTGTTGAAGCCCATGGATTCAGAGCAATTGAGAGATTACGGGCATCGAATGGTTGATTTCATTGCTGATTACTACAAAACCATCGAAAATTTCCCTGTTCTTAGCCAAGTTCAGGTCACTCTTTTTTCTTTCTTTTCCTGTGAAAATCAATTTGTTCCACTTGGATCAGGGTTTATTCACATTATTTAGTTTACTTGTTTGATGCAGCCTGGTTATCTTCATAACCTTTTGCCTGAGTCCGCACCAGACCACCCTGAAACGTTGGAACACGTTCTTGATGGTGAATTAATTTTTTAACACCTTTTTTTTTTCCTATGAGCACTTGATCTGATTTGAGTTATTTTTTTTTATCTTTTTTTTTGGCAGATGTTAAGACAAAGATATTTCCTGGACTAACACACTGGCAAAGCCCGAGTTTCTTTGCTTATTACCCTTCAAACAGCAGCGTTGCCGGTTTCTTGGGGGAGATGTTGAGTGCTGGTCTTGGAATTGTCGGTTTCAGTTGGATAACTTCTCCAGCTGCCACAGAGCTCGAGATGATTGTTCTTGATTGGCTTGCCAAATTACTCAACCTACCTGAGCAGTTTCTGTCCAAAGGTAATAATAGCTATAAAAGAAAAAATTAAACCAATCTTGTCAAGAACAATCCTCTTACGCTAAGTGTGTTGTATTGTAGGAAATGGAGGTGGAGTTATCCAAGGATCAGCTAGTGAAGCTGTTCTTGTTGTTCTTATCGCTGCTCGTGACAAAGTTTTAAGAAGCGTTGGCAAAAAGGAGCTTGAGAAGCTCGTTGTCTACTCCTCTGACCAGACACATTCAGCTTTTCAGAAAGCTTGCCAGGTGAGATAATTTGAAGATTAATTTTCATCAAACAAGTTTTTATTAAGCTAAACATTTTTGTTGTTGTTGCTGTTGACAGATAGCTGGAATCCATCCAGAGAATTGTAGGGTGCTGAAAACTGATTCTTCGACGGATTATGCTCTTCGTCCAGAATTTCTTCAAGAAGCTGTTTCTAAGGATCTTGAAGCTGGATTGATTCCATTCTTCCTATGTGCTAATGTAAGCATTAGCCTGTTAATCCAACTCTTACACAGTAGAAACTCTATAAATTAATACTATTGGAACTTAAATATTTTATTAGTTTATAGAGGTTAATTTTAATTTATACTAAAATATATTTCTTATTAAAAATAGTTAAAAAGAAAGTATAATATGTTTGAAAAACTGTAATATATAGCCTCTTACTTAGTTACTTAAAATGTATGTTCTCTGAAAACATTCACTTGCTGTTTCCACAGGTTGGAACCACTTCTTCAACAGCAGTTGATCCATTAGCTGCACTAGGAAAGATCACTAAGGTTAATTCTGATGAGATTCATAGGAAAAAAAGGAATAATTAATTAAGAAACTAACTGATATGCTATATATATATATATATATATTGATATGATTACTGCTTTCTCAGAGCAATGAGATGTGGTTACACGTGGATGCAGCGTACGCGGGAAGTGCTTGTATATGTCCAGAGTATCGACAATACATTGATGGTGTTGAAAATGCAGACTCTTTTAACATGAATGCTCACAAATGGTTCCTCACTAATTTCGATTGTTCCCTACTTTGGGTCAAGGTATATTATATATATAGCTCAAATTTTTATTCTGGAACACGTATTTAATAAATTTGTCGACATTTGAAACAAACAGGATAAAGATTCTCTCACTCAAGCTCTTTCAACAAATCCAGAGTTTCTCAAAAACAAGGTAAGAAAGATTTTGTGCTCATGATCTTTCTTCTTTGAATCTATTATTAGATTTATCATTTATCCCACTTTTTCTTTTCTTTTTTATTTTGTTACCAGGCCTCTCAGGCAAACTTGGTTGTTGATTACAAAGATTGGCAGGTCCCTCTCGGACGAAGATTCAGGTTCTCTTTCCTTTTTTTTGTTTTGGCGGGAATTCAATTTAAACTTTTTTGTAAGAGAATTTGCATATAAATAAACAATCTGTTTTTTCTTTTTGGTTTGTTTGTGTTTTTTGGACAGATCACTGAAACTATGGATGGTTTTAAGGCTATATGGAGCTAAGACCTTGAAGAACTATATAAGAAACCATATCAAACTTGCTAAAGATTTCGAACAACTTGTCTCTCAAGATCCTAACTTTGAGGTAACTCTAAAACTTTCTTGAAGAATTAATACTCTTGACAAGAAGGTATAAATTTTTTTTTTCTTTGTTAATTTTTAGGTTATCACTCCTCGGATCTTTTCTCTCGTCTGTTTCCGTATCGTTCCTACAGAGAATGATGAAAAGAAGTGTAATAACCGAAACCGCCAGCTCCTAGAGGCAGTTAACTCCTCAGGGAAACTCTTCATGTCTCACACTGTGAGTGTGACCTCTCTCTGTTTTTTCTCTTCTCTCTTCTTGTTTGGTAATAATAATGTATGGCATTTGCGTGGGAAACAGGCTTTGTCGGGAAAAATCGTATTACGTTGCGCCATAGGAGCGCCATTGACGGAGGAGAAGCACGTGAAGGAGGCATGGAAGGTTATACAGGAAAAAGCTTCTTACTTGATTCACAAGTAAAATGAGATTGAAAATTCGAATAAATAAATGGGTTTTTGCCAACAAACCAAAGAAAATTGGTTTGGTTTGGTTTGGTATAATCATATAAAATCAAAATAAAAAACCAAAGTTGGACTTACCAACTTCGGTATGATTCTGTAACCATATAATATTGTGTGAGTGTGTGTTTTATCAATTTCTTTTCCCAATTGTGTGTATTTTTCTCTATTGCCGTTTACTATACGTAACCAGTGGCAATAGACTTATTGTAATTTGTAAACATATAACAAAATCTACTAAATTTTTATCAATTATTTTACTGTTACAAGTTGAACATGTACAAGTTTATTATTAGTCTGTAATAATGTCCTTGTTATGACTTCACCGATTTCAGATGTGGTCGTGACTAGTGAGAGCGTATGAGTTGCAAATAAATAAATAAAAAGAAAAAAAAAATTAATGGAGAAAATGAAATGGTCACTGGCTAAATCAGTGGTAAAGTGTTGTGAATTAATTTGAGCTAAGAAGATTAGTCTTTCAAAAACAACAATCATAAAGCTTAGCCAAGTCAAGCCAAGTTGAAACAAGCTAAGTCACGAAGAATTCCATCTTTGATGGCTTGGAGAGTCGGTGTTGCTTCCTTGGCCTCTACGTCAAAGAGAGACTTCCAGATCTCCAAAACCTCAGGCTCAATGGCATCCCTGTCAAAACCATTCGCCTCAGCAACACCCTTCTTCTCCACACACCCCAACTTCTCCTCCAACTCCTTCACCGTTGTCTCAACAGGTCTCGTACACTCTCGGCCACATTTTCTTCCTTGTTTGAGAGAGAGTGCCACGCTACTCAGACGCATGAATCCACGAGAGAAATCCCTCCGAGTCCTCACGACCGATTTCCAATGGACAGAATTCTTGCCATGCACTCCAATCTTGGTTGGTTCCATGTATCTCGTGTAGACATGATGCATAACAAGAAGCAGCCTATCCAACACGTGGCCTGTCCTTGTTGTATCTCTCCATAACCTATTGCAAAACCTCAACATTTTACGAATGTCATCACACAGCAAGAACATGTATTGTGCCACGTAGAGGCAGAGCTCAACTCCTAGTCTCACAACCTCCTCTTTCGCTTCCTCCGTTTTGAAATCCTCCCCGAGAATGTAAGGAGGATGTATGCGCACTAGTCCCGGTATATCAGCTTCCTTCCCTTTGCCCAAAATAGGAGTAAACGTTTCTCTAAGCGCCCTACTCAGTACCACTTCGGCTGCTTCCTTATCTTCTACATCAAAGAGAGACTTCCACAAGTCAGAAATGTTAGACTCTAACGTCGCCCTCGCAAACCCATTCACATCCTCCAGTTTATCATCTAGCCTCTTCAGCACGTCTTGCTTGAATCTCACAATAGCCCTAGATATTTGACAACCATCAAAACCGTCAGGATTTCTAATGAGAGCCAACCAAAGGCGTCCCAAGATTAAGATCCCGGCACCGAAATCCTTCCAAGCCGCCCTGATCAAAGCAAAAACTCGCTCCTGATCATCAGAGCTTCCACAATCATCCTCACCATTGTTCTTCTTCTTCGGTTTGATGTCTTTGAAGTAGACAAAATGCATTACAAGAATCAGCCTGTCTATCACGGGATTCCTCAACGGTGTCACATATCTCAATAACCTATAGCAGAACCCTAACATTCTACTAATGTCATCACTTAGCAAGAACATGGATCGAGCCACGTGTAAAGACAGCTCAACTCCTAGTCGCACAACCTCCTCTCTCATCTCCTTCTTCCCAGAAACATTCACCGGCGTGTATGGATAATATCTGTACGATCCAGCCAATGGACGGAGACGACGCATAACAGCTGATGTCTTGTTTCTTGATGATTCCATCTCCGACTCCGACCTTTTCTTTCTCTAATAATTCAATAACATAAAAACAACGATTCAGTAATTATACAATCAAAACGCAATTTCCACAGCTTACAAAATAAATAAACCAAATTGATGCTATCAATCATAAACATTTAATGATCCTAATTCTATCTTTCATTTTTGAAACCCTAAATACCAAGATAAACTGGTAACTTTACATCCACTCTGTCTTTTTTTCTTCTTACAGATTCACTACAAGTGAGAAAGCTTTTGGCTTTTGCGGTTAACAAGAAATTCACCCACAAATCAATGGTATTGCCACAACTACGTCTAGAGATTCAATTTTATTGACACGAAATTCAGAAAAAAAACACACAAGCAAATGAAGAATTTGATCAGAGAGATAAATTGGGTTTCCATAGGGTGAAAACGAAGCAGAGAAACCCTAAATGGAACATTGTTTAGGGTTAAGAGATTCAGAATCCAGTGAACTAAACTAAATGAAATCCAGATTCCGAATTCAGAGTCTATACACCAAACCAAGCACTCACCAATTCGTCGTCCTTCTAGGCAGATAATTTCTGATGTTTCTATTTCTCTTATCGGAATTTTCTTCTAAACGTAATAGCATTTATATAAGCGTGATTTAGGGCTAAACCATCAGGAGCTCATGTAACACTCTTGTATTAATTCGGTTGGATTTTGACAAACCGAATTGGTTTATGTTGGTTTACTATAGCTGTATTAACTATTTCTCGACTTTTAGAGATTATTGGAGAACGATGGTGAAAATGTGAAGAACGATGGTGATTTCGTTGACACCAAAGAGATTTTGGTCATTGGAGTCTCCTTGAGAAAAGGTAATCTTTAGAACAAAATTTGGCTACTTCAAAAATCTTAAAGTTCCTTCCAAAAAAAACATAAATATGCCTAAATTACACATACACACAATGTTAAACATCTTTTTTTACATATATTTCCTTTTTCCTTTTTTATTTATTTATAATGCCAAATAAATAGGAACTATATGACAATTTCATTTTTCCTTTTTCTTAATGGCTCACGAAAAATGCCAAATAATAGGTAGCAGTTTATGACAATTTCCAAATATACACCAAATCCTAGTTTTATCTGGATCATCTTATATCTTATACTAGATTAGGCCCTGCGTATACGCGAGTTTATTTTAATATAATTGAAATAAATCATAGGAAAATACTAAACAAAAATCTGGTCACTTTTAAAAATAAGTAGAATAATATTCAAAAGATTATTTTGATTATTATAATTATAATATTTAATTATAATTGATTATTCTAATTTAAAAGATTTCGATTGATGAAATCTTTTTCATAATATTGTTTTACCTACCAAAAAACAGAAAATTAATTTTGTTTTGCCTCATACCATTATAAATTTTCTTATTCATAATTAGTTAGTTGTTTTAAAATTATTTTGTTAGTTTTTTTATTTATCTTATTACATTTTTCTAATTTTCTTTTGTTAACACATGTTATCACATGATCATATATTAGAAAAAATTTGCGACAAAATTTTCAATTTCTACCCAAATTATCTAAAGTTAAATATTCTTTATTGATATCTTGAACTTTAAAGTACATGATTTTTATTTTGTAATAAAAGATAAAGTTTAAACAAAAGATAGAATCACGGATATAAATCATGAAAGCTATAACTTATTATATCTTTTTTTTTATTCCTTTTCTTAATGGGAATATGTTTTTTCTCCTTTTCTTAACAGATGTAACATTTTTTATTTTATTATTTATTTCATGTTTTTCTGAATATCGATTATTTTTCCTTTTCGTATTGGGAGTATATTTTTTTCCTTTTCTTGATGGATATAACATTTTTAAAAAAAATTGCTATTTGTTTCCTATTTTTCCTTGAATTGTGTTTTCCTATTTCAAAAAAATGTAAAAATTTGATGTTAATCTATTTATATTTAAGTAAAATAATTAAAATTCTTTTTTTTTCAAAACACGTGTCACGATCTTAACGGTCTTAACATTAAAAGTGACACATGTCACGATCATATAATTTATAAAAATCCTACGTGTCGCAACGTATATACTCAAAGAAATAAGCATAAACCTAAAGATGGATCCACAAGCGAAGAAACAAAAGCTTAGAACATCAGAAATCGCAAGTCCCTCTCTCTCAAAGATGGAATTAGAGAACGAGCAGAAGAAGAAGCAAAACGACGTCGCCATGTTTCTTACGGAGAGGGTAATCTCCGCCGTAGCCACAAACTCAAACTTTGTCTTCTCTCCCGCATCAATCAACGCCGTACTCACCATGGTCGCTGCCACCACCGAAAACGAAACACTAAGATCCTTGATCTTCTCCTTCCTTAGATCTTCCTCAATGGATGAGCTCAACGCCGTTTTCCGCGAGGTGGCTACAATTGTCCTCGACGACGGAAGCGAGAGCGGTGGCTCTAAGGTAACGTCCGTCAACGGAGTGTGGGTGGAGCAAACCCTAACTATTAATCCCTCGTCGAAGGACCTCCTTGAGAATTTTTTCAAGGCTGCTTTCTCTCAAGTTGATTTCCTATTCAAGGCTGAAGAAGTTCGCAAGGAAGTAAATTCTTGGGCTGCACGTAACACCAGTGATCTCATCAAAGAAATTCTTCCTCCTAGATCCGTCTCAAGCTACACCACGTGGATTTATGGAAACGCATTGTACTTCAAAGGAGCATGGGAACACAAATTCGACAAGTCTTTGACGAGAGACAAAGAGTTTCAGCTTCTTAATGGCACATGTGTCTCTGTTCCCTTCATGAGCAGCTCTAGGAAAAGGCAATACGCAAGTGGTTACGACGGTTTCAAGGTCCTTAGGCTCCCTTTTGAACAAAGCGGCGATGCAAATCGCAAGTTGTCAATGTATTTCTATCTCCCGGATGCAAAAGATGGATTGGATGATCTTGTGAAGAGAATGGCATCTACTAGTGGGTTCTTGGACAGTTACGTTCCAAGTCAAGCCAGACTTGGCGAATTCAGAATCCCAAAGTTTAAGATCGAGTTCGGGTTTGAGGCTTCAAGGGCTTTCAATGAATTGGAACTGGAAGAGGCCAGATTGTTCCACAAAGCTTGTGTCGAGATGGATGAAGATGGTGCAGAAGCTGTGGCTGTAACTGCTAGAACATTAAAATGTGGAGCACGTCGTTTTCTTACGTGAGATGATGGATTTTGTGGCTGATCATCCATTTCTTTTCTTGATTAGAGAAAACCAAACCGGAACTATTTTGTTCGTTGGTCAAATCTTTGATCCTTCCAAATCTCCTTTTGCTTAGGACCAAGATTTGATGTTTTGTAGTTTTTTAGATTTGGATTCCTGTATTTTTTAGACTTTTTATGTTAGGTTTCAACAAATTTTACGACTATAGCCGGGATCGGTTTTGTGACTGATGAATTTGATATTGCACTAAACATTAAGGTTGAAGTAATAACATTGTAATTAAACATTAATCTCAGTAACTTTGGAGTTTATTTGATACGCACAAATCTTAAAAGGTGCCCCTGAAATCCTTAATCCATTATTAGTTTTTATATATTTAATTTAATTTAATTATTATAAACGTGAAAAGTTAAACCATTCGTTAATTCTGATTATTCTGAACTTGCGACAGTGACTTGTGCAAAAAGCAATTCATTAAAAGTGAAAACAAACTTGTGCAAAAAGCAATTCATTAAATATTTATTTTGTTAATTTCCTTTTCAATTCATTAAATATTTATTTTGTTAATTTCCTTTGTTAATTTTTAAGGCTGGGTTTGGTTTAGTAAGCAATCACAATATTTAACCTAGAAGTCTTTGTCCATTCCCAATTCAAATATTATCTTCAAAAAGAACAACCCCGAAGCCCACATCAATGATCCTAGGTACGACCATATGGACCGCATCGAGCTCCCCTTTCCAGCGCGGGCCCCTAGGACAAACGTCCATCTGGATGTCCCAGAGACACATCCTGGATTCTTGGAAGGTAAGTTGTACAAGGCTATCTTTACGACTTGCAAAAAGAAGAAAGTAACTTTGCAACGCAAAGGGGATCGGTTGGAAATTGTTAAACTCGTTCTCTGCTGCGAGGCTAAAGATTAGCAGCTTGGAGAGAGTTCTATGTCACTTAAATCATATGTGTGGTGGATAGAATTTTTTGTTAACAGACTTTTGGATTTGTTGAAAACCTTTGCGTCTTTAAGATTGTTGAAAACATGTGCTGTTTGTGTGGCTATATATTGTTCTTCTGCTTGCAACTTTTTTACATTACTACGATCTTAGTGAATATACTCGATTTTCTTCTTTCATGGTTCACTCTTTATTTTCTTTGTATTAGCTACTTGAAGATTCCAAAATTTTGGTGTAGAAAAGTTGCCTTGAAAGAAATCAGAATTTCTTTAGAAACGCCTTAATAATTTCGATTAAGAAGTGTTTGTAGCTTTCGCAAGAATGAGCTAGAATCTGAAAAGTGAAATCACAAGATAGTTTCTCAATCGTAGACTGTTCTAATTGGGGACTAACTATCCAGTGTCTACGCATTATGAAGGAGTTTATGATCATTAATTAATCTTGGTTTATGAATGAGCTTCCTTTTAATGAATATATCTACGTATTACAAGCTCTTTTGGCGAAAGAAAAGTAGAGTAAAAAGGTAAACTTTACTTACTATTTCAGTAAACTTTCGCTTCCAAATTTACCAAATGTGAAGAAAATTAGTGATTTAATCTAGAGATTAGCTCGACACAAACGAAGAAGCAGGTTTTAAAATACTATCCACATGCTTCGGTGTGTTTGCTTTGTTGTCAATGTGTGTAATTAGATCTATTTCTTGTTTGGAGTAAAAATCGTTTTCTTAAATTAGCAGCATTCTTCATAATTAACACACATGATTATATATTTACCAAGTAGTTTTGGGATAAATTTAATCATATTAATACACACACATTGTTATAACTTGTTCAGCAAGAAATAGTCATTAGTACAACATATACACTACGAATATTATAATATTGTTCTTGGAAGTTTTACAATGATTACTTCACACAACAGACTTTTTCCACTCATTTTATCAGCAGAAGTCATGGGATTTTCCCGGAAAGTTACTCAATTAATTTAATTTTTCCTGGAAATTTACTCTTTTGTTCATATTGATAGAAGTAGAACCCAGATGTCCAACACTAAAATCAATGGCATGGAGAACAATTGTTTCTAACATAAATTTTTCCTTTTCCTTTTTTTCTTCTTGAGATAATTCGATAATCTTTTAACTCCTCCAAATCCTTTCTTCATTTTCTTTTTCCTCGGTTTAATCCTTTTCTTGTTTACCATCGCTCTGTTTATGAAGAAACCGAAGATTTCTATGTTTTGTCCACGTTTTAAGTAAAGACTATTGTAATCTCACAAGATATTTTTATGATGGTGACGATGATTGATTTAGCTATTACGGTGGTTTTCATGAAGTTGATTACGATGGTGGTGTATGGAATGTTGATGAAGATTATAGCCAATGTAATCAATATGATGGTGATGATGGTATTGAAAACCATTATGATGATCATCATGCCCATGGTGATGATGATGATGATAATACCTTGACGAATAAAAATGAGGATTACATTGCAAACGTTTACAAAGGATGGGAGATCAGAAGAAAGAGACGAGCAAAGAATCTTTTATTTTCTTTTACATTTTAGCAACTCTATTTTTTTTTTCCCTTTAGATCTGTAACATCATAGACGATATCTTGTTGTGTTGTGTATATAGGATTTGGTTTTACTTGTTGAGAATTTGATTTTGGCTTTTTCATATTTAGACTTAGTCCTTTGCTTTTGATCAGAGTTCTTGCAAACTTGAATCATTTAGGGGTTTGCTAGTCCTGATAATCATATAATTAAGAATCTTTGTTAGGCTTCAAAACCAGTTTGGTGTAGATATGAATCTTGGGTAAATAGCAGCAGCAGCTACAAATGCAGATTAAAAGTTATCTTATACGTCAAAGCTCTCTCTACTTTAGACTTAACAATTGAGTTTCTTTAAAAACATTATCCAAAATTGAATTTCTTGAATTTCAGTAAACCTAAACTCTAACTTAGACTGTATACTCATGAAACTTATAAGTTGATTTATTTTCATGAAGTTCTATTTCATATAGATAAAAATTATGTACTTTTTGGTTATATATAAGGTCTTTTTTTATCAATTTTTTTTTAAATGTAAAATCTTACCATTCTGATGGATTACCTCATCATCATGTCGGCGTTTCCCAATCAAGTTGTGAAGAAACAGTCAAGCAGTCTCAGATCCGTTTGAGGGACACAGTGTTCACTGAGAAAGATTCCTTGAACAGAGTCCTGATGTAAGGAGGCATTTGGTTTGTACAAGATGCATCACGCTGGTGATGCATCTTTAATGTGATGTGAAAATTTGGGGCATACAAATATCTTATGTAAATGTGCCTTATTCTTTTTTACATTATGTTTAGAATTTATTTCTTTAATCTCTTGAGGAATAATGAGCGTAGTGATTATTATAACTTATTCAATTTACACATACACACATAACTCTGTTTTTTTTTTTTTACCCTCTCTCTTGTACATTATGAAGAAGATTGTTGACTTGTTATGGTGTGTACATCAGCTTGGTTTTTGGGTTTAATCTTCTTTCATTTATTCTGAATAATACGAGTATAAATAGCTATTACAAGAAAATTAAGCAACTAAGGAGTATATGGTTAATTTCGGTTTGGAGAATGTTAAACCGAAAAATAACCGAGTTTTCGTCCGTTCAATTGAAATTTCAAAATTTCGGTTAATTCCGGCTAATTTTCCGGTTTAGCCTTTCTTCGGAGCAAGTTTTGATTTAATCTTTTCGATCCCCTTTGTCCCAATCTGAAACGCCGTCGCTAATACGTCATTTCGAATCGCCGGAGTCGCCGTGAAAAGCGTGGCGGCGATAGATTGTGTTCCGGGTAACTGACTGTTGAACGCTGAGATCACCGAAGCTGGTTTCGCTTTGTTGTTGTTCTTTTGGTAATGCACTAACCCTCTCGGGAAGACGAAGACTTGACCTTTCTTCACCGTCTTAGCGAATAGCTTGTTCGCCGTGGTGATGAATCCGACGTCGAGCTCGCCTTCCAACACGTAGATTACTTCGGTGGCGCGTGGGTGCGTGTGCGGCGGGTTTACACCTCCCGGCGCGTAGTCGATGCGTGAGAGGGAGACTCCGAGCGTGTTAAGCCCTGCGATCTTCTCCACATTCGCTCCCGTGACGGCGGATCCGACTGCGTTGGTAACGACGGCGGCTTTGCCGATTCCGGCGAAGAAGAAATCTGAGGCGGTGATGCTTGATTCCGGCTTACATGTAAACCCATTCACTTTTGTTCCTACAAAACAAAATAACCATATTTAGTTTGGTCCGAATAATAAACACAAGTCTTACGTCCACATAGCAAAACAAATACTTAAAAACTTTTTAGAAACTAAACAAAATCACAAATATTAAGATTTTAAATAGTGGCTATTTTGTTACCTGAAGAGTGATCTGCAACGCAGAGATCTTGAAGCGAGTCAGGATCGTAAGCAAGAGCAATGACAGTGAGAGATGTTACTGCAAAGAAGAAGGCGTAACATCTTGAGTCCATGCTTTGATGATGTTACTTGTAGAGAGACAGAGATCGTTATGAAACTCTTGTTTGCAACTGTGTGTGTGTGTGATGTTCTTATATGTCTCGATTGGATCGTTATATATATTTGAATTCGTTGAGGAAAATTATGCAAAAGCTAAACTAACGTAAACGCCAAGCAAAACCGAAGGCGACATGTAACGTCGTTTGTATTAACTCTTAAGCGTTAGTTTTCGTTTCCTCCAATCCTAGGTTAAACCGGATTTTGTTCCAGATCATGCAGCTTAGATTTAAGATCAAATCATCGTTTAAAGCCAAATTTACTAATAACCGTTTACGTTTGGTTTCATTTCCGACTAATGTATTTTTCCTATTGTAAATGCATTTTCCGTTTATTTTTCCGGCAGTTGGCTTTTGAAGCTATTCTAATCACTTGAAAATAATCAAATATCCAAATTTGAAGAATGGTTAAGACAAGCTCCGATTCAAGAAAACGTGGCACTCCTCTCGCAAAAAAAAAATAATAAAGAAAAAAAGTGATGTGAAATGTGACTTATTCTTTTCTACATTTTCTAAATGTGACTAATTATTTCATTAATCTTAAAAAATGGAATAATGAGCGTATTGTACTGTCACTGATTATTAGTATAACTTAAAAACTCATATTCGATTACATAGACACTGTACTACTACCGCAACAAGAAACAGTTATGAGATTACATATGCTTCGAATATTTACATTTGGAAGTTTGACAACATACTATTACAATCATTTTCTAAGCATGATTTATATTTCTATTCCTTTTGTTTCTACTTGTGAAATATGAAAAGCATTCTTACATCAAAAGTTGACCTTTTCGATTGAAACACGTTGACTTCTTAGTTAATATTACATTAGTTTAACCGAATGTTCCCGGAACGACTAACTATTTAATTTAAGATAAAACAATCAAATACAATTCTTACATGGCAAATTTCGTTTAAACATAGATGGATACAAAAATTGATGTTTCTTTACTCTACCTGATTTTGTTTTTGGGATTAAAAAAATAAAAGAGCACTTGTCAACTGTCATGATCATAAATAAAAAAACTCAAATTGACTTACTTCAAGAATCTTTTAAGTTTTTTAAATTACACATACACAATGTTAAACTTGCGTGGCAAGAGTCTTTGAGTATAACATATAGTTAGAATATTATAGTATTAAGCTTGCAAGTTTTACAATAACTTCACACAACAGACTTTTTCAAATCATTTTCTGAGCAAAAATCCATGGTATTTCCCAGAAAATTACTCTTAGACTCTTAGTTAAGATTTTCCTGGAAATTTATTCTTTTTCATAGATAAAAAGCCACAAGAAGATATTCAACATTATGCTCAACGTCATGGAGATCATCTGGAGAACAGTTGTTTCAACGTTAATCCTCTTTTTCTTCTTCAGATATTTCTACAATCCTCCAAATCCTTTCCTCATTTTCTTTTCTTGTTTATCATCGATCGTAGCCGCTCTGTTTATGAAGAAACCGAAGATTTCTATGTTATGTACATGCTTGAAGAAGACCAAATGCTTGATGATTGCACCAACACCATAGACAAGCACAAAGAGTGTTGTAATCTCAAAATATTCTAGGACAAGGCATCGAATCTTTGACTTGTTTGGACAAACTACAGATATAGATAGATTAGTATTGTCGGCTGGTTGTTACTAATGAATTGTTTTCAAGTTTACTTTAGAGTTAGAATTAAATTCAAGAACCAGCTTCCTCAGTTCCTTGAAGAGAAAGGCTTGTCTCTCAATCTTTAAAAGTATGACAAAGATGAACAAATCTCGAACCAAATTTGGCTGCTAACACTTGGATGAGTTATATACATCACGAGGTTTTGCTCTCGATTTTCTGACAAGGTAAAAGAAGAACATCCAAGGTAAAAGCAGATCCGTTTGATCAAGCTTTGATCTTATGATCTAAAGATCTGATCAATCTTTCTTATGTTTCTGTTGTAAGGGTGTGAGATTGGAGCTAAGGCAACTTGATAGACAAGGTTTACTAGCGGAAGTAACGAGGACTTTCAGAGAAAACGGTCTGAATGTTAGGTTGGAGATATCGACGAGTAATGACATGGCTACAAACATATTCTATGTGACAGATGCGGATGGGAATGAGGCTAAACCGAGATTGATTGAATCGGTTAGTGGGAAAATCAGGGTTGAGTCGTTGAGGGTGAAGAATTTTTTGTCATGTGTAGATCATAAGAAGAGAGATGAAGAAGGAGAGCAGAGAAAGGCAGTGCTCGTTTTACTTGGAAGTTTAGTTTAAAGAAATTTCTTCAACTTCGGTCTGGTCAAATCGTGTTCTTAAACCTTAATTAAATGTTAAGATGATAAGATCTTAGGGCTTAGAAAGCAAAGTTTATTATATTGGAAAAGGTTTTAACATTCTTCAATCTTTAGTCTTTGGTCTTTAGTCTTTAGTCTTTAGGTCTTGTACATTGAAAACAAATAACTGATCAGAAATTTGAAAAAAAAAATCTCGCCTTATTGTTGATTTAGAATGGTTTGTTTCTTTTTTTAGAATGGTTTGTTTCTTCTTAGGTGTTTTATAATACTAGCTATTAACTATTATGATTGGTTTATACGTGAGCAGTTTGATGATTTCAGTAGATTATTAGATTATGGAACAAAAATTACATTTATTCATGGTGGTCAAATCCATGATTTAATGATATTTGTTTTATCCATTTTATCCATGATGTGTGTTTGCGGTTGCGTTTGCGGTTTGCGTTGTTGTCACTAATTAACATCGACATCCAATAACACCCTTAAATTTATCTCCTGACTGGAGTAGAAATTGTATTCTCAAATTAGCCGCATTCTTAGTAACACATGATATATTTAATTAGTAGTTTTTTTAATTAATTTAATCATATAAAATTACGCACATTGTAATAACTTGTTCAGCAAGAAATAGGCATTAGTGTAACATGCATATACACTACGTACGAATATTATACTACAAACCGATTATTTTCCATTAAAACTAATTATACTATTCAAATTGTTAAACGAAATCAAACCAACTAACAAATATAAATCTTTAGTCTTTACACTGAAAGTTAAATCTCTAATTTTAGGTTTGTACTATTAACTAAATCTTCGACGACTTATTAAAACTCCACATCAGCACTCTCTATGGACTCTAGTGCCTGCAAAACGCATGCAATACAAACCCTAACCTTTCTTGATGTTGTATACGACGACAAGGAGGTAGATCTACATCTTCTTCAGGAAGCTCATCTTCTTCATCAGTAGTTCATGCTCATCATCATCATCATCATCACTAGTCTCATCATCATCATCATCACTAGTCTCATCGTCATCGATCCTCTGCTCCACGATGCACTTTTAATATGATGTGAAATTTTGGGGCATACCATCATATGAAAATGTCTTATTATTTTCTACATTTTGTTTAGAAGTTATCTCCTTAATCTTTTTTTAAAACATTTAAAAATGGAATAATGAGCATATTGTACTGTCACTGATTATTATAGCTTAAAAAACTCATATTAAGATATATATACACTGTTATAACTTGCACAACAAGAAACAGTCATGAGTATAACATATGCATCGTATATTTACATTTGGAAGTTTGACAACATACTATTCTCATCATTTTTTAAGCATAATTCATATTTATATTCCTTTTGCTTCTACCTATGAAATATGAAAAACATTATAACATCAAATGTTGACTTTTTTTGATTCAATGACTTCTTAGTTAATCTTACATTAGTTTAACCAAATGTTCCTTGAACAACACTAACTATTTGATTTAAGATAAAACAATCAAATACAATTCTGACTTTGCAGATTTCGTTTAAAAATAGATGGATACCAATTGATGTCTTTTTTCTTTACTTGGTTTTGTTTTTGGGATTAGAAAAAGAGGGTAAATGAGCATACTTGTCAACTGTCATGATCATAATTTAAAAACTCAAATTGACTTACTTCAAGAATCTTTTAAATTTTGTAAAGATATAAATATTCATATATAAATTACACATAGACACAATTTTAAACTTCCCTGGCAAGAAACAGTCTTTGAGTATAACATATACTTAGAATATTTAATCTCATAGTATTAAGCTTGGGAGTTTTACAATAACTTCACACAACAGACTTTTTCAAATCATTTTCAGAGCAAAATCCATGGTATTTTCCCAGAAAATTACTCTTAGTTAAGATTTTCCTAGAAATTTACTCTCTTTTTTTTTTTGTCACAATAGAAATTTACTCTTTTTCATAGATAAAAAGCCACAAGAAGATGGTCAACATTATACTCAACGTCATGGAGATCATCTGGAGAACAGTTGTTTCAACGCTAATGCTCTTTTTCTTCTCGAGATATTTCTACAATCCTCCAACTCCTCCAAGTCCTTTCCTCATTTTCTTTTTCCTCGGTTTGATTATTTTCTTGTTTATCATCGATCGTAACCGTTCAGTCTACCAAGAAACTGAAGATTTCTATGTTACGTACACGCTTGAAGAATACAAAATGCTTGATGATTACATCAACACCACAGACAAGAACAAAGATTGTTGTAATCTCACAAGATACTACTACTATGATGAAGATGATTGTTTTAGCTTTTACGGTGGCTTTCAAGAAGTTGATCATAATGGTGGTATATGGAATGATGATGATGATTATAGCCAATGGAATCAAGATGATGGCGTTGAAAACCATGATGGTCATGATGATGATGATGATAACTTGACAAGTAGGATTGAAGATTACATTGCAAGCGTTTACAATGGATGGAGAGAAGAGAGACGAGCAGAGAAGTTTGTGTGATATTTTTTTCATTAATTACTCTGTTTTTTTCTTTTTCTTTTTACCCTCTCTCTCTCTGTACATTGTGAAGAAGATTGTTGTGGTGTGTACATAAGTTTGGTTCTTGGGTTTAATCTTCTTTCATTTTTCTGAACAATACAAGAAAACTCACAAAACAAAATGTCCAGAGAAGAAACAAAAGTATAATCATCTCCTTCCTGCAGAGACTCAAGCTTCTCAATAACCAAATTTGAAATTTCCAGTTACAGGTTTAGCCTCTCTCCAAATCAGCATCTTCCTCGTACCTATTGTGTAAAACTTGATCTCAAGACAGGTGAATCTATCATATATGGACACCATTCAACGAGAAGATGATATTACCAGATCCCAAAATTGTCAAAAACAAAACTCAAAAGAAATGCTTTCATTCGCAGGAGCAACCCAAAAACACACACATTGTATAGCTTGAAACCATCACAAGCTTTACTTTATCTCTAAATGCAAGATTTCTATCATATCAGTTCTCTAATACAACCAAACCTGTTTCAAAGCACTGCTTCTACAAATTTCAATTATCATATATATGAAGACTATGTAACCACTGAAGAATCTGTAGACAAGGAAATACCCTGCAACACTAAACCAACAAATGCTTTTTTGATCTCACTATTAATATCCAAATCAGCAGCATCTACAATAGGTTGTGTTGCTCTGCACCGGTGGTGGATAAGCTACAAATAAAGAACAGTCCTTGTCCTGCTTACCGTATATAGTAACTCGAGCCACGAAAGCTAGAAACGAAGCTGTCACAAAGGATTCAATACACGAAACCAGCCAAACTACGATCTCATGGTTTCAGGGCCAAAGCCGCAGCAGACAATAATCTGATACTTGTGCAGTTGTGCTACTATAGTGTAATAAGGAAACAGTGATTTCAAGTTGTGATTCTATAGAGCCTTTCAATAAGAACATTTTCATTTTCAAATTGCATTTTCTGCTAGTCACATTATATTTCCTCGTCTACAAGAAACTAACAATTTGAAAACTAATCATAAGAAGCTAAATCAAACACAATCGTGAACATCATGACTTCGTTGAGAACTTATCAATAGAAAAGCAACATAAAAAGCTGATTCACCTTGAAGATGTCATATTGTCATTAAGAAAGCAGGTCCATATAGCTTTTTTCCAATCTCCCATGATGTAGCATTTTAGTGACCAAGCCAACGGTTGAAGCATCTGCAGCAAACCCGAAGCTCTTCATTTCGTTGATGAGTTCTGCTGCTGTGGTTTTGTCACCGTCTCTGAGATATCCCCGGATTAGCGTATTATACGTAACGTCATTTGGGAGAGGACCGTCTTCTTTCATTTTTCTGAACAAGGCATATGCTTCCTGAAGTAGGCGTTTACTACACAATCCCGAGATCATTGTAGTGTATGTCACAACATTAGGCTCTGCTCCTTTACGACTGAGGCTACAGAATAACTTCCACGCATCTTCAACCTTCCCAGCCTTGCACATCCCTTGAATGACAATATTATAAGTGAATAAATCAGGTTCCATTTCACTCTTTTGCAGATGCTGGAATATGACCAATGCTTTCTCGAGCTCCCCGTTTTTACAAAGCCCATCTAACAAAATGCTGTATGTCCAACTATCAGGAGGTACACCGCTAGAAACCATCTCTGTGAGAACTTGTTGGACATTCTCACAGTCTCCAGCTTGGAAAAACCCTTGGATTAGAGTGTTGTAAGTGATTGTATCGCCAACCAAACCTCTTTGAGACATCACACGAAAGAGTTCCATGGTATCTTCAACCCTTTTAGACTTGCAAAATCCATTTATGAGAGTATTATATGTCTCAACGTTTGGGAGACAACCATTGCTAACCATCAAATCAAACATCTGCTTGGCCTCTTCTAGGCGACTCTGCCTACAAAACCCATTGATCAGTGAACCGTATGTGACAATATTAGGATCTATAGACCTATAAATCATCATCTCGTACAGTTTTTCAGCTTCCCAAAGCTTGCCCTCTTTCACAAACCCATCTATCAATGAATTGACCGTAAAAACATCGGGGTTGATTTTCCTCTTAATCATTTCACTCAGTAGTCGAGAGGCATCACTCCATCTTCCATGTTTACAAAGGCAACTTATCAGGGAGCTGTAGGTAACAACATCTGGTCTAACACCTTTTTTCACCATCTCATTGAATAACTCAAGTGCATCATCCGGATGCTTGTATTTGCAAAGACCATCAATGACTGTGCTGTAGATCACAACACCAGCCTCTATTTTCTCTGCTTCCATCTTCTTGAGCAGATTTAAAGCCAAGTCAGTGTCACCTCTCTTGCACACTCCATTTACTAACGCACCATAAGTAAGCACATCTGGTTTATATCCCATTTCAACCATTTGATCAAGCAAAGTTACAGCATCCGAGATCCTATTCCCATGACAGAAACCATTGAGCAGCGAGTTAAACGTGACAATGCTGGGCTCATATCCAAGTTTCAACATCTTCCCAAGAAGAGCTAAAGCAAGAGAGAGTTGAGAGGAGCGGCAGAAACAGTTTATCAGAATACTGTAAGTATAATGATTATGTGCAATTCCCAGCTTTTCCATCTGCTCTCCCAGAGATATCACAACATCATACTTCTTCATCTTTGCAATGGCACTCAACAATTTACTGAAATCGACAATGGAAGGCAAAGGACGAGACTTTACCATTTCACTGAACAAACCAATTGCATCCTCTAACTTAAAATCCTCGACTAACCCATTTCTCAATTCCTCTCTATAATCATAACCGAGACCAGAGAAAGCTCGTTCCCAGCAACGCAAACCGCAAAGGGAAACCGAGAGAGAAGCAGTTCCAGGATTACCTTTCCCCAGAAGACTCTGATGAACAAATCTGTTGGCCGTAATCGCAATCGCAAAGGATCTCCTCATCATCTCGACTTGGATTCAGCTTTACCTTCTCAATTTCTCTTTCGAATTTGCTCTGCAAAGTGAAACTACATTCTAAATGAACCACCGAGTGTGAGTAGAAGAAGAAGAAGAAGAAGAAGACTCACGAAGAGAGTGTGACTTGTTTAAACCGGCTGACCGGTTTAGTTATTTTACAATTACGAATCTATTTTTATCTCGTGACCGGGACAACCCGAAATTGAAATAAACGATCTCTAATGGGTAATTAAATGGGCCTAAAACATGTTCCGGCCCTAAACATCTGAATAGACCGAAACATCATCACTTTGTATATATTGTAGTACCAGGATTCAACTAAGGTGATGATTGGTTCTCCCGCTACCACCCGCAAACGCAGCGTTTGCGGTTCGTAGCGGTTCTTAGCGTTTTATAACAATCACGACAACCGCTTTCAACCGCTCTATACCACTCTGTACCGCTCTATATCGCTGAAAATCAAAAGCTCCTTTCCGCAAGCGTTTGCGGTTGCGGGCGGTTGCGGTTTGAAAAAAAAAAAAAAAAAACATAATATCTCCAAATTTGGAATAAGGGTATATTTTTTTGAAAAATACCATAATTATGTTTAAAAATTTCGAAAATACCCTAAATTTTTTCTGTTTTGAAAAATACACTTTTAAAATGTAAAAAGTATGTTTTGACGTGATTTAAACAAAAAAATAATAAATAATTACAAATTATAAACGAAAATTTAAAAAAATAATAAACTAATAAGTTTTTTTTCAAATAAATATAGTATATGTTAAACTGAAACAAATTTTAATATTTTGGATCTTTATATAAACAACTTAACCTCATACACATTCAAACCAAATGAAACTTTAAATAAATTAAAACTTTACATATATTTAAAGTTTATAAATTATTAAAAATTTAAAAGTGGAGAAATATATCTTTCATTTTTAATGTTTATCTTTTGAAAAATTTAAATATTTTTGAAACTTTGCATAAACAACTTTAATCTCACCCCATTTAAACTTTATATAAACAATCTTATATTTTTATTAAATTGTTTAAAAAAAACTAAACAGGTAATTAGGATGTTAAAATGATACAAAATTATTATCAAATATTAATATTTTATATTTCTTATTTGAATTTCGTTTTTATTAAATTAGGAATAATCATTTTACATATAAAAAGTGTATTTTTCAAAACCAAAAAAAAAGGGTAGTTTTCAAATTAAAAATTCATCAAAAAATATATTTCAAAAAAAAAATTATTAATATGGTTATAAATGTTTTGAATAATTATATATTATTTTTATTTTAGTAACTTTTGGTTAAACCGCTCTTGCACCCGCTGGCTAACCAGTCAAAAATATCCCGCAAACGCAACCGCTATGAATTGCTATACCAGTCGTACAAACAGCTTTTAATCGCAAACTCCCGCTTCCGCAAACTCCCGCAGCCGCAAACTCCCGCAACCGCAACCGCAGCGGTTAAACCAGTCAGACCCTAAGTATCCCGACAAATCGGTGAGTGTTTCGTTCTTCTTCCTCTGAAATCTTATTATATAATTACTGAATCGTTGTTTTTACGTTATTGAATTATTAGAGAAAGAAAAGGAATATGGAATCAAGAATGAAGACATCAGCTGTTATGCGTCGTCTCCGTCCATACACGACGAGAGGGTCAGTGAATGTTACTTAGTCCCTTGTTCTCCCTTTTGAGACTTTATTAAAAAGTAGTAACAATCTTTGAAACTGTTTTTGTTAGGATGATCTCTGGGAAGAAGGAGATGAAAGAGGAGGTTGTGCGACTAGGAGTTGAGCTGTCTTTACGTGTGGCTCAATCCATGCTCTTGCTGCGTGACGACTTCCGTAAAATGTTAGTGTTCTTCCGTAAAATGTTAGTGTTCTGCGCTAAGATGATGATGACGACGAGGAATCGGAATCGGTGCAATATGAATCGGTATTGAAGGCTGGGAGCGCTTTCTTAGCTGGGTTAAAGCATCTGAATAGCGCTGCACACTCTCTCAAAGGAGGAGGAAAAGGTGGGCGAGAGCTTACGAGACCTCTTGAGAAGATGGTGAAGAAGGTAGAGAAGAAGCTGGGGCTTGTGGAGAAGGGCGTTGCAGAGGCGAATGGGTTTGACAGGGATGCCATTGAGCCTGACGTTTTGGGGATTTGGAAGTCTCTCTTTGACGTAGAAGCCAAGGAAGCTACAGAGACTCTCCAAGCCATCAAGAATGGAGTTATCAGTGACTTGTTTCAAAATACAGATGCCGATTTAGAGCAGGTTTAGTCATTATTATTCACATGTGCTTTAAGCCTTTAGCTTTATGATTTGTTGTTCTTAAAACACTAATCTTAGCTCAAATTCACAACACTTTACACTGGTTAAAGCCTGCAGCACCATTAACAATAAGCAAAGAATACTTAACACTGTCAATATAATAACATTTACTAAGTACCAACAAACTTCTTCAAGACTTGTTCCAATTTCCGAGGTCTCAGCCTCGTCAAAGCTTCACCTGTTTCTCTACTTCAGACAGCTGTTTCCAGCTTGTATGAGCAACATGTTTCTTGGAAACACTCGAGATATGCAGCTTCTCCGAGTCAGTGAGCTCCATCTTAAAACGAGTTGTCTTTGCTTTGATCGAGTGGTATCTTTTAAAGCAGAGTGTTGGAGGGCAAACAAACCGAAACCAACAAATCAGTATCACAAAAGCCAACAGTTCCAAAACTAGCAAAAATATAACCAAAAACAGAGAAAACTTTACCTTGCTTTGTTCCATCTGCAGAGGCAAATACGCCATTGGAATCTCTCAAAGCATGGGAAAAGAACCTGTAACGAGAGACTATTGAGGAACTAACATATGTTTATCAACTTAGAACAGCACACGAAATCAAGCCATGGCAATCTTATCCATTAGCAGCAGTTTTAACTCCACAATGTGCTTAGAGCATACAGTGAACTTAATCTAGAGCAGGTCCCACATAAAAAATTTATCTTTTACACACGTGAAATGTCTTCAAGAAAGCAAGTCCAGATAGCTTTTGTTCAATCTCCCATCTGACAACATTTTAGTGACCAAGCCAAAGGTCGAAGCATCTGCAGCAAAACCGCAGCTCTTCATTTCGTTGATGAGTTCTGCTGATGCGGCTTTATCACCATCTCTAAGGCGTGCCCTGATCAGCGTATTATAAACACCGCTATTTGGGAGAGGCCCATCTTCTTTCATTTTCCTGAACAAGGCGTTGCTTCCTCCTTTAAACCTTTCCTGCAGAATCCCGAGATCATTGTGTTGTAAGTTATAACATCAGGCTTCACTCCTTTGAAGTCGAGGCTACAAAATAACTTCCACGCATCTTCCACCTTCACAAGCTTTGCACAACCCTTCAATGATAATATTATAAGTGAATATATCAGGTTCATTTCACTCTTTTGCATATCCTGGAATATGACCAATGCTTCTCTAGCTTCCGTTTACAGAGTCCACCTAACAAAATGTTGTATGTCCAAATATTAGGAGGCACGCCACCAGAAACCATCTGTGTGAAAACTTGTTGGGCACTCTCACAATCTCCAGCTTGGAAAAACCCTTGGATTAGAGTGTTGTAAGTGACTGTGTTGCCAACCAATCCTCTTTGAGACATCTCACGAAAGAGTTCCATGCCATCTCTACCCTCTTACACTTGCAAAATCCATTTATCAGAGTACTGTATGTCACTACGTGGGAGACAATCTTTGCTAACCATCAAATCAAACATCTGCTTGGCCTCATCTAGGCGACTTGCATGCAAAACCCATTGATCAGTGAATTGTAAGTAATAGTATTAGGATCTATAGACCTATTAATCATCTCCTCGTACAATTTCTCAGCTTCCAAAAGCTTCCCCTCTTTCACAAACGCATCGATCAATGCATTGAACGTAACAACATCGGGGTTGATTTTCTTCTCAATCATATCCTTTAGTAATCCAGCAGCATCTTCCCATAATTACAAAGGCAGCTTATCAGGGAGTTGTAGGTGAACAACATTCGGTCTAATACCTTTGTTCTCCATCTCATTAATAAGGTTGAGAGCATCATCCGGATGCTGTATTTGCAGAGACCATCAATGACTGTGTTGTAGATTACAACATCTGCCTCTATTTTCTCTTCCTCCATCTTCTTAAGAAGCTTTAAAGCCATCAGTCTCACCTCTCTTACATACTCCATTTACCAACGCACCATAAGTAAGCTCATTTGGTTGACAACCTTTCAGCATCATCCGTTCAACTAAAGCCACCGCTTCAGACTTTGTTGTGGAGAAAAAGTCCATGGATTAGAGTGTTGAATGTGACGTATCAGGTTTATATCCCAATTCCACCATTTGATCAAGCAGAGAGACTGCATCTGAGATCCTATTCCCGTGACAGAAACCATTGAGAAGCGAGAAAGCGTGACAATGCTGGGCTCATACCCAAGTTTCATCATCTTCCCAAGAACAGCTAAAGCAGAGAGAGCTGAGAGGAGCGGCAGAAACAGTTATCAAAATATTGAAAGTATACAGACATGTGATATTCCCAACGTTTGCATCTTCTCTCCCAGAGATATCACAACATCAAACTTCTTCATCTTCGCAATAGCACTCAACAACTTATTGAAATCGATTATGGAAGGCAAAGGACGAGACTTGACCATTTCACTGAACAAACCAATTGCATCCTCTAACTTAAATCCTGTAGAAACCCATCTAATCTTCTCTCTATAATCATAACTCACCAGAGAAAGCTCGTTCCCAGCAGCAAACCGCAAAGGGAAACGAGGGAGAAGCAGTTCCAGGATTACCTTTCTCCAGAAGACTCCGATGAACAAATCTGTTCGCTGTCGATGCAATCGCAAAGGATCTCCTCATCATCTCAGCTTTGGCTTCAGCTTTACCTTCTCAATTTCTCTTTCGAATTGCTCTGCAAAGTGAAACTACATTCTAAATGAACCACCGAGTGTGAGAAGAAGAAGAAGGAGAAGACGACTCACGAAGAGAGTGTGACTGTGACTTGTTTAAACCGGCCGACCGAAAAAGTGAGTGAATTGCGTCTGATTTCTGAAGATGTGTTTTGGGCCGTTGGATTAATTTGGTATCTAACGGTCAACATTTCATGGTTTTTTTAACCAATCTCAATAACCGGCTCGTTCACCATGTGTATTCTGGTACGGTTTAGTCTGAATTTCTTCTAGTGTCAATCTCAATAACCGACTCGTTCACTATGTGTAGTCATGGAGTATAAGCAAGTAGGAGATTTAAATCTTTAATTGACTGACTCTCAAAAGTCAAGAACAGTTATAAACCAAACCGGTTTTTCAGTACCGAACCAAAATCTTCATCACATTGAATCTCATCTCATTCTGCACACTAACTCCAAACTATGAAGAGACTTTTAACAATTCCTCCTTTTGATCTCACTCTACGTTAAGATCTAAAATACAAAGAAACCGATCTAAGACTGTTGTTTAGCGAAAGAGTTTTGATCCCTGAACTTGGTGATCTCGCTCTGGATCATCTCCTCAGCGTGTGGCTTCACAAACATACAAGTAGTATCCGGTTTCAGCACTTGAATTATGAACTTCTCTGGAGCAAGCAACGAACTGTTCAAATGTGAAATAAACTGCCCCATTGGAACATCACTGCAAGAAAAAGAAGAAATTGGCAAAGAACCAAAGACGAATGATTTGATTTGAAAAAAAAAGAGTATCAACAAGAAGAAGAAGAAAAGGTCATGTACCAAGAGATGAAGATTCCTTTGATGGCGTTAACCATTGATAACAACAGGATCAAAATCTTTTGAGAATCACCAAAAACCTGCAACTAACATACACTCAAAGCTCAGTTGATTTGCGATTCATGTTCTTGACACTAATCTTAGCTGCAATTACTACTAATCAAGTCAAGCCACCATTAACACCATTGATCCAAAGACTCAACCAGAGAGGATTCAAGAACAGGAACAAATCTTGTGAGAATCTCACCAGAAAACTCCAATTAACTAGCTTATGTTTATCAACTCAAAAAGCTCAATTTCTTTGATTTGATGTTATTATTGTCTTATTGACTAATCTTAGCTCAAATTCATAAACTTTACACTAATCAAGTCAAGCCATCATTAACATTGTCTCTTCATAAGATGACCACAATCAGCTCAAGCTTGGTTAATTGGTGATTGACATAATTGAACACTAAATCTTAGCTCAAATTCATAAACTTTACACTAATTATCAAGTCAAAAACAGAGAATGCTTCACATATGTTTATCAAAATTCAGAACCATACTCGAAAATTTCTCATAATTCAGCCATAATCAATAACTCAAAGCTTGGTTAATTGGTGATTGACTAAACCTTAGGTCAGATTAAGAACACTTTACACTAAATAATTAAGCCCAGCCACAGTTAAACATTGTATGAGCAAAGGAAGCTTAACACTAATTTCGATTCACTCTGTTTTTAACTCTACGATCGTCGCTTAACCTTAAATCAAACAATTAGTTAGGGTTTTAGGAAAGTTTATCTCGACGTAGACGAAATCAACAAGGTCAGGAGATTCAGAATCCAGCGAAACAAAACGAAATCCACAAAATACATGAAAGAGAAGGAGAACCAAAACATACAAATCAACGGCACTTTCGATTCCATACCAAATTCCGATTCAGAAAGTTAATGCGAGGAATCAAAATCTGGAGAGGAAAACAAAAAATCTCACCAAATCCTTCTTTGACTTGACGAGAATTGAAGATTTTATCAGTTTTTATTTATAAACCCTACGAAAAATAAATTAAAACAAAAAAAAAAAGACTTTAACATAATTTTGCAGCTAAACAAAAAAAAATAAAAAAACAAACCCTCTGAATGAGTTAGAGTCTTTCCAATTTGGATAAACCAAAAACACATTCATTAGATCAAGCAATGTTTCTCTACTAACTAAATCTGCTTACATAAATCTCTCTAACACCACAAAGAACCACTAATAAACATACAATAAACCTTTCTTTTTCATCTCACAGCTTCCTTCAGTCTTCGAAATCATCCAGAGTCGAATAGATTAACCTAAAAAACAGAAGTTGAATTCAATTCAAACATAAAGTTTAACTCTTTTTTAATCTGGTTTCAGAATTTGAACAAAGACAGTAAAAAGAAGTTACTTAATTACCAGAAAATGGTTAAAAACAGTGTAAGGATCATGTAAGCAAGCTTGAAGAGACGTTTCTTCTTTTCCCAATCAAGCAAGTTGAAGATCTCTGTCACGTCTATCAAATGTTGCCTTCTCGAGTAACTAACACAGATAACAAATTCAATGTGTAAACACTTAAAATCCAAAAAAGTTTGAGACTTTCATAAAGAGAAGAGACTCACAGATGGAAGTTGTAGTAGAGGTAAGGGACACAGAGCAGTGCCATGAACCAGTGACCAGTCACGAGGTAGAACAAACAGAGAGCTCCTTGGAGGACGAATTCCGGTAATACCACAAAGTTTATCCTCGTTGCAGAGTCGTAAGGATTGATGTAATCAAACTCCAGATCAGCTAAACAAATAAGCTGCAAGAAACAAAAACAAAAACGCAAACTTAAAGTTAACTAATTTAGCAAGAACAAGGAAACCTTAAAGTTACTACTTTTATCACATTACCAAAACTCAAAAAATTAAAAAAACATTTTTTTACAACAATCTTGCAAGAACATAAAACCCTAATTTCAGTGCTCAAATAATTTCCTAATAAATAGATTCGATGGAACCTAAGCGCAATTCAAAATTGGGAATATTTGATCGAACCAACCTGGTAAACGATTAATCCGACAAGAGCGATAAGGATTAAGAATGAAATGATCCATGTCCAGATATCTCCCATCTGTCTCTCTATCTTCCTCTTTTGGCTCCGACAAGAAAATTAACCTCGGATCGATTACGCTATTTGTCTTCTTCTATTTTCAAGCTTCTTCTGAGACTCTAAGATCGGATGAATAACAGATATAAGGTTTTTTATTGCCTCTGAGAATCTAATTTAACAGTGAACTCCAGTTATTCGATCTCTGTGTTCGAGAATTTCTGATCGGAGTTTGGTGTTGAAGAAGACGGAGAAACTCAAGAAATGAATTTTGACCTTTTTGTTCGGTTAACCGATGAATTTCAATTTTAATTTCAATTCCTGGTTTTGTACCGGTTTTATAATATCAGTGTAGCTATAATTGTACCGGTTCGAGTTTTTAAGCCCATGGGTCAATAAATTAAGCCCAATTAAGAGGAGACGAGAGAGAGAGAGAGAGAGAATTGGATCTTTTTTCAGACAAGAAATTTTACTTGTGTCTTTTGAGTTTTTTACCGAACGTGGGACCCAATACGTCCTTCAATCATGTGATTGATAAAAGACAGCTGTTTTCTAGTTGCGAAAAACAAGCTTCAGCTTTTTCGATGTGTATATGTTTCTCTTTTTGGCTCTTTTTTTTGCTCTGAACTAATTTTGTTTTAGTTATCTCATTTCATGTTTCAAATAATTGGCCTAATTTACTCCCAACTTTTTATTGTCTTTGAGAAAAGTAATTTACTGCCAACTTTTCAAGTTATTTTCGCAACTTTTTTATAATTTAAAGGAAAAAAGCGAAAAATAGAAAATGAAAATTGATTCTAGTATTCTAAAAACAAAGAAAATTGATTCTAGTAGCATTTCTCTAACAGCAAAAATTGATTCTAGTATTCTAAAAACAAAGAAAAATTATTTTTGATAAGTGAACTGAATTATAGTTATTGAAATGCAACTCATGAATTTATGAGAAATCATTAAAAACATTTTGCACGTATGTAGTAGATCCACACCGTACATGTGGTGCTAATCATCAATCTCTTGGTTAAACTCGTGGAGTATTTTTAAGTTCGTTTACTTTTGTATAGTATGTTTTTTAAGTTCATCTACTATTGTAATGTACATTCTGTATATGGTATAAATCATATATTATTACTCTTTTCTACATATGTATAATGTATTACATACCATATATGTTGTGCATAGATTGAGGTTCCAAACCTTTTTTCTGATATAAAATTTAGAGTAATGTTAATTCAAATATAATTAGTTGATTTTGTATTTTCTTTTTTGCTAAAAGGTTTAGTTGTGTATACTCTCTTAAGGATATAGAAACAGTTTCTATTAAATAACTTATTAAGGTAAAAAAACAAATAAAATGAAACAGTTGTGTTCTTTAAGTGCTAGTAATACATAATTATTACTTATTTCTTTTACAACTTTACACTGAACAAGTAAAGAAAAAGCACAGGTAGACTGAAACTATTGAATAGAAATAACATTAATTTATTCCGATTATGCGCTTTGTGACTTATATTTAATTATATTACTGTATATTTGTATCTTTTTGTTGTTTGTATTGATCAGCTCTACACACAAATGTAGTGGAGTAGTTGGCACAGAGAATTCTAATACAACCTTGTGAATGAAGCAAATTAATTGTAACCGCAATAATTAATTTATATAGCCATCTTTTAGTATTATTAATTAAAAAAAAATCTTGTAACTGCTTTTGCTGTAATCATTTAGATACAATCAAACGTTTCTTTGTGAAATACACGTATGCCGACATACAAAATAAAAACAATAACATACTCATTAAGAAAAATTATTACATGATTTGGTATATTGACTTACCAAGGAATAATTTGGTTTCAAATTCAGGGGATCGTAAACATCGATATTAGACTATAAATTTCTTTCAGTTTGTTACACAATTAATGAAACTGTAATAGTAGTATCAAGCGAAGGTTTTGAAATTATTCAATTATTTTGTATAATACCAGAAGTAGTAACCATAGTTTTGTTAAAGTGGTAATAACTCATGACTCATGAGGAAAAATAAGGTTTTGTATACAATGTATGTACCCCATGCCTTTGATGTGACTTTTGTATGGACAAAATCATGCGAGTTACGATAGTCAAATTAATTTAGTTAGTGTTTCTTGTCTACTTTTTACCCTTTTCTTCATTTAAAATGTGGATTTCTCCTTGCTCTTGTTTTTTTTTTGCTAGTTAATCCTACTTTCCCTTCATCAAAGTGGTTTTGCATGTTAAATTCGATTATTAAATTAGGCTATTAAAAGTCTTTTTTCTTAGATGAGACAAAAACTTATGGCAAAAATAAAGATTTGTGAAAATGAGTAGACACGTAGCCGAGTAATTGGAAAAAGGTTAGGAATTCTCTCACGTGAGACAATCTCCACCTTTGTTTTGTTTGTAGTAAAATATGAATTTCTACGTAAATCATGGACAATTTGGACATAGTAGTTTACGATGAGAAGTTGTTCAAAAAATAGTTTACCATGGAGTTAGTTAGTTTTCGGTTTTTGTTGGTTTGTAACGAAATTATTAGCCCCAAAATAAAGATATAGGTCAAGAATCGATGCCTCCTTCACAGCCTGAAGATACAAAATTCTACAAGATAGTATCCGGATTCTTACGGATGATATGTAACACAGTGGATAATTCTGAGATTAAGGACCATTCATCTTTAAATAATTGAGCAGCTGGTCTATTTATTATAGTACAATATGATCGTATGATTTTAAGTGAATTATACGATCGTACAGAAGAAGGTGGGAGACAGTTGTGACGTGTGGCTATATTTACATACCAATTAAATCTTGACTCCTAGTCTCCTACTAATCTCCACTTGTTTACTTTAATTATTGTTTTGTTTTAGTTAATTTTTTTTTTATCCCATCAACTTTCATACAAAGAGATTAAGAATAAACTGAATAAATTAAGAAAGTCCAAAATAGCCTGTAAAATCTTCCCTGAATAATACAGAACAAGTTTTTCTGTTCATTTCTGTAACGAACTACAAAATTTTAGTATGTTTGATTATATAGTAGAAAAAGATCCAAGATCCAATATCTAATTCCTATAATAATAAATTTCATATGTACCTGCCCTTGTAGAAACGATATATATATATATATATATGACCCAGACATTCTTTCATTTTATAACCGTACGTACTAACACATTTTATTATTATAAAGGCATTTGAATTCCTTTCTTGAAAGACTGGCATTTGATATTTTTTTCGCCAAATTGACATTTGAATAAAGTTTAAGATAGCTAATTGCGTTTATAATCTAGATACAGGTATACTATTGTTTTATAAATAGTCAAGGAGTCGACAGATGGATAAGTTTAAGTATTGGATATGGAGCATTTGAGCATAATATCTCGAAATTAAATACTTTACGAAAAGAAAGGCAGAGTAAAAAGAAAAATGAAGAAAAACATGAAACGAGTGTTGTAACGAACTAACGACCATGAGACTCATGGATACATCACAAGACAGTTAAAAGAGGGAGTAAAAAGTCGTTATGGGGGAAAAGAGAGAGTAGAGGTCACAAATATTTCTATAGAAAGGTAAGAAATCAAGTTATCTAAACTAAAGTTAACTTTGAGAAGAATTGTAAATTTACAAAAGAATCATATATAAGATAAAAGGTTTTGGCTGTCGAGAAAAAAAGGATAAAAGGTTTTCAATTATAATGCATGAAAATCAGTTAATTAAGTGGTTTGGGCGTTTGGCCGCGCATAGTCTAGATGAATGCTCGTGTAAGATATTTAAAATACTTATCATGCTGATTATGAAAATATAACATCATCTAGTGTATAAACTGTAATATAATAACATTGATTATCAAATATAAGCAGTAATATGGCTATTAAAGTTCAAATGTTTTTCTTATAGCATTTGTAGCGGCATAATTTGTTCTCCAACTGATCGATAAAATTGACATATACAGTAGATACGAGTTCTTTTAAAAAAGTAAAAATATTTTTGAGATCTTTTTGTATAATGTAGGTATACTACTTTGAGTAAATCTATATGAATGGTGAGTAAATGACTGAATGTGTTTATTGTGGTCACCACATAAATTAAATAACCTTTTTACTGAATGAATAAAGTATTTATTTACTAAAGAGTGTCCTTTTGGTCAACAACACACACTCTCTCACACACAGACACAGTCTTTATAGAAACAAATTAAATTCCTAGGTTGCCCTTTTATGCCCACATTCTGAATATATCCCACATAGACAACAAGACACAAATGGAAACCCCACTCATCATTTTTTGTATTTTTCCTATTTCCTATAATAATAATAATCAAAAAGTAACATATACTTAAATTAACACAAAATATAGTATTTTCATTTATTAACACTTTCACACAATAATCTACTTTAAAAATCATTTAATGATTTTGTACTAAGTTTGTGAACTGCTTATGTCATGAATGATTTCCCCCTCCCAAATTATATAATTTCTGTTATATAGTATTAAATAATCATATGGGTGGTTACTGGTTAGTTCACAACACGAATTATACCATTTCAAAAATTCTTTCAAAGATACCAAATTTGATTACGTGGATAGTTGATACTATAGTATAGTAGAAAAATATTATAAAATACAAAAAATATTAAATTAAGGAAAAGTGGAAACAGACGAAGACCTCTTCCACACAAGAACCCAACAATCTCACTCAGAAAAAAATAAAATGAGACATCAAAAAAATTGATTTATTTTTTTCTAGAAAAGGTGCATCTAAAATAATTAAATAAACCTTTATAGAGCGAGTGTCTTACACGCACCAATGAGGAGGAAGTGAGAGGGTCTAACATCCAATGCTTTGTTTCCGTTCTCGTACGACGTGGGACTCTGGTCTCACCTTGTTCCTATCAAACGTTCCGTTCAATGCCCACGCGCGTCGCCTTCAGCGCGTGAGATTCACTCTTCAAAACTTTGTCTCCTTTATTTTTCCTCTCTCTCTCTACTGTCTCTGTCTTCTTCTCTCTTTGAATTTTCTCAGACACTTAAAAAAAAGATAGATACGATCACTGAGAGCAGAGAGAGAGGAAAAAATAATTATTTTTTCTTTTGACAGAAGAGGAAGTGAGTGTTTTTTATTTAATTTTTTACTCTGTTTTCCACCACCATGAGAAGTCACCGGAGCTCCGATTACCTCCTGCCGCCGGTGGATTTTCCCGGCTGATTTGTTATTTCCCAATTCCCGGAGAAAAATCTTCAATTTTCAATTTTTTCGAATTTCTCTGATTCGACTAACAATGGCGACGACGACGACGAACGCGACACAATCACAGTCACCGCAACCGCCATTACCGTCGGCGGAAGAATCAGCGTCGAAAGCGTTACAGAAGCGATACGAAGGATTGATGATGGTAAGAACAAAAGCAGTAAAAGGCAAAGGCGCGTGGTACTGGTCTCATCTCGAACCAATCTTACTACACAACACCGACACCGGACTTCCCAAAGCCGTCAAGCTCCGTTGCTCCTTATGCGACGCCGTTTTCTCCGCCTCCAACCCTTCCCGCACCGCCTCCGAGCATCTCAAACGCGGGACCTGCCCCAATTTCAACTCTTTGCCTAAACCCATCTCCACAATCTCTCCTTCCCCTCCTCCTCCGCCTCCTCCTCCGCCGTCGTCGAATCGAAAACGCAATTCCTCCGGCGGAGCTTCCGTCGAGCCGCTGAATCATCACCACCCACCAGGGTCTTACCACGTGACGCCTCTCTCCGTCGTTGATCCGTCGCGATTCTGCGGGCAGTTTCAGGCGACTCATCAGCCGCATTTGATGCTTTCCGGCGGAAAAGACGATTTGGGTCCTTTAGCGATGCTTGAAGACAGTGTGAAGAAGCTCAAAAGCCCCAAAACTTCACAAACGCAGAATCTAAGCAAAATCCAGATATCGTCGGCGTTAGATTCTCTCTCCGATTGGGTGTTCGAATCTTGCGGCTCTGTTTCTCTCTCCGGCCTCGAGCATCCAAAGCTGAGAGCTTTTTTAACTCAAGTCGGTTTACCGATCATCTCGAGGAGAGATTTCGTCGCCGGAAGATTGGATTCGAAGTACGAGGACTCGAGAGCGGAAGCCGAGTCGAGAATCCACGACGCAATGTTCTTCCAAATCGCCTCCGACGGATGGAAATCCGAAACCTCCGGCGGCGAGGAGAATCTCGTCAGCCTGATCGTGAATCTCCCCAACGGGACGAGTCTGTACAGACGAGCCGTGTTCGTCAACGGAGCCGTGCCGTCGAACTACGCGGAGGAAGTTCTGTCGGAGACGGTGAGGGGTATTTGCGGGAATTCACCACAGAGGTGCGTTGGGATTGTCTCCGATAGGTTTATGAGTAAAGCGTTGAGGAGCCTCGAGAGCCAGCACCAGTGGATGGTGAATCTCTCTTGCCAGTTTCAAGGATTCAACAGTCTGATTCAAGATTTCATCAAAGAGCTTCCTCTGTTCAAGTCCGTCTCTCAGAGCTGCTCGAGGCTCGTCGGTTTCGTCAACAGCACGGCGGAGATCCGAAACGCGGTTTGTAAGTATCAAGGAGAGACGAGAATGCTGCTGCATTTGCCTTTAGAATGTTCAAAGTTTGAGCCTTTGTATAATCTCATCGAGGATGTGCTTAATTCGGCTAGAGCGATTCAGCTTGTGATGCATGATCACATGGAAGATCATATGGCTAGAGAGATCGGTGAGATGGTTGGAGACGCCGGGTTTTGGAACGAGGTGGAGGCGGTTTATTCTTTGTTGAAGCTTGTTAAGGAGATGGTGAGGAGGATAGAGGAGGAGAGGCCTTTGGTGGGGCAGTGTTTGCCGCTTTGGGATGAGCTAAGATCGAAGATAAAAGATTGGTATGCGAAGTTTAACGTTGTTGAAGAGAGGCAAGTGGAGAAGCTTGTTGAGAGGAGGTTCAAGAAGTGTTATCACCCGGCTTGGGCGGCGGCGTTTATACTTGACCCGCTCTACTTGATAAGAGACAGCACCGGGAAGTATCTACCTCCGTTCAAGTGCTTGACGCCGGAGCAAGAGAAAGATGTTGACAAGTTGATCACAAGGCTTGTGTCTAGAGACGAGGCGCATATTGCTATGATGGAGCTTATGAAATGGAGAACGGAAGGGCTTGATCCGGTTTACGCTAGAGCGGTTCAAATGAAGGAGAGGGATCCGGTTTCGGGGAAAATGCGGATCGCTAACCCGCAAAGCAGTAGGCTTGTTTGGGAGACTTACCTTAGTGAGTTTAGGTCGTTGGGGAGAGTTGCTGTTAGGTTGATTTTCCTTCATGCCACTTCTTGTGGGTTCAAATGCAATGCCTCTCTTTTGAGATGGGTTAATGCGAATGGGCGATCGCGCGCTGCGATTGATCGGGCTCAGAAGCTGATATTTATATCGGCGAATTCGAAATTCGAAAGGCGGGATTTTTCTAACGATGAAGAGAGGGATGCAGAGCTTCTTGCTATGGCTAATGGTGAAGATGATGTGCTAAATGATGTTCTCATTGATACTTCTTCAGTGTGACTTCTTAATTATTTATTTTTTAGGTTTTCATTAGAAGAACATGGCCATTTTGTAGGATTGCTTGAATTCTTTTTTCTTACTTTTTTTTTTACTACCACTTGATTCAATTTGTACTTTGGCTCCTTTTAAAGAGGTGAGAAAGAGAGCCATATCATTTGTATTTCTTTAGCCTTATTTCGATCATAATTTTAGGCGATTTTTCTAATGTCTTCTTGAGACTGGTTTTGGAGTTCATGAATCTGAATTAAGTAAGACTCTTGTCTTTATCATATTACCATTATAATGATCCATGTTTCTGCACAAATTTGGCTTGAGCAACAGTGAAAGATAATGTGAAACGACTTCTATTTAGGTTTCTTCTCTTGTCGTAATCATCAATCTATTGTTTTAAAAGCACAAAGATTGTATATTTAAGAACATTAAATGGCATTAACAGAAATTTCAACGACAGCTTCATCTTCTCTATTGTACATTGTAATGATCTTTTACTCTGTCTCCTTTGTTCTTTTTTCATTAACGTTAATATTCTTTAATCATGACTCGAACCAATGTCTTTCCATTTCAAGAAATTGACTTAATAAAAAAAAAACCATATTTTAATTTGAATATTTTTTTCACGTTCTTTCTTCATCATAACATGTTCGTTTCCCTTGATGTAGACCTTTTTGTCATCCAAGAACAAAACCGGGTTCTCGCTTTCATCACTTCAACTATGATTATGATTATCTCTATCTATCAAACTATCAATCTGTCAAAGCATTTTTGTTACATATTTTCTCAAAAATGTGGATCCCCACAAGGAAATAAAGTTTAGTGGGAGGTTCTTGCATCAAAATCATAGCTTTTTGATGTTATATTGAAGCTGTGAAAGTGAAACTGTCCAACTAGAAGAACAATCTTTAGAAACCTCAAGACGCAAAATCCAAACGTTTGTTTTGTTTCCTTGTTTGGGGATTACAGAAAAACTTGATTTGATTTTCATAGATAAAGCACCAAGACTCGGTTCTTGAAAGATTTTGTAGCACTATGTGTGTTTACCCATAATTTGTACTGTTGTGAATGGTAAAAAGGGTAAAATCTTTTGTCCTTTTTGCCCAACCTCATGATTTGTACTATATATGATCATTTCAAGATTAAAAAAAATAAATTAAATCTCTTTTTGTGCAAACCCATGAATTACTACACTCTTGTAAATATATGGCAGTAAAAGAAAAAAAAGTCACGATTTGCTGTTCCAAAATTTTGTAGTTGTTGTATATCTTTTGATATATGCAAGCAGATCTAACCTCCATAATATTCATCATACCTTTTATCAATAGTACTGAACTTTGAAATTTTAGTGGTATATATATCATATGGAGTGACTAGACAGCTAAAGTTAAATTACACATATTAAGTAACAACAGAACAACCAACAAACAAGTATATATATGATAGATAAATTTCATAAATAAATATATATTGAGAAAGTAAAGAAAAACACATTCATTTTGGATGGTGTTTTGCAGACAAATAGATAAATCTAAGTACTCTCCCTTCTTTGTGTGACATGCCTTGTCAACAACCATTTTCTTACAAAGATATAAGTTTGTATATTTTACATTATAAGATAGTATTAATCTTTTTCAACTGATGATTATTAATCTATCAGTTTGAAAGTTTTATAAAGAATTGTTATTGAGTGCAACAAAATTGGCCTGCTTTTAGATATTCATCAAGGAATCATTTTTACTTGCCCAAATGAGGGGTAAAAAACCAAAAAGTATATATCAATAATTATACCCCACAAAACAGCACATTATTAAAAAAGAATACACTTTATTTTTGTTTTGGTAACTTTATACTTGATTGGTATTAGATTCATCTTACCCACCTCCATTAGCTGTTGATGTCAAGAAAATTCGAAAACTCATAATTACGCAAAAAATAGAGTTTGGTTAAAAAAACAAATTATATTGGCTCATGTTTTATACAAAACACCAATAGTAAAAGCTTCTAAGAAAATACTACAACATTTAAAATACATGGATGCTTTTTTCTTCTTAAAATGCCATAATTTTCTAAAAACTCCAAATATTTTAAGAAGAAGAAACTTAAGAAGACAAGTTTAGTATAATATTGTAGAATGCAAATAATTCAAACTGAGTTACAGAATCTAAGAAATTTAAACAAACGGTTAACTTTTGTTGTTTTAAACAAAATAGAAGATCAATACGTTTTCGACATAAGATTAGTATTGCTGAGTTAGAAAATAATTTAGTACTATAGTATAAAAGATTTCATAGACGCCAAAAAAGAAGTAAAAAGCTACGACCTCAAAAAAGTAGTTGGAATTATTGATTTGGTATTTTGGTGGTAAGACAGAATTTCCTGTCGGCAAATGCTGACTTCTCACCAAATATCTCTCTCTCTAATTATTTGTATATGTTTTTAACATTTTTAATTTTATTTTAGTGTAAAAGATTTTAAAAAGTTAAAAAGAGAAAATTATAATGATATGGTAGAGGACAATCTTTTTTAATACACAAGAATCTCGTCCTCTCCCAATGCTTCTTCATCATTATACAAAGTTACACATATTTTCTTGTTATATAAAAAAAAAAAAAAAGTAGATTCGTTTTCTTTTGACATGTTTTTATTAAATTTAGGATCTACCCCATTATATTTTTGTTTTATTTGTAGTTACTATGAATCGTATAACTGACCATTTTTCAACCTAACAGCTAATGAGATTTGCTTAAAACAGTAATTGCTTTCCCGGATTATAATATTACTACTTTTAATTACTTGAATTGATATAAAGTATGTTGTAGAAAAAGATGTCAAACTGTTGGCTACCTATATAGGCAATTTCATTACAGGTATAGTTAATTTCGATTTAGTTTTTCTTCTTTCACTTAGTACAATACATTAAGTTTGATGATTATGCTAATGACCTTGACATGTGGCACGATTAGTAAATATTATTGCTAGCTCTCGTGTATGGTAGTAATAATTAGTTACATAGATAGCAGTAATAATTAGCTCCCATATAAGTTACATTAGTAAATATATATAGTGAATCAGTGATAAAGAGTATATCAGCTTTTCCTCTATTTTGACAACGATACCATCAATTTTTTTTTTAAGTCTCACGTTTTCATGGTTTAAAAAAAATTCCATTACATATTACATTAAACATATAGATATAAAATGAAAATTGTTGCATGTCTTTTATAAACATGCATGCGGTTCTTAACCATATGTATTTATTGTGCGATTATAACCGTATTGTTTGAGCTTTCCCGCTTTTTACCACATGTTTCAGTTTAAACTGTTTTTAGTAACCATACATAACAGAAATGGTTCAACCCCCAACCATCTCAAATTGGATACCAATCAAACCCAAATCATCGACTTGTTTGTAGGGTTTGCTCATTATAGCCGATAGTCCATTGCTCGTCGTAAATGATAGCTTCCCACGTATAAAGAATCATGTGGATAAAACGCCATCGTTTATCTGACAAGGCCGTCTTCTGTCTTCCAGCACGTGCGGTCAAACATCCGAAGTTCAAGTAGAATCTCATCAGAAGTTCTTTGAAGTTTGATGACGTAATTGTCCCTGTCTGAATGACGTCCAAGAATCTCAAGTTTTTGAAGAACATATATAAAATAAACATAATACTATAAAACAGTAGTTTCAACCTTCAACAGATTTGTACATAAATAATTGTATTTATTTCTGAATGCCAAATAATTAATAGGTTACGTAAAGAACAGGGTTCTTCACGCAGATATATCATATATGTCTCTTGTTTTTTATAATATATGCCAAATACTAAAAGTCTGTTTTGGAACAAGTGGTGATTGTATATTGATCATATTAGCTAATAGCTACGACAGAGATATTTTATTTTTGTTTTATTTTAATGTTGTCGATGTGGGTCCACATAAACCATAATACTAATTCTAAGTCGAATGTTTTTGCTGAGCTCATTTTCATTTATATACATCAGATGTGAATGAAATCAAAATTAAGCGATATTTTGCCTATTTTAGTGGAAAAAATACATGTTTTTCAGTATAGTTAAAAAAAAAATACCGACCAGGAATCTTCAGTATTTCATTGAAGTAGCAAATAAATCACTACATAGATTGCCATAAAGAATTTAACCATATTACATTATGGGATTATTTTCCTTTGTTCATAGTTCAAAATTGAACATGTTTCATTAACGTTCGACAAGTGAATTATGTATCATTCATGAAATTGCAAACGTGTCATTACACCTTTGGAACTAAATGCATTTATAATCGACATTGTTAAGAAAAATGCATTTATAATGATGCTACGTACATACAAAATATGGAATTGGGAGTTTTATATCTTTGCTGTTTCACTTATGAAAATGCATTTTCCTTTGGCAGTGTATTTGTATACAATTAGGTTTCTTTAAGAGTCCAAATTCTTACTCCACGTTTTAGTATTATATATTCTTTAAATTGAAAAGAGAGACCATTATTACTTACGGGGAGTTGATACGAAATGCATGATGATAAAAAGAGATTATGTCTATTTTTAATTATGACTTCGACTATTATTAAAAAACATTAGATTTTCTTATGGAGCATGTGATTGAATTATTTTCCCTAGGTTTCCTGGTTTGTAAGCAAATCATGAATCAACAAAACTAGCGGTTGAAATTTTTTCAGAAATAATTATTATAATTTCTTTTAGCCCCATTAATTATGGTGTATCTTTTCTCTTGTCTAACAACAACTATTACGTGTACACAAAACCAACAAATTACATAGTCAAGTTCAAATTAATCAATCATCACAAAACTTGTGATTCTTTCCACATACAGAGAAGGAGTATTGAATTGTAAGAGCACCAAAATTGTTAATAAAAAACATACCAACCCCAAAATTCAGAGTATTATATACAAAATTAGTTGCTGAAAAAAGGTTAATATTTTCTCAGAATGTGTGATCATCTAAATTTATTTACAGCGTTCATTACTTCATTTTGATTGATTGAAGATCTCACAATCCATTTTTGTAAGAAAAGTTTTACATATTAGAGGTTTAGAGAGTAACTAATAAGAACCAAAAGAAGATAAAAATAAAAGCCCGATATTGGGCCCAGATAGACCCTAAGAAAAGAAAGGCTCGGCCTACAATATCCAATTCTGAAACCGGAGGTTTTGAACCGGGAATTTGGGTTTGAAATTTTTAATCAAACCGTTGTTTTTTATAAACCGGAATTTGGGAGCCGCGAAAAATTAGGGCCATTTCTTCTACGTCTCATCACGTCATTTGACGATATCGGAGAATCTTCTCCTCAGGCCGAGAAAAAAATGGCGGCAATGAGGACGATGACGAATTTGATCCTGCGCGAGTTTATCCACCATCCACTTCTCTTCCACTCTTCATCGAAATCGTGTCAATTTCTCTTGCCATCTCTCCGTCGCACTCCTCGGATTGCTCTGGTTCATCACTCGAATTCCCGATTCGGATCCTTCCGATGTGCGGCGTCAACCTCCGGCGGTGGTCGGAAAGTTTCGTCACGGCTATCTCAGGTGCAGCAGATCCTTCACGAGGCTACGGAGAGGGCTAATTCCGCCGGCAATGAACCTACTCCTCAAATCACTCTAGGTAAGCCTTTTTGCTTTATCCATCTACTAGTTCTGCGGAAATTCAAGTAAGTTTGAGGAATCGAATCTAGGTTTAGCTTTTTCTAATAAGTAATGAAGAATTCAACATTCTAGACAACTGTGAGCTTAAGCCATTAGAGCCATACATGAATCTCAAAGGAAGAAATGCTTATGAAGCTTTGATTATGTTGTTTGTGTTGTTTATTGCTCTGCATCTGATTCAGAGCTTAAGCCATTAGAGCCAGTGATATTCTCAAATCGATTCAATTAAATCAGCTGCGTTCGTATATGATGTTGCTTTCGTTGATCATTGCTCTTCATCTGATTGCAAGACGAGATTTGAAGATCATTTACAGAATTTTTGGTGTGTGTAGATTAGTGAAAACGTATGTATAGTCATGGTTCTAGAGCTCTGTTATGTGGTAATTTCATGGAAATGTTTAGAATTTTGATGTGTTTATAGTTCTCCTGTGTTATTTGCAGACCATGTTACACTTAACTTTGCTAGAAGTGGTGGTCCTGGAGGCCAGAATGTGAACAAAGGTGTGACCTTTTCGTTGCGTCTATCACTTCTCTTTGCATTCTAGATTTTGCCTACTTGATGTATCAATGAGTCTTTGGCTTTTACAGTGAATACCAAAGTGGATATGCGCTTCAATGTGAAGAACGCGTATTGGTTAAGTGACAGAATCAGAGAGAAAATCATACTGACGGTTTGTTTTAGTACGAATAGTTATGAAGATTTTGTTTGAGATATGGCAGTGATGTTGTTGTATGTCTATAGGAGAAGAATCGGATCAATAAGGATGGTGAGCTTGTGATATCTTCAACCAAAACAAGAACGCAGAAGTCAGTAACTTAAACAATCTTCATCTTTCTTGTTCCAATTTTCAAGAAAACTCTCTGTTTTCTGACAATTGATATGTATTACGCAGAGGCAACATCGACGATGCACTTTCAAAACTACAGGTAACAATACCAAACGACTCTGATGAAATGTCATGGTGTGTTTCGTTCCATGCAATGCCTGAGATACTTTGGTTTCATCAGGCGATCATTGACGCGGCCTCGTATGTTCCACCACCACCATCAGAAGAACAGAAGAAGAAAATTGTCAAAATGTAAGAACAGAGCCAAAACCAAAACCAATACCAAATCCTCTTTGTTTCTTGCATCAATCCTCAAGATCTTTAAACATTTTGCAGGGCTGCGAAAGCTGACGATAAACGACTCAAAAGCAAAAAAGTTCTTTCGGATAAGAAAGCTGCAAGAAGAGACCGAAGCAGTTGGGACTAAAACTTCGAAGGTTGATTCTAAAAGCTTTAACTCATTTTCTTGGAAGTTTATGTAACGCAACAATCGAATCTTTCAATGTACAAATCATTCTCTCGTACAAAATCTGAAAAATATCAAACATATCATTCCACACTTTTTTGTTAATTATATATATACAATGTTTTGTGTTTACTTTCTAATGACATGTTCTTCTCCTGATCTTTGATCAATATGCTTGATCCATTTTCTCTTGTTGTTGATGTTACTCTCACTCTTCCCAGAGCTTCTTGCGGCTGCTACGTGAGCGATTTCTAAGCCACCGGAAACCGGAAGAGTCACCGTTCTCACGACTTTCCGGTCGCTAAACGCTTTCGTCCAACTGAAACAAGAAGTGCTTCTCCTGTAACCGCTTCTGCACACCACGACCGCTCCTCTGCTACCGAAAACTGCGTTTCTCAAAACGTTTGCCGCGAACTCCTTTTGGTCCCAATCGATGACCAAGAAATCGATTTCTTGTAGCTTCTGCATGATCGTGCTCTCGGAGTTTTCTTCTTCTTCGTCGTTCATGATGATTGTCTCGGGCAAGTTTGAGCAAGATTGTTGTGTCATGGCTTGTAGATAAGCGGTTTTCGATCTCGCGTTTGGTACGATGCAAATGTGTCTTGCGTTTGTGTGTTTACTGGCTACATTTAAGCCAACGCTTATGGCTATTGTTTCTCCTTCTGACCATGTTTCCACTATTAGCGTCGCGTTCCATCCTGCCGCCATCGCCGCCACTAGCTCCGCCGCTCCCGGCGTTCCAAGACTCTCGCACTACACAGTAAAACAAAATTCCCTAAAAATCAATAAATTGTTAACAAAAAAGGGCCAAAACGTGCAAAGATCAAACATTTTCGTCTTCAAATCTCAAATGGTATCAAGAAAACGTGCAAAGATCAAACATTACCCATCTTGAAAACTCAAATGGTACGAAGATTTGCCAAATTTAGAGAATTAAGCCTTTTGGAGAAAAGTTTAAAAGATCGAAGCTTTCTTCGTGAAAAGCTAATGATTTTTATTGAAATAACGTATTCATGTGAACGGAACGAAACTCTCGGGATTATGAACGGAATTATAAGTAACTTACCGATTTGACGGTGTCGATGTAAGCCTTTGATGCTGTTTCCGGTGACCAAATAAGTTTCATCTTCTTTCTTCCTTTGTCTTGTTCTTTACGTTGTTCGTTGAGTCACAGAGTCTAGCGTAAAACCTCCAAAGGATGTTTAGCTTTTATAAACACACAAAGAAGAGACATAAAGAAAGAAAAGTCTTTGTTTGGATATTTTATTGAGAAAAAAGTGTTTCCGCGTAACAGTCAAGAACTCAAGATATTGCCCCTTATACTTCTTGTTTATTTTGTTATAACCCAAAATATTCTTGAAATTAGTTGAATGCCCCACATTAAGGGTTAATTCATGCTTACACACATTAAACCTTCTTGAAATTCATCAAATTATCTTCTATTTATCTACTTTTCTTTTTCCACTAGGATTCAAAAGTTAAAGTGCCTTCAATCTCTGAAATTGACAATTGCCATATAAACACTAACAATAGTAATAAAAAAGACTTTGTCAAGCAAAATCGATATGGTCTTTAATACTTTAACTAACAAAAGAAATGGACTTTGTCACGTTGTGAGTTGTGACTTCTGATCAGTATCAAGTAGTAACATCCAAAAATTTGACATGGTATGGAAAATAATACGAGGGTTGAATATGTAAGACACCATAAAACGTGGGATCTATGATTAAATTATCCCAAAGATGATTTATTCTCTGTTTCTTTTTCTTTGAAGATAGGTTTTGTTGTTGGATCGTTGACATTAAGATTTTTTGTCCAGGAGTATCCGACGTGTGAGAGTTCTGGATTTGGATTATAACGAAGTTTAAACTAATTAATCTTTAATAAGTAGTCGGAACCGACTTAGAATGATTATAATTAACAAACAAGCATTTGAATTGTCCATTGCTTTTGTACAATAGATACTAACTAAACCAAATTGAATTGACTCGGTATATGTATATAGTATTTATGGAACATAAATTCCACGTACTATGCAGGTGGTTGGTGATTATTCTTCATTTTTAAATTTACTCTCTCCATAACAAGATTTTCTTATATCATAAGGTGTTAGTTAGTTATATTGGACTAAGTTAATGATATTTCCACCACCCACGTCCTTTGTTAAACCAAATGCAGACCGATTCTTCCGTCGCTGGTTTTGGATTTGGTCGGCAACTTGTTTTGGACATTTATTTTTTGCCAAAGAATCAATAAAGTATTTGGATCCTATTCATACACAACACAAGTGACAAGTTCTATAACAAAGGACTTAGCTAGTATTTAGTATTTACAACTACTATTAAGAAATTCTGAACGGACGAAAAGAAGATATCTTACTAATAGTATGCATACAAGCAACGGGGTTTATATAAATATAGTATTTATATTATATACGTGCAGATATTATAAACACACATATATGAACTCAAAACATCTGTTTTACTTGGTCGCATAGTGTGTTATTGTAAGATGTTGCTTTCCCATTGAAGGCGTTTGAGGTATTAATGTTTCTTTTTCGGTGGATGTTTTCTTTTTGATATTTTCTCGTGTAGATATACAAGGCAATTTTGATACTTTCTTCAAATTTCAAAAGTACATACAAAATAAAAATCCCATAAACCTGAAAAATATTAGCATTGCTATGCTTTTTCTTTTCACGTGATTATACCATAGGTACGTAATAGGTTATAAGTATATATATATATATTGATTGTGGCAATATATACCAAATATATTTGTTCCCCTACAAATAATGGGGTATGAGGCTGAGCACAAAGAAGAATGATTTTGTTTGTTCTATCCATTTCGAAGACGACGTACCCTAGAGAGAGGTTTCGGTTAACAGAATATTAGGTCATGTTCCCCATTTTCTATCCCACTTTCTCAAATGTGCTCTTCTATTGGATGATGTGAATAAATGGATTTTTGATAAAATTCACATTCCACGACCGATGCTAGATTGATTTGTTTTATTAAACTATTGTCGACCTTCAAATTTTGAGATCGTCTGCTCTGATATAATCTTATATCCCGATTAATTAGTTCTACTGTATGTGGTTTCATGGAGGAATTCATATATGGAACATGAAAATTTTGCAGAATGAAGTAATATAGCAGGTGAAAAAAAAAGAAGCGATTTCACAAATTAATTGAAGTATCAGTTATGTTTTGTAAAATAGTATTAAGGATTTATGTATATTTACCTTTTCTTAGATTATCTTTTGTCAGAAAATTCCTATTCACCGTTAATAAAAGAAAAGAAAAAAGTTCGTATATTCTTTGAAGGATTGCATCTTGTATATAATAAATACAGACCTTTTAGGTCAACAAATCAAAAGACAATAGCACAAATCATTCGATCATATTCTCTTATTGACAAATAGTTTTCATATCTTTGAAAACTGAGTTCTCTTTTATCGTATCATCAAGGCTAGCAAATTGGTTTGGTTTCGATGTCGGCGTTTGAATTTGTTGACTGGTCTCGAGAAATAATGGTACGAATCGAGAATTCACACACAAATACGCAATGATTATCTTCTAAGTTTGGTCTTTAAACTTTGGTACCACCACACATATTATAATGAACTAAATCAGATCGAAAGAGAGGTTTTCTGACTTCATCGATCGCATAATTACTGTTTTTTTTGTTTGTTAACTGATCATACACTAACAAGCTTTCTAAACGAGTATTATTACTCCTGATTAAATTTCGGTTTCTAGATTTTTTATTTCTTAGCGAGGTTTAGGGTTTTGTTTTTGATTAGGGTTTAGAACTGGTTCTTATTTTTCTAATGATTGGAACTAAAATTCTCTGTAGTTGGAGAGTTTGACGGATATGGTCGCTGGCGTTTGGTCGGATGATCCTTCTTTGCAGCTCAGGTTCACTACTGAATTCAGGAAGCTATTAATCGTCGGTAATGTTTAGGTTCTTTTTGCTATTTGACATTTTTGAGTTGTATATATTTTGTCACGGTTGGTATTAATATAATATATATAAATGCGTAGAGCAAATCCTCCTATCGATGAAGTGATAGGTTCGGGTGTTTTGCCTCGGTTTGTTGAGTTTCTTAAGAAAGGTGATAACCCTCAGCTTCAGGTAATTAATTAGAGGAAAAACCCGCCTGGCTCTCTCGTTTTTTTATTCATACAATCTTGATCTCTGTTTCTGAACTTGTATGTTATTTTCTTTAAGTTTGAGGCAGCTTGGGTTCTAACAAACATTGCATCCGGAACATCGGATCACGTAAAGGTTTTGATCAATCTCAATGTTGTTCCAATCTTTGTCCACCTTATTGCTTCCCCTAGAGATGATGTCCGTGAACAGGTATGCATGGGACTTATTGGTGGTGTTAAATCATTTTAACTAATTTATTTTTAAATCATCTCAAGATTAGGTTACGTACGCTCTAAGTAACCTGCATGCATGCAGGTTGTATGGGCGTTGGGTAATCTTCTCGGGGATTCACCACAAAACCGTGATTTTTTTCTTAGATGTGGGGCACTGAAACCGATTCTCAATCAGCTAAATGACCATCCCAGGTTGTCCATGTCTAGAACTGCCGCATGGACCTTGTCAAACATGTGTCGTGGCAAGCCTGAGCCAATCTTTGAACAGGTACTCTTCTTCTTCTTCTCTTATTTTCTTTTTTCCCTCCCTCTCCATGTTTGGTTTCTTCAGTGTGTATATAATTAACATACATACCAAGCAATGATTTAACAGGTGAAAGAAGCTCTTCCGGCCCTTGAACGACTAATTCACTCGGATGATGAAGAAGTCTTGAAAGATGCTTGTTGGGCTCTCTCATACCTCTCCTCTGATCAGACCAATAATGACAACGTCACGAGACTCAAGACTATCATCGAGTCCGGTGTTGTCCCAAGACTTGTTCAACTTCTTCTGTTAGTAACACTCTCTTTTCTATTTCATAAATGATACTTACATTCTTAGCAAAACAAAAAATAGCAAAAGAAACAGAATATAATTTGACTGCTCTTGATTTTTGCAGCCATCCTTCTCCATCTGTGAGACGTCATGCGATTCGCGTCCTTGGAAATATTATTGCTAACGGAAATGATGAACAAGTCTTGATAGATGCTTGTTTGGCTCTCTCAGACCTCTCTGACCAGAGCAATATTCAAAAGGTCATGAGACTCAAGACTATCATCGAGTCCGGTGCTGTCCCAAGACTTGTTCAACTTCTCCTGTCAGTAACACTCTCTTTTCTTGTCAAATAGCAAAAAGAAATTAACTTGATCATAAATATAATTTGACTGCTCTTGATTTTGCAGCCATCCTTCTCCATCAGTGAGAGGTCCTGCCATTCGCGTCCTTAGAAACATTGTTGTTAATGGAAATGATGAACAAACCCAGCTGGTGATCAGTAGTGGTGCTTTACAATGTCTTACCAAACTTCTCACTCAAGATTACAATAAAAGCATACAGAAGGAATGTTGCTTGATGATTTCAAACCTCACAGCTTCAGGCAACATAGTAAACATTCAGAAAGTAGTTGATGCTAATTTGATTGCCCCCATGGTTGGTCTGTTTCAAAATGCTGAATTTGACATTCAAAAAGAAGTTGCATGTGCAATTGCAAATGCAGTTTCAGTTGGTTCTCATGATCATATCAAGTGTGTCGTCATCAACGGTCTTCTTTTACATTCCTCATTTAACTTATTAATTATTAATTGCTTCTCTCTCTCTCTCTCATACTATTACTGTTGCATGGTTATTATACAGATACATGGTGGGGAAAGGATGCATGAAACCATTATGCAATCTCTTGGTATGTCCGGATACAAGCATCATAAAAATCTGCCTTAGAGGATTGAAAAACATTTTGGAGGTGGGAGAGTTAGAGAATATCTTGAGTCACACAGGGAACATGATGAACTATTAAATTACGCGTAGCAATCATTTTTTTTACTTATATTTTTTTTATCAAATAATACTTAATCGAAATCATCAAGTTTAAAATGTTAAACCCCAAATTTTTTTGGTTATCTTAAAGCAAATTTGCTAAAACCATACATTATTTGCAGCTTGCATGCTATAGATCAAAATTTATTTCCTAAATTTGCAGCTTGTTTTCAGTACATCTGTACATGTATAGTAGTTTTCAAATTGTTGAGGAATTGAATTAATGTATTTTTCCTAACTATTCTTTAGCAAAGAAAGTATACAAATAAATATCTCAAACACGTGAAAAAATTCACATTGTTATGCTTTATCTTATCACATGATTGTATCATAAGTTATAAGTAGAGATATATCTACATTGATTGTGGCATTTGTAGTAATAATACCAAACGTATTTGTTCCCCATAAATCAACACTAATAATGGGGTTTGAGCACAGAGAAGAAAATTCTTTTGTTTGTTTGTTCTATCCATTTCGAAAACGACCCTAGAGGTTTCTGATAGAAGAATATTAGGTCATGTTCCCCCATTTTCTTTCCCACTTTCTATTGGATGATGAATGGATTTTTGATAAAATTCACATTCCACACAACCGATGCTATATTAATATTTTCTTGCTTTGAAATTCTTCAAAGATAAGCCCTATTTTTCAAAATAATTCTTCAAAGGTTTGATGTTTGGTTCTTCTTAAGCATTTTTGTCTATGACTTTTTATGACAAACTTAGCAACTTCTGAATAGTTAACGGGCCAGGCCCATACAGTAGATCGATTATTCAAACGACAGCGTTTTGAGTTTTCCTCTTTTTTGCTAAAACGAGAGAAGTTGAGCAACAACACTCACACAGTCGCACAGAGAGAAACATCGAGCATGTCAACAGAGACTAAAGAAGAAACCCGACCCGAAGACCCGGAAATCCTTCCTAATGTGGATCTATCCGGAGAAGCTCTCGGAAAGCTCACTGCCTACGAAGACGACGCCGTTTCCGATGCGTCCGCGACGGAGACAGACCCCTCGTTATCGGGGAGTCAATCGGAGCAGCTTCTTGAAGACGGCCAAAACTCACTCGACGAAAATTCGCCATTGACGGCGGAGCTTAAACCTCTCCCTCCTCTTCCTACTCCTCCTCCTCCAGGTGAAACACCGGAAACACGAATCTCTGAATCGCTCGGTGAAGATTCTTCCGATCTGGTTGTAGAGCAACAATCGCAGCAAGCGCGAACCCCAAATGCGGCGGAGCCTGGTCCTAGGGCGAGAAAACGGCGCCGGAGAAAACGTTTCTTCACGGAGATAAACGCGAACCCAGCCTTCTCCAGAAACCGCCGCCTCAGCGTCGGGAAAGAAGTCGATTCCGAAGCCCTAATCGCGATGTCGGTTGGGTTCCCAGTCAATTCGCTCACGGAGGAAGAAATCGAAGCCAACGTCGTCTCGATCATCGGAGGCAAAGACCAGGCGAACTACATCGTCGTGAGGAACCACATCATCGCTCTCTGGCGATCCAATGTCTCCAATTGGCTAACCAGAGACCACGCGCTCGAATCCATCCGCGCCGAGCACAAAACCCTAGTCGATTCCGCTTACAATTTCCTCCTCGAGCACGGTTACATCAACTTCGGGCTCGCTCCGGTCATCAAAGAAGCGAAATTGAGGTCCTTCGACGGCGTAGAGCCGCCGAATGTCGTCGTCGTAGGTGCCGGTTTAGCCGGTTTAGTAGCTGCGAGGCAATTGCTGTCAATGGGGTTTAGAGTCTTGGTTCTCGAAGGCAGAGATCGTCCTGGAGGGAGAGTCAAGACCCGGAAGATGAAAGGCGGTGATGGCGTTGAAGCAATGGCTGATGTCGGTGGAAGTGTTCTCACTGGAATCAATGGCAATCCGCTCGGAGTTTTAGCGAGACAGCTCGGTTTGCCGCTTCACAAGGTGAGAGACATTTGTCCATTGTATCTCCCAAGTGGAGAGCTTGTTGACATCGGCGTTGATTCCAAGATTGAAGCTTCCTTTAACAAGTTGCTGGATAGAGTTTGTAAGCTTAGACAGTCGATGATAGAGGAGATTAAGTCAGTAGACGTGCCGTTAGGAGAAGCGCTCGAAACGTTCCGGTTGGTTTACGGCGTCGCCGAGGAGCCTCAGGAGAGGATGCTGCTGGATTGGCATTTGGCGAATCTTGAATACGCGAACGCTACGTTGTTGGGGAACTTGTCAATGGCGTATTGGGATCAAGATGATCCGTATGAGATGGGTGGAGATCACTGCTTTATCCCTGGAGGGAACGAGACTTTCGTGCACGCTTTAGCTGAGAATCTTCCGGTTTTCTATGGGAATACGGTGGAGAGCGTTAGGTATGGAAGCAATGGGGTTATGGTTTACGCTGGTGAGAAGGAGTTTTACTGTGATATGGTGCTTGTCACGGTTCCGTTGGGGGTTTTGAAGAAAGGTGCGATTGAGTTTCATCCGGAGCTTCCGGAGAAGAAGAGGGAAGCGATAGAGAGACTTGGATTTGGACTGTTGAACAAAGTGGCGATGTTGTTTCCGTATAACTTCTGGGGTGAAGAGATTGATACGTTCGGGAGATTAACGGAAGACTCGAGGACGAGAGGAGAGTTCTTCTTGTTCTACAGCTACTCTTCCGTCTCTGGCGGTCCGTTGCTTGTGGCGCTTGTAGCTGGAGACGCTGCGGAGAGGTTCGAGACGTTGTCGCCTACTGATTCGGTGAAACGGGTTTTGGAGATACTACGAGGGATCTATCACCCGAAGGGAATCGTTGTTCCTGATCCTGTTCAAGCTCTGTGTTCGAGATGGGGGCAGGATAAGTTTTCGTATGGTTCTTACTCGTACGTTGCGGTTGGATCGTCTGGAGATGATTATGATATTTTGGCTGAGAGTGTTGGAGATGGGAGAGTGTTCTTTGCAGGTGAAGCTACGAATAAACAGTATCCAGCTACAATGCATGGAGCTTTCTTAAGTGGGATGAGAGAAGCAGCGAATATACTTAGAGTTGCTAGAAGAAGGGCTTCAAACCCTAACCAGAGTTGCATCAACAAAGAAGAAGAAGAAGAGAAGAGTTGTTTGGATCAGTTGTTTGAGACGCCGGATTTGACATTTGGGAACTTCTCGGTGTTGTTTACTCCGTACTCTGATGAGCTTGAATCCATGTCACTGTTGAGAGTTAGCATCCAAATTGAGAAAGCTGAGTCGCGTGATTGGCTTTACGGTTTAGTGACGAGGAAGCAGGCTTTGGAGCTTGGTGAAATGGAGGGAGATGAGTTGAGAAACGAATACTTGCGGGAGAAGTTAGGGCTTTTGCTTGTGGAAAGGAAGAGTCTTTCGCAAGAAGGTGAATCTATGATCTCTTCACTCAAAGCTGCGAGATTAAATCGGCAAATCTTTGATTAGAAAGTTAATTATGTTTAGATTGAGCTTTTGTGTACTTTAGGCTTTAGCCACGTCTTCTAATTTGTAAATTGCTATTCTTATTCTGTACTTTTGCCTCGTTTAATTTAAATCATTTCTAATCAAAGGTCACTCCAAAATTTAACAACAGTTTAACATTTCGTTAGTAAATTTAAACTGTTGATAATTTTAGTTAATGGGCTAATGTGCAAGGCCCATGTCATTTCTTTCCTTCAAATTATTCATAACATTGGGCTAATGGGCTAGGCCCATTTGATTTCTCTATACGACGACGTATTATGTGTCTCTTTCCTTCAAATGATTCCTTCGTTTAGTCTCCTTCATTTTGTACAGAAGAAGCAAAGACGAGAGACCCGACCCGAGAACCCGGACGAATCGAAGATGGGCAAAGATGGATTGAGCGACGGCCAGGTGTCTTCAATGAAGGAAGCATTCACGCTCTTCGACGCGGACGGCGACGGGAAAATCGCTCCGTTGGAGCTCGGGATCTTAATGCGGTCACTCGGCGGCAATCCCACAGAAGCCCAGCTGAAATCAATCATCGCGACCGAGAATCTCTCTTCGCAGTTCGATTTCAATCGGTTCCTCGATCTCATGGCGAAGCATCTGAAAACGGAGCCGTTCGATCGGCAGCTTCGCGACGCGTTCAAGGTGCTCGACAAGGAAGGCAGCGGATTCGTGGCGGTGGCGGATCTGAGGCATATACTGACTAGTATCGGCGAGAAGCTTCAGCCGAGTGAATTCGATGAGTGGATCAAGGAGGTTGATGTTGGATCCGATGGTAAGATCCGGTATGAGGATTTCATCGCTAGGATGGTCGCTAAGTGAGATCTAATCTTTCATTTTGAAATTTGAATTTGAATTTTTTTTACTCCTTTTGTTTATTTGAATGTTAAGGGTTTGTTCAGAAATGTTAATTGCAATGCAATAGGAACTTGATTCTATTCCCGGAATGATAAATCTCTTATCTTTATGCTATTCATTGAGTTGGATCAAGGAATGTGATTGTTTCATATCTCTGAAAAAATGGTTCCTTTAGCTATCAAAATGCTGGAAAAACATATAATATGACCGTTTGTGTTGGGATCGAAATGGTATTAGAGATATTGTGTTGGGATCTTATGCTATCAAGTGGTTTGATCATGAATGTGATTGTTTCCTCTCACTGAAAAATGGTTACTTTAGCTATCAAAATGCTAGAAAAAACATAATAATGAGATTGTTTGGGATCTTGGAATGGAATCAGAGATATTTGTGTTTGATCTTCTACTTTTGCTTGCTCGATATCCTTGGAATTGGTTTTGATCATGAACTATTGTTGGGTTTCTTGCATTCTTGGCAAAGGAAATGAATTTAAAATTTTATTTGCAGAAAAAACATTGAATTTGCGTATCACTTGAGAACAAAAAGTCTATTTTCATCTTTGTTGTTGTATCTTCTTCATCTTCTGTTTTGCATCATTTGGCAATGGTGTCATTCATTAGTGATGCAACGATTAGTATATAAACTAGTTGATGAGATTGAGAATATAGAGCAAATTCTTGGAATAACCAAACGAGTATCATTACTGACAAATTGTCTTAACGCAACAAAGTTGGAAAAGAAAGCATAACCACAAATCCAATCAGAGACAAAGCACAAAAATTTGGAAGCGGCGGTGGTGATCTAACGAAGTCTTCTGGCTTCTCTCTCAGACTCGAGCAAAGTGAGGATATCGCCTTCTCTCACTGGTCCTTTAACATTTCTCATGATGAAACGGTCAGAGTCTGTGAACTTGACTCGAACTTGCGTCACCTGACCCCTCGATCCGGTCCTTCCCATTACCTTCACCACCACGGCGTGCTTAATCGCAGAGTCCATTTCTCACTGAGCTGAATAAACAACCATGAAAAACCAGAGCAAATATATATCAGAATTCACATATGCAAAATCAGCAGTAGAAGAAACAGAGCAAATAGAGAAGCAATTATCGAAGAAAACAGAGCAGGATTCTAATGATAGATTCGAGAAGCAATTACGGATAGGGTTAAGTAAAGCAATAAACTTTGCAACTTAGAAGATGTTCCTAAGATATTTTCACTCTGCTTCAATGGTATTGCTCATGAAATGAAACAGTAACTCACGAGATTAGTGATTTGATTTCTGAGATTACGGATAGAAACAGAGCAAATGAAGAAGCTTTGTGAAACTACGGATTCGATTATCTAAGAAAACAGAGCAGGATTCTACCGATAGACTAGAGAAGCAATTCAGCCGATAAATCTGTGAGTAAAGTACAGAGAAAAGAAGAAACCTGTAGATAGAACGACGAGAGCTTGGCGGCGACAACTAGAAAAACCTAATTTCGTAGAGAAGGGTGATAATTGGATCTCTTCGATTATTATATAGTGATGTTTAGTTTTGCCAATCTCATTTGGGCCTTCACTGATTCCTCCGAATAATAATTTGGGCCTCTTTGTATGTTTAAATAAGCCCATTTGCTTGATCGTCTCATCATACATATCAAATGTCCGGTTTACCCATATGTTGTTGAAAGTTTATTTACCATTTTGTTTTTGCAATAATACAGAAACTTCCAACAAATACTAGTTGTTAGAGAAAGCCAATAATAAAAAAAATTGTATGTGTAGGAAGTTTCTGTATTATTATTGGTTGTATACAACAAACACTACTTGTTTTTGCAATAATACAGAAACTTCCAACAAATTGTTGGTACAAATACTAGTTGTTTTTGCAATAATACAGAAACTTCCAACAGTTACTAGTGGCTTTCTCTAACAACTAGTTACTAGTGGCTACTGTTGGTTTTATTTACTGAAATAAAAAGAGGAATAATATAATTCAGCTTTTAAACGATTATTTGATCACATATAATAATCATATACACATGCGAACAAGTAAGAGAGAAGAGAAATGAGAAAGTACAAAATGCATTCAATTTTTAGCCATTGCTCATTAAAAAACAATAAAAAGATTCTCTTGGTTGATGAACCTATTTATTTCATTTGTCAACACTCTCTTCAACAAACTGATAATCAGTTTATTACTATTGTTTTCTGTTCTTTCCAAAGGAACTTTGGCCTGATTCAGTCGTTTCCTCATGAACTCCATATTGTCAAGCGTCCTGCCTGCTCCAGAAGATCCCATTATTCGTGTACATACACTTCACTCTATATATGGCTCTTCATTCCATCTTGCTTATATGTTTCTTTGATCCATTTTCATCAAAGAGTAGATCTGATTTTACATATTTTATTATTTATTTTTTGGTTGAGGATCAAGAACTTGTGTTTTATTCTGTCACTTTAATGATTCTGAAAACAGGTGTATTATGCTAGTAGAGATGATCCTAGTCCGGTCAAGTTGAATTTGAGCATAGGTGCCTATAGAACTGAGGTAATTTTCTTTGTTTCCTTTTATCTATTTCCATGGATCTTCATAGTTAATCATACATTTTACGAGCTCAGGTTTTGATTAGCTTAGTCTTCCCTGTGGATTTTTACAATTATTTCTTTCATTAAAGGAAGGAAAGCCTCTTCTTCTTGAGGTGGTGAGAAGAGCAGAGCAAGAGTTAGCAAACGACAAGTAAGTTAAAATATTTAAAATGTTATGATTGGAGTAGGTTCATTTGAAATAGATATCTATATTAATGTTTGAAAAAGAAATATCAAACAATCAATATTGTTTTATTCATTCGTTTTCACTTGTTTGTTGATTATAAAGGTGCCGAGACAAGGAATATCCTCCACTTGATGGACTTGCTGATTTTAACAAATTAAGCGCTAAGCTCGTCTTAGGTGATGATAGGTAATACAATTTCACTACCATTTTCTGAAAATATTTAATCCGAAATTTACTCTAAATATTGTATCTTTTTTGGGGTTGGACAGTTCTGCAGTGAAAGAGAAAAGAGTTGTTACAATACAATGTTTGTCTGGTACTGGTGCTTTGAGAGTTGGAGCTGAGTTTCTAGCAAAAAACCACCAACAAGTAACATTTCTCAGTCACTATTTTACATTAGTTTTTGTTAATTACCATTAGGATTTGGTCAGCCCTTAACATTTCACAAATATGCCATACGAATATTAACGACTAACTTAAGTCGTTAATATACTCACAATCTTTGCGACTAACTTAAGTCGTATAACAATTTACTACGTACTGTACATTGCGATATATTTGTTATATCGTATTATAGAATTATTGTAATGTTAAGTTGGTATAACCATAATATGTAGTAATGTTTATACGTATTATGGTGATGTAATGTTTTTGTAGAACCATATAATATGTAGTCTAATGTTGACACCAAACTTAACCTTTAAACTTGCTTTTGACTATTTTGAAACTACAAAAATAAACCTATAAACTTGCTTTTGACAAATCTAAAAGTTTTTATTTTTCAAATTGTTTTTACCGCTTTCAGAGTGTCATTCTCGTTCCAAACCCAACGTGGAGTAACCATCCACCTCTTTTCACTTTGGCGGGTTTGTCAGTAGAGTATTTTCGTTATTATGATCCAAAAACTCGAGGAATCGACTTCCAAGGTTAGTTTTATAATTATCTCCATGAACACTTCTGTTTAGTGTTATGCCAATCATAAAAATTCTTGGAGTTCAAAACAGGACTGCTCGAGGATCTTGGTGCTGCGCCCTCTGGAGCTATAGTGGTGTTGCAAGCTTGTGCGCATAACCCCACAGGAGTCGATCCAACACTCGAACAATGGGAACAGATTCGACAAGTAGTGAGGTCTAAAAGACTATTACCCTTCTTTGATAGTGCATATCAGGTAAGTCATAAAACTATATTTGCTTTTGTTGCCTTGTTCTACAAACAAATGACACTCTTTAATAGTGTTTTGATGTTTTCTCATCACGCAACAAGCATTATCACTATTTTCACTTGAAAACACTTACACGGATTCACACAAAACATTTGGATTTACTTAGTAGTATATAAAACTGGAGAAACAATGAAGTATTGATTAAAAAAGCAACATGCTTTAATTTGTTTACTTCAGGGTTTTGCTAGTGGTAGCCTTGACAGAGATGCACAAGTGATTCGCATGTTTGTTGATGATGGAGGAGAATGTTTGATAGCTCAAAGTTTTGCCAAAAACATGGGTCTTTATGCGGAGCGTATTGGCGCTCTTACCATTGTAAGCAACCATGCAAATTTTTCACTTACATTGTCACTAATAAAACATTAAAAAGTGTATATGTAGTAATCTTCATGGGTCTAAATGTGAAGGTATGCGAGTCAGAAGATGTGGCTAGGAAAGTTCAAAGCCAAGTGATACTTATTGTGAGATATATGTATCTTTGTCCACCTACTCATGGAGCATCAATTGTTACAACAATTCTTAAAAACAGGTATGCAAGACTTAGAATCATTCTTGAAACACTTATTAAATAACGAATTTTGATTATGCTCAAAATATTTTTTGTTTGCATGCATCTTGGCAGTGATATGTACAATGACTGGACCATTGAGCTGAAAGGAATGGCTGATCGCATAATTAGCATGCGCCAACAGTTATTTGAAGCTATACAAGCTCGAGGTTTAGTTTGATACCTTTTTATTTTACTCAATGTACTTTGTTAATCCTCTCACATTTGTATCATCCATATATAAGTTTTATTTTGTATCATTTTGGTCTTGCAGGCACACCTGGTGATTGGAGTCACATTATCAAACAGATTGGGATGTTTTCTTTCACAGGATTGAATGAGAAGCACGTTCGCTTGATGGCTAAAGAGTATCACATTTACATGACTGATGATGGGTAAGGGAAAAAATATATTATCTTCAAATGTTTATAGTACTCAGATTATTATATATTACGAACAAAAGAAGAAAAATATTCAAGAAAATTCACATTTGAAGTGTTGAAAAATGGGTTAAGTATTAAATTATTTGTTTAGTTTCATTGAAAAAAACTTAGCTTCATAATGATAATTGTGTATTGCAGGAGGATAAGCATGGCAGGTCTTAGTCCAAAGACAATACCTCAACTCGCTGATGCTATACATGCTGTAGTTGCATGCGTCGGCTAAAATATCACTTTATGATTTTATTTTTATGAAATTATTGGTTAAAAAAAACAGAGTTCTTGGTTTACATTTTACAAAGAAGCATATTATATATGATTTTTGTATGAATCGTTAAACCGGCCAAAATGCTTGTGTTGTATTTTTTGGGAACTTTGTTATATGATTTTTGTTATTATTTCATGAATACATTGACTTAAAATAACAAAGTTCTTGGTTTACATTTCACAAAGAAGCAAGATTATTGTGATACAACTAACTTTTTTTTATGAATCGTTATATGATTTTTGAATTAATCGTTAAACCAACCAAAATGTAAGTGTTGTATTTTGGGTATGCCTTTATAAGGACCAAAAGCATTTAATCATAAGTTGAGAGATGATCTAAGTTTTCTTAGCTTTTTTTTTCCAGATTAATTTCAAATGTCCATCAAAATAGAGAGAAAGAGAGATTACAAGTTTCATTGAAGTTTTAGCTATTAGAGGGGGAAAAAAATTAAAAAATAACATTATCTTGGTTGGTGAACCTAATTATGCTTTCATTTCTAGCTAACGACTCTGTTTAATAAATCGATAATCAACTTTATTTTTTTGCTTTAGTTCTATCAAAATTCACTTTGACTGATTCAATCATTTCCTCATGAATTCCATATTGTCAAACATCCTTCCTGCTCCAGAAGATCCCATCCTTAGTGTACATACACTTCACTCTAAGCCTCAATATTCGATCTTGCTTATATGTTTCTTTGATCCATTTCACCATTTTATGACAAGACTATAGTAGATCTTATTCTATTGACTTTATCTTTTGGCCGACGATCAACAAGTTGAGTTTTATATATGTTTTACTTTGATGGTTGAGAAAACAGGTAATATTTGCTTATAGAGATGATCCTAGTCCGGTTAAGTTGAATTTGAGCGCAGGTGCCTATAGAACTGAGGTAATTTTTAGTCTTTTTCCCCTATTTTCCATGGATCTTCACAGTCTCAATGATTGAGTTATTGATTAGATTAGTCTTCTCTTGTTTTTTTTATTTGTTTCTAATAAAGGAAGGAAAGCCTCTTGTTCTTGAGGTGGTGAGAAGAGCAGAGCAACAGTTAGCGAATGACCTGTAAGTTCTTTATCGATATTTTTGATAAATTTTTTTTTTGTGTTTTTTTGTTTGTTAATTATTTAGTAACCTATGTTTTTTTACGTTTTACCATCAAAGGTCCAGAGACAAGGAATATCCTCCACTTGATGGACTTGCTGAATTTAACAAATTAAGCGCTAAGCTCGTCTTAGGTGATTATAGGTAATACAAATTCAACTTAATTCTCTCATCTTTTCTTTTATTATTTTTAAAAATGTTAAAAATATGAGGCTTGGTTAGATTTTCTTTTGTAGCTAGCTGCTGAATTTTAGGTCTATGATATTTTCTTAATTCTTTAGGTTATTTTTCATATATTTTTTATAAAGCTCTAGGTTATTTTTGATTGTATCATAAATATTGTTTTTGTTTATGTTTTGGGCAGTCCTGCAATGGAAGAGCATAGAGTTGTTACTATACAGTGTTTGTCTGGTACTGGTTCACTGAGAGTTGGTGCTGAGTTTCTAGCCAAAAACCACCAACAAGTAAAAATTTCTCACTAAATCATCTGGTTTTCTTACAATAATATTCGACTTATTGTTTCTCATTTCTTTTAGAGTGTCATTTTCGTTCCAAACCCAACATGGGGAAACCATATCCCTATTTTCACTTTGGCGGGTTTGTCAGTAGAGTACTTTCGTTACTATGATCCAAAAACTCGAGGAATCGACTTCCAAGGTTAGTTTTATAATTATCTCCATGAACTCTATGTCTTTGATCACCTTCCACATTGTTACATTTTATCTTAGTTTTGTTTACTCCCATAATGATCACTGTTTGATTGGCCCATTCACACAAAACGTTCACCAAGTTTCCCTTGATATGACCAAAATTATGTTTAGTTTATATTACAACATAAATTCTTGATTTCAAACCAGGACTGCTCGAGGATCTTGGCGCTGCACCATCTGGAGCTATAGTGGTATTGCAAGCTTGTGCCCATAACCCCACAGGAGTTGACCCAACACTTGAACAATGGGAACAGATTCGGCAAATAGTGAGATCTAAAAGATTATTACCCTTCTTTGATAGTGCATATCAGGTAAGTCATAAAAGTGTATTTGCTTTGTTTCTACAAAAGTACAAACCAATAAAACTCTTTTATATTGTTTTTTTCTCATTTAGTATTAATTATCACAATTTTTCACTTGAAAAAACTAACATGGATTCATACAAAAACATTTTGGATTTATCTAATAATATTCGAGATTTAGTTTTAAATTCAATAATTCAATATTTGGACTATGAATTCAGGGTTTTGCTAGTGGTAGCCTAGACTCCGATGCACAAGTGGTTCGTATGTTTGTTGATGATGGAGGAGAATGTTTGATAGCTCAAAGTTTTGCCAAAAATATGGGTCTTTATGCGGAGCGTATTGGTGCTCTTACCATTGTAAGCAACCAAAAACTTCTCTCACTTTCATCGCCATTTGCCACTAGCATGTGTTGTTTTTGCGTTTGGTGATGGAAAATCAGCCATTTACGTTTACATTTTCCAAAAGTCTTATGAAGAAACTGAAAATGTTATGTATTCGTAATATGTGCATTTTGTTTTTGTATTTGTTTCACATGCATACGTAAATCAATTTATAGTAATAAAGCATTCAAAAGTGTTTACATAATCTTCATGAGTCTAAATGTGAAGGTATGCGAGTCAGAAGAAGTGGCTAGGAAAGTTCATAGCCAAGTGTTACTTGTTGTGAGACCTATGTATCTTTGTCCACCAACTCATGGAGCATCCATTGTTACCACAATTCTTAAAAATAGGTATAGAATAATTCTAGTTGCGTTGAAATACTTATTACGTTAAACAATTTTGATTATGCTCAAAATGTTCATATGTGCATACATCTTGGCAGTGATATGTACAACGACTGGACCATTGAGCTAAAAGCAATGGCTGATCGCATAATTCGCATGCGCAGACAGTTATATGAAGCTATACAAGCTCGAGGTTTACTTTAATGCCTTTTTAACTTTCTCAATCTTTTGATTATCTTCTCAGTTTTGTACCGTTTTGGTCTTGCAGGCACACCTGGTGATTGGAGTCACATTATCAAACAGATTGGGATGTTTTCGTTCACAGGATTGAATGAGAAGCACGTTCGCTTGATGGCTAAAGAGTATCACATTTACATGACTTATGATGGGTAAGGAAAAAATATCTTCTCTTTAAATGTACTTGTCTATTTTTCATGAAAAAACCTAGCTTTATAAGGTTGTGTATTGCAGGAGGATAAGCATGGCTTCTCTAAGTTCAAAGACAATACCTCAACTCGCTGATGCTATACATGCTGTCGTTACATGCGTCGGCTAAAATGGCGCTTTATGATTTTATGAAAGATTGGTTAAAAAACCAGAGTTCTTGGTTTACATTTTACAAAGAAGCATATTATATATGATTTTTGTATGGATCTTTAAACCGACTAAAATGCAAGTGTTGTATTTTTTTAATGCCTTTTATGAGGACTAAAAGCATATATATAATAATAAGTGGAGAAGAAATGACCTAATTTCTCATTAAGATTTTCTTCAATTATCTAACAAAAAAAAGATTTTCTTCAATTATTTCCAATTATCCACTAAAGCCAAAACAGAGATGAAAGCAGAGGAAACAAGTGGAAAAATCGGCACTTAAAACATTGCATGGATGACAAGTTTTCACCATGCCATGTTCAGTTACAGTTACAGGTGATTCCATCAATATTAGTTGTTTGATTCCAATAGACTATATGCATGTGTTAATAAAAAAAAACAAAAAAGATTGTGACCCCAAAATTTACGAATTTATTGTTTTTTCCTTTCGTGGCATTGTGCATGCCTTTCCCACACAACATGAAGCACGGCTCTGATCAGCTTAGAAACGTAACCATCATATGAAGACAAATTTTTATATTTTTATTATATCTCAAAGAAAAAAAAAAGATTTTTGTTTGGTGAACCTATTTATGCTTTGACTGCACAAAACACTCCCTTAAGTAACTGATCGTAGTTCTTTTTTTTTTTCTTTATATTTGTCTCAAATTCACTTCAATTGAGTCAAAACGTTTTCTCAATGAATTCCATCTTCTCAAGCGTTCTTCCTGCTCCCGAAGACCCCATTCTCAGTGTATATATCTACACTTCACTCTAAAGACCTTACTTATGTTTTCGTTGTTGTTTCTACTTTCTTACATGTGTTGCTTCGATCCATTTTTACGTTTTTGTTGTTATATCGTACAAACAGGTATATTTTGCTAGTAGAGATGATCCTAGTCCACATAAGTTGAATTTGAGCGGAGGTACCTATCGAACTGAGGTAATTTTGTTAACCTTTTTTTGTCTACATTGCATGGTTTTCTAAATCAAAAGTGATATTTTTGGTACGAGAAAAATATAAAAAAATTCACTTTTATTCAACACACTAATCTCTATGATGAAGCTAATTACATTAACTCGTTCTTGCTTGTGCTATATATTTGTTTCTAATAAAGGAAGGAAAGCCTCTTGTTCTTGAGGTGGTGAGAAGAGCAGAGAAGCAGTTAGCAAACGACATGTAAGTTAAATAAAATAATTTTGTTAATAAGACCTCAACTGCTTCACTCGCAATTTCTTCTTTTTGTAATTTTGGGGTCTCACATTTTTTTTTTAGTTCAACAAAATTGATTGATTTTTTTAAGAGTTGAGAAATTGATTAAATTTGTAGAGGCCTAAAGTCTGATTTTTTTTTCCATTTTTCTATCTTACAAACAAAGTTCCCGGGACAAGGAATATCTTCCACTTGATGGACTTGCTGATTTCAACAAATTAAGCGCTAAGCTTCTCTTAGGCGATGATAGGTAATGATAAATGATAAATTCACTACCATTTTCTTTAATTTTCTAAAACCCTTTATTTTATCTTTCATTCGACTATAAATATTTGTTTTTCTTTTTGGGTTGGGCAGTCCTGCAGTGAAAGAGAAAAGAGTTGTTACAATACAATGTTTGTCTGGTACTGGTGCTTTGAGAGTTGGAGCTGAGTTTCTAGCAAAAAACCACCAACAAGTAAAATCTAAATAATTTACTATAGCTTTCTGTTAATTAACATATAGCCAAGTGGTTTGTATTAGTGTTAGTCATATATAGTGTCACCACTTGGATTCAAACCTACATAATGCATGTTGTTTAAAGGAAAAAAAAAACTCGTAACATATCAAAAAATGCAAACAATTATCCCTATGCTACAACCCTACAATATACTACACACATTGTAAGGGCATTTTGTAGTTATTGTAATATGGAGTTCTTTGTTAGCATTTTTTTTATGCAAGATAGGGTTATAAAATCTTTCATAAAATGCTGATACATTGTTTTTTTTTTCAACATGTTTTAACGAATCTCAGATATCCTTTTACTGATAATTTTGTTTTTCTCTTTGCGTTCAGAGTGTCATTTACGTTTCAAATCCAACTTGGAATAACCATCCCAATATTTTCAATTTGGCTGGTTTGTCTGTGGAGTATTTTCGTTACTATGATCCAAAAACCCGAGGACTCGACTTCAAAGGTTAATTTTTATACTTATATGTCACACAAACTATCTTGTTATAGTGTATAGTAAACCAATCATAAAATTCTTGGTTACAAAACAGGACTTCTCGAGGATCTTGGCGCTGCACCATCCGGAGCTATAGTGGTTTTACAAGCTTGTGCACATAACCCCACAGGAGTTGATCCAACACTCGAACAATGGGAACATATTCGACAAGTAGTGAGATCTAAAAGATTATTACCCTTCTTTGATATTGCATATCAGGTAAGTCATAAAAAGTACATTTGCTTCGTTGCCTTGCTCTGCAAACAAATGACACTCTTTTATATATTGCTTTCTCACTAAACATTATCACTATTTTCCTTTGAATTTTTAGGGTTTTGCTAGTGGAAGCCTTGACAAAGATGCACAAGCGATTCGTATGTTTGTTGATGATGGAGGAGAATGTTTGATAGCTCAAAGTTTTGCCAAAAACATGGGTCTTTATGGGGAACGTATTGGTGCTCTTACCATTGTAAGCAACCATGCAAACTTCTCTCACTTTCATTAATATCAATAATAAACCATTCAAAAAAGTGTATATATAATCTTCAATATGGGTCTAAATGTGAAGGTATGTGAGTCAGAAGAAGTGGCCAAGAAAGTTCAAAGCCAAGTGCTAGTTGTTGTGAGGCCTATGTATCTTAGCCCACCTATTCATGGAGCATCCATTGTTACCACAATTCTCAAAAACAGGTAAATTATTTGTGTTCTTGAAAATGCTTATTAGATAAATGAATGTTTTAATGTAGATTTTGAACTATCCTCAAAACAGTGAAATGTACAAGGACTGGACCATTGAGCTTAAAGGAATGGTTAACCGCATACTTAGCACACGCCAACAGCTATATGAAGCTATACAAGCAAGAGGTGGTGAATTTGGTTTCCTCTGTTTTTTGTTTCTGTTAAAATGAACCATTCATGTAAGTTCTGGTTTTTGTAACATTTTGGTCTTGCAGGCACACCTGGTGATTGGAGTCATGTTATCAAACAGATTGGGATGTTTTCTTTTACAGGATTGAATGAGAAGCAAGTTCGCTTGATAGCCAAAGAGTTTCACATTTACATGACCTTTAATGGGTGAGTGAATAAGTACTAATTAAGAAGGTTATTATTAGCAAGAAATAAGTACTTACCCGAAATTGTGTATTGCAGGAGGATAAGCATAGCAGGTCTAAGTTCGAAGACAGTTCCTCAGCTCGCTGATGCTATACATGCTGCTGTTACTCGCATTCCCTCCTAATCTAGCGACTCTGTTCTTTGTTGGAGTTCTTGATTATACATTTCAGAATCATGTAGACTTGTTTGAATTGCAGAAGAAGACAGTTGTGTAAGATACTATGTTTGAGATTCCAAGATGTTATAAACTAGTTTCTATTATCAAACACACACACACAAACTAAGCAAAACAAAACATTAACGAAGGTTTTAGAGAAGATAAAAGCCAACAACATACTCTTTGCTCTTCTGTTTCTCTTCCTTCTATGTGTCTCCATTGCATGGAGCAGGCATGTTCATGGTCCATCTGGTTTATCTCCAGAGACTTACTATTTCTTTCACCAAAAATCATCACTCTCTGACAATAATCCACTACGAAACTTGCCTTTTGCTTTCACCTTCGTCTTTAAAGAATCTAATGTAGAAGCAGATACACAAGGAAGCAAAAGTTTCATCAGATGAATACAAAAGTGAGAGTAGCAGACATCTACTGTTCTTGATTCTGTAGTTTAATTGAGTTTGAATGAAGAGTGTTGGGAAAAAGCACTATGAGCATCAAGTTTCTGTTTCTCATCGCTAAAAGATTCATGATTTAACAAAATATAAACTAAAACCATAACCAAGCCAAACACAGTCTGAAATCTTCCTTGTGATGCTCACCACTCATCTTGTGTCAACATAACAACGATATAGAGAAGAGTGATTTACCTCTACATATCACCTTCTCTGGAAGATGATGAAACTGATTTAAGAAAGCATATCGAGGAAGCTTTTGTTCAATCTCCCATCATGACAACATATGAGTGACCAAGCCAAAGGTTGAAGCATCTGCAGCAAACCCGCAGCTCTTCATTTCGTTGATGAGTTCTGCTGATGCGGCTTTGTCACCATCTCTAAGGCTGCCCGGATCAGCGTATTGTAAGCACCGCTATTTGGGAGAGGCCCATCTTCTTTCATTTTCCTGAACAAGGCACTTGCTTCCTCCTTTAAACCTTTCTACAGAATCCTGAGATCATTGTGTGTATGTTACAACATCAGGCTTCACTCCTTTGACGAGGCTACAATAATTCCACGCATCTTCCACCTTCCCAGCCTTGCACAACCCTTCAATGATAATATTATGTGAAAATATTGAGTTCCATTTACTCTTTTGCATATCCTGGAATATGACCAATGCTTTCTAGCTTCCCGTTTTTACAGAGCCCATCTAACAAAATGTTGTATGTCATAATACTGGGAGGCACACACAGAAACCATCTGTTTGAAAACTTGTTGGGCACTCTCACAATCTCCAGCTTGGAAAAACCCTTGGATAAGAGTGTTGTAAGTGACTGTGTTGCCAACCAATCCTCTTTGAGACATATCACGAAACAGTTCCATGCCATCCTCTACCCTCTTAGACTTGCAAAATCCATTTATCAGAGTATTATATGTCACAACGTTTGGGAGACAATCTTTGCTAACCATCAAATCAAACATCTGCTTGGCCTCCTCTAGGCGACTCTGCATGCAAAACCCATTGATCAGTGAATGTAAGTAATAATATCAGGAGCTATAGACCTTTGATCATCTCCTCGTACAATTTTCAGCTTCCAAAAGCTTCCCCTCTTTCACAAACCCATCGATCAAAGCATTGAACGTAACAACATCCGGGTTGATTTTCTTCTCAATCATATCACTCAGTAGTCCAGCAGCATCTTCCCATCTTCCGTAATTACAAAGGCAGCTTATCAGGGTGTTGTAGGTAAAACGTCAGGTCTAATACCTTTCTTCTCCATTTCATTAATAGGTTGAGAGCATCATCCGGATGCTGTATTTGCAGAGACCATCAATGATGTGTTGTAGATCACAACATCTGGCTCTATTTCTCTTCCTCCATCTTCTTAAGAAGCTTTAAAGCCAAGTCAGTGTCACCTCTCTTACACACTCCATTTACCAACGCACCATAAGTAAGCAAATCTGGTTGACATCCTTTCAGCATCATCCGTTCAACTAAAGCCACTGCCTCTGAGACTTTGTTGTGGAGAAAAAGTCCATGGATTAGAGTGTTGAATGTGACGGTATTAGGTTCATATCCCAATCCACCATTTGATCAAGCAGAGATACTGCATCCGAGATCCTATTCCCGTGACAGAAACCATTGAGAAGCGAGTTAAAGTGACAATGCTGGGCTCATATCCAAGTTTCATCATCTTCCCAAGAAGAGCTAAAGCAGAGGAGTTGAGAGGAGCGGCAGAAACAGTTTATCAAAATACTGTAAGTATACAGATCATGTGCAATTCCCATTTTGCATCTGCTCTCCCAGAGAGATCACAACATCATACTTCTTCATCTTTGCAATGCACTCAACAATTTACTGAAATCAACAATGGAAGGCAAAGGACGAGACTTGACCATTTCACTGAACAAACCAATTGCATCATCTAACTTAACATCCTGTAGAAACCCACCTCTAATCTTCTCTCTGTAATCATAACTCCCACCAGAGAAAGCTCGTTTCCAGCAGCAGCAAAGGGAGAACGAAGGAGAAGAAGCAGTTCCAGGATTACCTCGGTTCACCAGAAGACCCGATGAGCAAATCTCTTGGCCGTAATTGCAATCGCGAATCTCATCTTCTCGATTTGGGATTAAGGTGATGAGGTTGCTTCTCAATTTCTCGTCTTTCTCGTTTTGTAAAACTCAGTAAACCCTAAATCCACCGAATCATGAACAGTGTGTGTTCGTTGTTCCACATGACTGAGAGTGACGACGAGAGAGTGGTTCCTGAAACCGGTTTAGTAAATTCTTTTATTAGCCTATTGAGATTCCCGGTTTGATTGCCGGTTTGCGCTTATTTTGGAATTTAAATGAATATTTATCATTTTACTTATTCCTTTGCAAATTTAGAGATGAATATTTCTTGATAAATTTAGTCATCTCGGAAAATTGAGTTCATCTTCATTTCGATTTCGATAATAAAAAAAAAACGAGACATTAAGGAAATTCAGTCAAAAGAGAAGAACTAAATCCAATATAATTACTTACAAGATTAAGAAAATGGACTCAAATGATAAACACCAAAAAGAAAAAACAATCTCGATAATTGTTGAGCTAATAGTAAATAAACCGGTTAACGAATAATGAACCGGACAACTACAGTTAAGAGTTATAAGAAGATGGTTGACTTGAGACAAAAGACAATAATCACAGTGGTGATTCTATATTTCTATAATTGGCGAGCTTGTAGAAAAATTGCTGTAAGAAAATCCATCGAACATACCGTACACGACTGAGATTTGGTTTTCAAAATCGAAAAATGTAAGTATTCGAGAACAAGTGTATACTGGAAACAAAGACATGATGAATCACAAACTACAACAGTGTTCTATAACCTTCAGCTATTCTTTTTGGCGAAAAAGAATTGTTTTAACCTCAAAAAAACGAAATGTCTTGCTTCTAAGCTACATGACCACTAAATTATAATTCAAACGAACCAAATATAGGGCCAAGCAATAAAAGCTTATCCTTCTTCAAGAAGAAGGAAACGAAGTTGCTTGGAGAAACTTGCCTGCAAGAAAAAGTTGCTTGGAGATTTCAAAAACCCAAAGAAAAAGGTTTACAAGTAACAATGACAGCAAGATATATACAGAACAAAATAATCACTCTGGTAAGAAAGACAGAGAGAAACAATGGTGAGTGAGATACTGTGACCAAGCTTTCTGCAGAAATTACCAAAAATCGAATAAAAACATAAACTTTCTTCTCTAAATCCCAGGGAAAGCAGAGAGAAACAATGGTGAGTGAGATACTATTGACCAAGCTTTCTGCAGAGATTACCAAAAGTCGAATAAAACACAAACTTTCTTCTCTAAATCCCCAGGGAAAGCAGAATCTTCTAGACTAGTTTGAATAGCAGAAGAAGAATCTGTATGTTATTCTTTGAGACTAGTTTGAATCGAGTATGAAAAAACAAACAGAGTTGGTTAGTTAAACCGAGCACACTAGAAAAAATTAGTCAACAATAGTCCAGTCAAACTAACCATAATCAAGCCAAACCAAAGTCTGAGGTTTTCTTCTTGTACTCACCACTACTGATCTTGTATCAACCTAACAATTTAAATCACACAAAGCACAGTATCAGTCACCTGCATGAAGCTCAGACACATATATCTATCAACATATATAAGAAAAGGGAGATTCACCTCACAGACAGACGCTTTGAAAGGAAGAGGGTTGCTCAGGGATGATGAAACTGTTTTAAGAAAGCATATCGAGGAAGCTCTTGTTCAGTCTCCCATCAGACAACATTTTAGTGACTAAGCCAAAGGTGGAAGCATCTGCAGCAAAACCGCAGCTCTTCATTTCGTTGATGAGTTCTGCTGATGCGGCTTTGTCACCATCTCTAAGGCGTGCCCTGATCAGCGTATTATAGGTACCGCTATTTGGGAGAGGACCTCTTCTTTCATTTTCCTGAACAAGGCACTTGCTTCCTCCTTTAAACCTTTCTACACGAATCCTGAGATCATTGTAGTGTATGTTACAACATCAGGCTTCACTCCTTTGACAACGAGGCTAGAATAACTTCCACGCATCTTCAACCTTCCCAGCCTTGCACAACCCTTCAATGATAATATTATGTGAAATATCAGTTCCATTTCACTCTTTTGCATATCCTGGAATATGACCAATGCTTTCTAGCTTCCCGTTTTTACAGAGCCCATCTAACAAAATGTTGTATGTCCAAATATCAGGAGGCACACGCAAGAAACCATCTGTTTGAAAACTTGCTTGGGCATTATCACAATCTCCAGCTTGGAAAAACCCTTGGATTAGAGTGTTGTAAGTGACTGTGTCTCCAACCAATCCTCTTTGAGACATCTCACGAAAGAGTTCCATGGCATCCTCTACCCTCTTACACTTGCAAAATCCATTTATAAGAGTACTATAAGTCACTACGTTTGGGAGACAATCTTTGCTAACCATTAAAGCAAACATCTGCTTGGCCTCATCTAGCGACTCTGCATGCAAAACCCATTGATCAGTGAATGTAAGTGATAGTATTAGGATCTATAGACCTTTGATCATCTCCTCGTACAATTTCTCAGCTTCCAAAAGCTTCCCCTCTTTCACAAACGCATCTATCAATGCACTGAAAGTAACAACATCGGGGTTGATTTTCCTCTCAATCATATCCTTAGTAATCCAGCAGCATCTTCCCATCTTCCGTAATTACAAAGGCAGCTTATGAGGGAGTTGTAGGTAAAACATCGGTCTAATACCTTTGTTCTCCATTTCAGTTAATAGGTTGAGAGCATCATCCGGATGCTGTATTTGCAAAGACCATCAATGACTGTGTTGTAGATTACAACATTTGGCTCTATTTCTCTTCCTCCATCTTCTTAAGAAGCTTTAAAGCCAAGTCAGTCTCACCTCTCTTACATACTCCATTTACCAACGCACCATAAGTAAGCACATTTGGTTGACATCCTTTCAGCATCATCCGTTCAACTAAAGCCACGCTTCAGAGCTTTGTTGTGGAGAAAAAGTCCATGGATTAGAGTTGTAAATGTGACGTATCAGGTTTATATCCCAATTCCACCATTTGATCAACCAGAGATACAGCCTCAGAGATCCTATTCCCGTGACAGAAACCATTGAGAAGCGAGTAAACGTGACAATGCTGGGCTCATCCAAGTTTCATCATCTTCCCAAGAATTGCTAAAGCGAGAGGGAGTTGAGAGGAGCGGCAGAAACAGTTTATCAAAATATTGTAAGTATACAGATCATTTGCGATTCTCAAATTCTGCATCTGCTCTCCCAGAGATATCACAACATCATACTTCTTCATCTTCGCAATAGCACTCAACAACTTATTGAAATCGATTATGGAAGGCAAAGGACGAGACTTGACCATTTCACTGAACAAACCAATTGCATCATCTAACTTAATACCATTCAGAAATCCACCTCTAATCTTCTCTCTATAATCATAGCTCCCACCAGAGAAAGCTCGAATCCAGCAGCAAAGGGAGAATGAAGGAGAAGCAGTTACAGGATTACCTTCGTTCACCAGAAGACCCCGATGAGCAAATCTCTTGGCCGTAATTGAAATCGCGAATCTCATCTTCTCGAATTGGGATTCCGGTGATTGGGTTTCTTCGCAATCTCTCTTTGTCTTTCGATCTGTAAAACTCAGTAAACCCTTGAATCACATGAAAACTGTGTTCTTCAGCCACTAAGAGTGACGAAGAGAGAGTTGGCTCCAAAAGCCGGTTTACTAAATTTCCCTATTGAGCTTCCGGTTTGCGTTTTTTTCTGGTTTGTTTCTCAATTTGGTGGGGCTTACCAATTTGCGTTTTATCTATTTTCATTTTATTTTAAAGAAAATGGTTTACTTATTTATTTATTTATTTTTCATTTTACTTAGAGAGGAATTGAGTTCATTTTCATTTTCATTTTCGATTTGTGTAATAAAAAATCGCATTAAAAAATTCCAGTCACACTAGAATAGTTCAAATTGTTAAATCCAATATAACTACATTCAACACGTACAAAATCATACTCCACTCTAGACAAAAAAAAACAAATATGCAAATGATAAAAGCCAGATTTAAGACCAGGTACTGACGATAATACACGTAAACGAAACAGACTTTTTTTTCAAACCATAATAAGTTGAACACCAAACAAAAAACAATCACGATAATTATTATGGTTAAGACCTTGATAAATAAACCGGGTTAACAATCGGAAAATCCAGTTATTCCGGCTAAGTGTTTTCAGAAGAAGATGATGGTTGAGACCAAAGACAAGATGACAGTGGTAATTCCATAACCGGCGAGTTTGTTTCCAGCTCCGACGTCTTTATCTTTATTTCCTGCTGAAACCAATGAACTCAACCAATATGAGAAAATTCGTCTCTCACACAAATTAATTATAAAATACGATTTATTTTGTATTATAAACTTCAACCTGACAAGTGACAAGATTCATTTTTTGGAGGCAAAAGAGAGTACAAAGAAAAAGCTGACATTCACATTCACAAGTTCACACTCAGTTTTGTATTTTTAAATAAAGTAACAATAACAAATCCTTTTTTTTTTGTCAAAAGTACAAAAACAAAAACAAAAAACAACATTTCATCTGATTAATAAACATAGACGAATCACTTCAAATGTTGATTAAATAGATAAATCCACCCAACATAACCCATCCATCCAACACGACTTCAAATTTGATTTTCAAAATTGAAAATTTAATAAAGTATTGGAGAAACATAAAGTAATGAGAGTAGGTGAAGTTTAGTTTATACCTGGAGGAGATAAAGAAGCTTTTGGCGATGGAGTTCCAGAAGCTGCATAACAAAATATTATTTCTAAAATCAATATCATAATTTAAATAAAAAAAACTCACATTCATAATATTTATTAATCAAGATTTATCAAATTTAAGTCAAAATTCGAAAGAAAATCAAGAAACTTAACATCAAGAAATCAAGATTCTTCATCGGAACCAACAGATCCATACCAAAGATCAAAGATCTGTAGAAAATGTAAAGTTACCGGAACAAGAAGTGAGATCAGTGTCGACGTCACACCGACGGCTGAGATTAAGAGCTTGAGAAGCATTAACGTTGAACTGAGAGAGTAAACCAGGAGTGTTGTAGATGTTGCAGAGGCAGCTAAGCTCTTTCTCCACGGCTTCTTTGATCGAGTCGCAACAATCTTTCGAAGGCTTCGTCGTCGTGTTCAAGGCACTGAAGCAGGGGACTAACTTGCTCACGCACGAAGTAGACGCTTGTGCTTCCACCGCCGGCAAAGAAATAAAAGCTATTGCCGTCATCGCCGCCGCGAAGATCATCGTGGACGTCGAGAAACTCGTCATTTCTTATTTCTTCTCTTCTTTCTCTTTAGATGTTGGAGATTTAAAGGAAGGTGGACGAGTTTTTGGGAGGTTACTTGTGGCTTTTGGTTTTGCTTTTGTTTTGGTTATAAATAAACAAAACTTGCTTAAGAAACCTTTCGCATTTTACTCTTTATTCCATAGTTATTGTTCATGGTTATGTGTCTTTTTCTTTTACTTGAAAAGGTTAAATGTAATTAATTTTATCGAAAATGATGTTTAGTATCATTCAATATCATTTGGTGTAAATTGTCGTACGTTTTAGCACACGCCAACGAGATTTTGTTTTTGTTTGTGTTTTTGAACTAAACCATATTTTGTTACATTTATTTTCCTTTCTTTTTAATGTATAAGCGAAAAATAAAATACAGTTTGATGCATTATTAGTTGATCTAGAAAATGCGAATTATGCAGTTGGATGGAAATAAATTAAAGTTACCATAAATCTTTACCATTGTATCTATAGAGTGGTTTTATGGTCGTAATTATATTTGGTGCATTGTAGATTTTTCTACTTATGTTTGTCGTAATTTTTTTTTTTTTTTTTTGTATCCCCTGGATCTGGATCTGGATTTGGATTGATGTTTTACTAATTTACTTCACATATATTGACCTTTTATGTTGGCAAAAACAAACAAACAAATTATTGACGGTAAAAGTGAACTTATTCACGGATCTTTGGAATTATATAAAGCACATGCATGATACATTATATTTTCATTTCATATTTAAAAGTTTTATTCTAAACACGCTTTTTTCAATTGTGTGCTATACGTGTATTCATTATCCTTTTAACACTGTATCAGTTTCTCTTTGCACATCTTTTTCTTTATTACAACAAATTTTCTTTGTTGATTAATAGAAAGTGCTTCATGCGGAAGAAAATGAAAATACCATTTTCGATACCACTAAATAGTAAATAACATTTGCGGAGTAATGGTTAGAAGTTTTCACCTTCTTCGACTTTCTAAATAGTATTTTTATTACACAAAAATGATGAGTCTTTCTACACAAGACTTATAATTCAATTCTATCACCTAATGTGGACCTAGTAGTATAGTTTGTCTTCATCATTTCAGCTTCCTAGAAATTTAAGAGATCATATCATATACCAAAAGAATTCAGTATAATGATATGTGTATTTATTTCAAGCTTCCTATCTAATTTACATATAAATGTATCATAATCTGAGTTGTCTAAATTATCATAGCATATGGGGTACAACATTTAACACATGCATGTATTATTTCATGCATGTTCAAATGTATTCATTAAGTATATTATATATATATATATATCTATACCCATTGCTGGCTATGATTATGATTAAACTCCAGGATCATTATTGGTTATTTATTTATCAAGTATTATTGGTTTAGGGATATACATTTTTCTTTTGAGTTTGGGCTTGATTGTTATGACTTCATATGGATGGATATACATTATGAAATCTAGGCATGAATTTATGATTGTAAAAAAAAATTATAATTATAAGTTTTTGGTTATGCAAAGAAAAGAGTTATAATTGTAACGTTTTTGGTTAATGCACAAATCAAAACCAAAGCAAACCGGTGAAAACCCATATGGGCCGTGGCTTAATTGGGCCTGTGCACAAATCGAAAACCTGACTTCCATCACGTGGACGAAAGATGATCGTCGGATCAAAACATCATAACGGTTACAGACTGATCAGACGACTCTAAGCACACATTGTAATTCAACGGTCACAAATAGTTCCGCCATAATAACAGATAAGAGATAACGTAACTACACTAAACTAAAAACAGAGCTCACAGAAAGAAGATAAATCTCAATGGCTTCGCTCTCAATCGGAATCGCCTTCGCGAACACCGTCCGTACAGTTCCGAGAATCAATACACGGAGGAGCAAAATCTCCTGCGAATGGGTAAAATAATGAATCATAATTTAAATTTCATCTGTTTTGATTTGGATGAAAAAAATTGATTTTTTTTTTTTCTTGTTAATTCGGAAAGGAAGGATCCGAAAGGGATTCTAGGTCCGGCGCAAACGGGTCACATCGCTCGGCTTGAGTTTAAGCGTCGCCTAGAGAGAGATTCGGATGCGAAAGAGGCGTTTCAGAAACAAATCCGCGAGGAGAAAGAGCGTCGTCAAGCTCTTAGACAAGTAAAACAAAAAGTTTGGGTCTTTGCGAAATTGTTGTATCGATGGTTTTTGATTTTTTCTGTGTTTTTTTTTTGTTCAGTCTAGAGTTGTTCCAGATACTGCGGCGGAGCTGATTGAGTACTTTCTTGACACTGAAGCTCAGGAGATTGAGTTCGAAATCGCTAGGCTTAGAGGAAGGTTAGTGAATAAAATTAAAAATTGAGTTTTTGATTTGAATGTGCACACCAATTGTTCGATGAAATGTCTCTGTGAAGATGTTTTGATGCTTTACCTTATCAAATTAAATCCTTTTTTCTTTGGAAATGTATAAACTTGGTTAATAAATTAGCATTTGGGGGATTTTTTTCCAAAGTCGAAATCTTGTGTTAATGATTAATGTGATTTTCCAGGTTAACCGACGAATTCTTTGCACAGATTCGACTTGAAATTGGGCAAATCCGGTTTGCTGTTACAAAGACTACGGTACAATGTTTTCTTCAAACAACATTCAAATTTAGTGAAGACACAGATTTAACTATATTTTTCTGTTCTGAATCATGAAGGAAAATGAAGATAGATTGATTGAGCTTGAATCACTTCAAAAAGCCTTAGAAGAAGGAATAGGTTTGTATCTTAAGTCATTATACTCAACTTTCTTTTTATGATTTTGATTACTTTCTATTGTCATGTGTTGCTTTTGTTCAGAGGCTTATGACAAAATGCAAAAGGAGCTTATGACGGCTACAAATAGCTTAACCAAGATCTTAACCTCAACCGATATCAAAGCGACTGTATGTGTCCTTAGAAACAGTATAATGATCTTGAGGCATTGTTTTGATTCTTTTATATGTTTATGTACAGTTGTTGGATATGGTGGAGAAAAACGAAATCAACAGATCTTTGTTGACACTTCTTGATGAAAATATAGCAAATGCATACAGAGGAGACCAGGTTCGACCCGGTTAAGTTTTTCGAATCTTAATTGAAAAACTGAACCGAAATCTCAAATTGAATTGATGTAGGATCTTTATTGTCTTATAGATTCAGAATTTCAGATGTTTTTTTTCTTTGTTTGCAGAAAGAAGCAGGAGATTACATGGAGAAAGTACGTGCTTCGGTTCTAAAGTACTTGACTGTGTAGGGATCATATTAGTCAAAAGCTTTGGAATGTTTTGTTTTGTTTTGTCGGGTTAAAATGTATTTATATTTTCTTCTTTTTTGTTGAGTGAAATGTATTTTTGTTTCTAAAGGATGTTTAAATTTATTTGTTTATAGAGTCATTTCAGGAAAAGCTATTACCAAGAGTTGAAATATCTAGTTTTAGTAAGCTCTGGTTTTATTTCATTCATTGCATGTCTATCTCTTTCGAGACCATGTGCGTTGTGACGATCAAAATCTCTTCACTTCTTTCTAAACGAAATAAAATAATGGCAAATTCATATTCCTCAAGAAAGTTGTATTATACAATGACTAAGTATTGGAAACTACAAAGGGAAGCATGGCCTCTCATTATCATCTTTAATTTTTATTTATTTCACACTGTGACACATTTATCCAAATTATTACTTTCTTCACATGCAGTTTGTGTGTGTGTGTGTGTGTGTCTCCTTGGTTATTTAGAGCACATACTAGTATAATAAAGGGACTAAACATGATTTGAAAAAGATAATATACATGCACTTGTTTGATTGTTTCTCGTCTTCTTTTGGCAAGTTAACAACTCTACTATTACCGTAATTTATTACCAAACTTATGAACTTTTCCTTTGATCACGGAATGTTCATTTCAAATGCGTTGGTCTTTTCTTATGGTGGCAGACAAAAAAACAAGTGATAATAACTCTAGACGTTGAATAGTAGTAATACCGTACAACAACACATTAGTTGGGTTTACACCAAACCAAATTTAAAACCATTTATTAGGTAAATATCAAATCAACTGACCTGTTTATCCGGATTAACGCTCATCCATCCGCAGAAAAAAAACAAATAGTGATTGCATAAAGAAAAACGCATGTCGTAAACCATTATGATCTAGATAAGCATCTCAAATAACACAATAATGCGTTGGGTAAAGAGTTACTAATTAAATAATCCAACAGTTGCAATTGTGGATATGTCTTGATCGATGACTCAGCTTGAAACTAGAATCTGCACATGAATACATGTAAATGTGTAGCTAGATTGCGTCAGTGGTTTTAAACCAAAGTGAGTGAGACATTTCTATCCATTTAATCATTTCTTTTTCTTTAGAAATAAAAATATGTATATGCAAAAGAAGAGTCTCTCTACTTTGACCTAAATCAAACCCTATATAAATAACAATCCCTTGTAGTCTTTCTCTTCAGTTAACAAAGAAGCAAACAAACAAACATAAACTAGGAAAAGAAAAAAAGAAAAAATCATGGAGCCTAAAAGTACAATCTTTCTAGTTCTACTCCTATCTTCAACCATTCTCCAATCTTCATCCGCAAACCCAAACCGGTCCGAACTAGACCGGTTCATCGAGTCATCATGCCAAACCACACGATATCCATCACTATGTGTGCATACTCTCTCTGCTTATGCCACCACGATTCGCCAAAACAATGACCAAGATCTCGCCCAAACCGCTCTCACCATCAGCTTGGCTCGAGCCAGAGCCGTTGCTATATTCATAGCAAAACTAACCAAAGAGTACGTTTTCCTAAACCGTTAATATTCCATACTAAAATCTAGACTAATTTCTGAAAACATATAAGTTGCATAACATTATATTTCCTATAATAAGTATTAATTGTTGTTTTGGATAAACTTTGTTCTATATGTAGAACGCAAAGTTTCAAACGTAGAGAGTATTTAGCAATCAAAGATTGTAATGAAGTGTTAAGCAATAGCGTGGACCGGTTAGCTCAGTCGGTTAAAGAACTTGGTCGAGCTGGTCATGCTGTGGCTAGTGAGGACTTCATGTGGAAGATGAGTAATGTTCAGACATGGGTTAGTGCCGCTTTGACGGACGAGACAACGTGTCTAGATGGATTCTCGGGTCGAGCCATGGAAGGGAAAGTGAAGAGGCTGGTTCGGTTTAAAGTGGTTCACGTGGCTCAAGTCACTAGCAATGCTCTTGCTTTGGTTAATCAGTTTGCAGAGAAACGAAGTGTGAAGATTCCCTAATGGAGGTTCTGTTTTTCTTTAATGACTAATGTGAAAATTTTGGCATCTATGTGAAATATTGAATCTGAGTTGTGTAAATCGTTGCCTTTTTTTTGTCGGTCGAAAAAAAAAAGATTGTGTAACAATCTTTGTTGTGTTCTGTATAATATTGTATTTTTAAGATAAACATATAGATGTACTTTTGTTGTTGAGTAAAGTTTAGATATACTTCATATTGACATATTTTAACATCAAAGTAAATTCACTCTCTTATTAAAGCTTATAAATGCAGTTTTGAGATTCACACTAAACTTTATATTTTTCAATTTAACTAGACTAATGCCCGCGCATACGCGCGGGTTTTGTTGTTGTTAAAGTTTTTAAAAAATGCTCGAAAACAATTTTAGATTTGCGATTAATATTATAAAGTATAATCCAATAATATCCATATTTAATTCCTATTTGTTGGTTAGCGACTGACTTTCAAACATATATTTTCTATCATACCACATGTCTATGAACCATTAACTCTCTTTGTTTACTCACGACCACATAGAACGACTCTGATTTTCCGCCATCGATTTTTGCTAAATCCATTTCTCCATATATTAGAGAATTTAGATGTTTAATAATAACTTAAGATGGAAGCCGAAATGTAAAAGTCTTGGATTAATAGAGTGATTTTTATTATCATAAGTTGAAATGTATAAGATTTAGAGTTATTGACTGGAAAGAAGAGGAAAAGTCATGCCACAATATCAATTAATGGAGTGTTGATACAACATGGAAGGTGAAGCAACTGACGGTTTTGAAACCTATTATAACTGTAACGACTAAGAATGCGAAGAGACTGCTCTCTTTAAAAGTTTTGCCACATGTCAATCATATGGAGAGAGTTGGTCTCAATTTATATATATGGTTTTCCTACGTGTAAACATTGGTAAGAGTGTAGTTTAAACGAGTCGTTCAATACTAGCCCATAGTTTATAGTACTAGTATAAAATGATAAAGTACTAATTTTACATATACAGTGTATATATATATCTTTGATATTTAAATTATTGTTAGTAACAAATTAACGGAAATTAATAATAAATACAAATAAGGAAGAAAGTTAGGAGACAAGATTTGTACAGAGACAAAAGTCTTGATTTGTTTCTAGTGATTCAGGACAAAATTAACGTGTTTTATGCATAATAATTGGAAAACAACCTATTTTTCTGTCATCAAATAGGACTGGAATCTAATAATTATGATTTTTAAGCCAATGGTACAATCTTAACACTAACAGCTGTTTAACTGATCACATGAACTGTAGTATATGATTACAGAGATTTGAAAGATCCCACTCAACATTTTTATTTTAAAGTGGGTTATTAATTTGATAATTTAATAAGATAGTAGGACTCTTTTTTGTTTCAGAAGTTTACTTTCAAAAAGTGTCTCAAATAATCAAATATTAGAGATGTCAATAATTTATTTTCTGGAGTTTTCAAACTTGAACTTCCACCGCCAACAAAACTGCAAATTTCAATCCTATTATTAGTGTTTATGTTTATGCCCCAAGAGGACAGGACAGGACAAGAGCTTCAAATTTCAACGACAGCTACCAAACTTTGTGATATTAAAAACTAAATAGAGAAAATACGAAATTTGTTCCCGCAATTTATGGTATTTTAAACCCTTTAACAAAAAAAATAAAAATAAATTATGGTATCTTCCCTTTTATAAAATCAACGATGAAAAGGGAAATTCTTATGGAAAAAAAGAAGAAGAAGGAAATTCTGAAACAAAAAGATGATTTTAGAAAAATATATGAATTAATTAATGAGTAAATTCACAATTTTAGGACGACGTAAAAGGAATATGGAAACTCGAACGAATACAAAACCCAACTTCAAAATAAAAAAAAAAAGGAAAAGAAAAGTCTATAAAAATATACAAACCCAACATTCATCGTTCAAACACGACCACATACACACAGAAACCTCTTTGGACTAATTCCCTCGAACTATGGAGAGCATCTACGACGACAACTCTGAGGCACAAACCAGGTGGTGCCACAGAGTAATGACTAGTAGCGAAAAATTTTACGAGGACGAGTTTCTTAGGATCCTCTCAGCCTCCTATGACCTCAAGAAGTTTGCGAATACGCTAACGTCAGATTCAGATAACTTGGTCGAAATCATCAGCGACGAAGCAGGCTTGGACCGCGTCATGAGGATCTTAGGAATATCAGACGATATCAACACGATACTTTTCCAAACAATCATGGCCAGATTCCCCGCGACTATGACTCTTAAGAGCGGCAAAGCTTTGGCGTCACGACTCCTAGACGTTTGCAACATTGACCAAAAGAACACGTTTTGCCAGTCCACGTACCGTCACGCCCTTCTCTTGGCGCGTGACGAAAACGGTTGCAGCACACTCAAGAAAGCCATAACAATAGCTGATGATATCTTAAAATCTGATTTCCTCGAGCTGATCTCTCTCAAGGCTCACTTCCTAAGCGAGGACGATTTAGGAATCTCCTTAATCCAACATGTGCTTAACCTCGACTATACACGGAAAGCCACAGAAGACGACACGCTCTTGCACGAGCTATTCGCGGAGTTTGATGAGATTCTCCCGACATGTGACACGGTGGAGCTTCTTAACCTTGCCTCGAAGCTGACGTCAGATTCTCGTCTCTTTTTGGAGTTTGTCAAAACAAAACGAGGCTTGCTCATGGTTCAGATCATCCTTGGAAGATCAGAAGAAGTCGACAGAGTGTTTTGGGAGGCCATCAGGCGAGGCTACACCGATCTTGCAATCACTCATCACGGTCATCGCATCATGTTACGAACCATAAACGTTTTCGAGAAAAGAGGAAACAAGAATGTGTACGCGCAAATCCTACGCCTAGTTGGATACAACGCTTTCTACCTATCCAAGCAACCTATTATGGGAAACGCCGCCGTACTGCACGCCATTAATATACACAACCCGAACTGTACGGAATTCATCGCTTGTGGGCTTCAATGCCACTACATTGAGCTTTCTTTTCTGAATAATGGAAGCAACATTGTGGAGAAGCTCCTCGGTGAAGTTGACGAAGATAACAACAAGTTGCCTATATTGTTTATGGTGGTGGAGATTGTCAACTGTGATGAAGATACGTTGGTGAGATTGGCCAAGGATGAATACGGGAATCGGGTTTTGGAAAAGACTCTACATGTGGCAGATTATCATCATTTGTATGATTTGGTAGATGATATTGTCGACAAGTTGGAGCCTCTTCTTGATACCTTGCGTGGGTCACGCGGAGAAAACATTGCAGCTCTATCATCCAGGCCAGTCTGACTCAGATCAGTCAGACAGTCTGAGTCAGACCAAGATTGTCAGACTGGTCTGATTGGTCTGAGTTAGACCTTGAGTATGAGATTGGTTTAGCATGGATTCTAAAGTTTGGATGATTAGTTTATTAGGTTTTTATCCTAGAATTTCCTTGGATTTTACGATTAATAACTATTTTATTTATTTGTTGAGATTTTGCAAGACTTTAATTTACTTTAATTTAACACCTTGGTTAAGTAACTCTGTTCCAATTTGGTTACGGTCTCTTGTTATGACCGCGTAACCAAGAGTAACCAAGTCTATAGTATTACTATAAAAAGAAAATACAAATCAAAGGAAAACATGATCTCTTTATCTTTTGGGAAAGGAAAAAAGGAGATTCTTCTTAACTTTTGTTTCATTAAGACTGAGTATGTCATGGGCAAGAGACGACAAAAGACATATGGACACACATAGACAAGATATCAAATTACTATGCTATAAACATTTCGTATACCTTTTACGAATAGAAAAGTATTCGTATACCTTTTACCAATAGAAAAGTATGCCTGCAAAAAAACGATTTATGATGTTAACTTTTTGGCCATCGTGATTACGTATACGAAACATCTAATTCATTATGGAAGCGAATGTAACAGATGAATTATTAAGATATGACTGTGCAGTTATGATTCTAATTTGGCGTCTATACCATTAAGATCAGTTTATACGACTAACCAACTATATTATCGTTGATATATAAATATATATATTTGTGACTGGTTAATGTCCATTATGCTCTATTATGGAATAATATAGCTTCAATATTGAAATGGTAATTATGGCTGTACCCAATTTTTAGTTGGACCAATCAATAGATATACAAAAATAAAATATATTCCTCAAGGTCAGGCTTCTCTCACAGTAATTATGGGGGTTCACAAGGCACCAAAGCCAGCAAATATCTAATTATTTCAACTAGTGAAGATGATGATAAATATAAATATATATACATATGTGACAAATATCGTTATATACTTGAACCGGAGAATTGGTCAGCTCTTTACCACCAAAAACCTCAGCCTCAATCAACTGAGTTATTGAACATGATTGAGTTATTAACGTACTCAACCAATAATCTTCTCACAAATTTCCTTTATATATATATTACATGTTCTATACATAAACACACACACATACACACACATGTACATCACTCTCACCTCGGCCCATTACTCTCTCAGAAAGATTCAAAAAGATGAAAATCTTATCTCAAATCCAAATATTTTTTCTCTCCATTGCTCTTCTTCTCTTCATCACATCATCATCACCAACACATTCAAAGCAAACCAACTTAGATTACATCAAAACATCATGCAACCTTACACTCTACAAAACCCTTTGCAACATCTCTCTATCTCCTTACGCCTCAACAATCAATTCCAACCCTCAAAAACTCGCCGTCACCGCTCTCAATCTCACCCTCTCCTCCGCCAAATCCGCAGTCAAATTCATCAAAAACATTTCTCACAGAAGAGGTCTAACACGTTTGGAAGCTGGTGCGGTTGCTGACTGCGTGGAGGAGGTTGGAGACTCCGTGAGTGAGCTTCAAGATTCAATAAGAGAATTGGATTCGATTAAATACAAGGATAGTTCGAAATTTAAGATGGTTATGTCGGATGTTGAGACATGGGTTAGTGCTGCTCTCACTGATGATGACACGTGTATGGATGGTTTCGGCAGAGCCGGTCGAGCCAAAGCCGGCGTGAAAGATTTGGTTCGGAGACATGTTGTTAAGGTTGCTCGGATGACCAGCAACGCACTTGCTCTCATTAATATGTACGCGTCCACAAAAGAAAACTGATCATAAATGTTCAAGATACACAAAAATTGTTTCATATTTTGTTGGTTAAAGATAAAATGGCAAAAAATGCTTATGATCACGTGTAGTTTTGTACTATGTACTTATTATAGTTATTGTGGATTTTATATTTGATTAATCGCATGTCAAGATTTTCTGCAATTTTGCGTTAGTTATTTTTTTTTGGATTGTATAGAATAAGATAAGGTGGTGAAAGAGCTTGTTTGGCTCTTTTGATGTTTAACGTAGTGCAATTTTTTTTTAACGTAGTGTGCTTTTAAAATATTTATGTAATTTTAGATTTTTTGGTTATTTTAAATATAAATATAACTAATTATCTTTCAGATATTCTAGTTATTTTTTTGGTTATTTTTTAGTCATTTTCGGGTATTTATTTGGTTTTTGGTTCGGTTTTTGATTCGGTTCAATTTTTTCATATGTAAAAATTTGAAAACCATTCAGGTATTTGTATTGGTTCGGGTTTGATTCGGTTCGAGTTTCCCCACTGCCATGGAAGTTCCTACACAAGTAGAGAAAGTCTTGGAACTGAGCTTCAACCATTTATCTTCTGTCTTTGGAACATAACAAGTTTAAACGATGACGTAACTCCTTATCCAATTCAACAAATATTTTCTTTTTTTCAGAAATATTATCGACCATATAAATTTAAAAATACAATTAACTTATCCAACGGTTCAGAAGCAAACCACGCAGAGCCCAAAAGGCTTCGTTATCTCCAAGCCATACGAACAATACGTTTAGCTAACTGTGAAGAGTGACCACATTGTTAGAGGAAGAAGAAGACGAAGAAGAAGCAGGAGAAGGAGAAAGGAGCGATTTTTGACAAAAATGGCGGCGGATGCTCTGAGAATTTCGAGTTCCACTTCCGGTTCCGTAGTTTGTAATCTTAATGGTTCACAGAGACGACCTGTTCTTCTTCCTCTGTCTCATCATCGTACTTCCTTTCTGGGTCTTCCTCCTCGCGCTTCATCTTCTTCAGTCTCCTCTTCTCTTCCTCATCTTCTCGGTAAAGCTCGTATTGGGCTCGGCTCTTCAAAGCAATCATCACACAGAAGGAAACAATTCTCTGTCTTCGCCGCTGCCGCCGAAGGTTAATCATCTCTCAATCTCTCTCACAAAGCTTTCATCTTTATTCACCAAATCTCCATTTTCGGATAACAAGTTTGAAATTTTACAAATTGCCTTCTAAGTGTTCGTTAAATTGCCTGTGAGAAGTGTTTCTGAAAATTAAGCTCTGATTTTGCTCACTCTGTAGTGTTAATTGGGCTTTTATCTCTCTTCTGTGAATCATAATTGTTTAAAGTTTCATGCTTTATGATGTTTTAGCTTTTGAGTTTAAAGTTTCATGCTTTATGATGCTTTTATCTTTGTGTGTTCTCTGGTGTTCTTTAGGAGATTCGAAGCGTGCAGTGCCGCTTAAAGATTACAGAAACATTGGCATCATGGCGCACATAGACGCCGGAAAAACAACAACCACCGAGAGGATTCTCTACTACACAGGAAGAAACTACAAAATCGGCGAAGTGCACGAAGGAACAGCTACAATGGACTGGATGGAGCAAGAGCAAGAAAGAGGAATCACAATCACTTCAGCTGCAACCACAACGTTCTGGGACAAACACAGAATCAACATCATCGACACGCCTGGACACGTCGATTTCACGCTTGAAGTCGAGCGTGCGCTCAGAGTCCTCGACGGAGCCATTTGCTTGTTCGACAGTGTCGCTGGTGTTGAGCCTCAGTCAGAGACTGTGTGGAGACAAGCTGATAAATACGGTGTGCCTCGGATCTGCTTTGTGAACAAGATGGACCGTCTTGGAGCTAACTTCTTCAGGACTAGGGACATGATTGTGACTAATCTTGGTGCTAAGCCGTTGGTGCTTCAGATACCGATTGGTGCTGAAGATGTTTTCAAAGGTGTTGTTGATCTTGTGAGGATGAAAGCTATAGTTTGGTCAGGAGAAGAGCTTGGTGCCAAGTTTAGTTACGAGGAGATACCAGAGGATCTTGAAGATTTGGCTCAAGACTATCGTGCGCAGATGATGGAACTGATCGTTGATTTGGATGATGAGGTCATGGAGAATTATCTAGAAGGTGTTGAGCCTGATGAGGCTACAGTGAAGAGACTGGTTAGAACAGGAACCATCACAGGGAAGTTTGTGCCTATCCTCTGTGGCTCAGCTTTCAAGAACAAAGGTGTGCAGCCGTTGCTTGACGCTGTTGTTGATTACTTACCTTCTCCGGTTGAAGTTCCTCCGATGAACGGAACCGATCCTGAGAACCCGGAGATCACTATTATCCGTAAACCTGATGATGACGAGCCGTTTGCTGGTTTAGCCTTCAAGATCATGAGTGATCCTTTCGTTGGCTCGCTTACGTTTGTGAGAGTTTACTCAGGGAAGCTCACAGCTGGCTCTTACGTGTTGAATGCTAACAAAGGGAAAAAGGAGAGAATCGGAAGGCTCTTGGAGATGCACGCAAACAGCAGAGAAGATGTGAAAGTGGCTTTAACTGGAGACATTATCGCTCTCGCTGGTCTCAAAGATACAGTCACTGGCGAAACCTTGAGTGATCCTGAGAGCCCTGTGGTTCTTGAACGTATGGACTTCCCTGATCCTGTCATCAAAGTGGCCATTGAGCCGAAAACGAAAGCTGACATCGATAAAATGGCTACGGGACTGATCAAGCTCGCTCAAGAAGACCCGTCTTTCCATTTCTCACGCGATGAGGAGATGAACCAGACCGTGATCGAAGGCATGGGAGAGCTTCATCTAGAGATCATCGTTGACAGGCTCAAAAGAGAGTTTAAAGTTGAAGCCAACGTTGGTGCACCGCAAGTGAACTACCGTGAGAGTATCTCAAAGATATCCGAAGTGAAGTACACGCACAAGAAACAATCAGGTGGTCAAGGACAGTTTGCTGATATCACTGTTCGGTTCGAGCCGTTGGAAGCAGGATCAGGATATGAGTTCAAGAGTGAGATCAAAGGAGGAGCTGTGCCAAGAGAGTACATCCCCGGTGTGATGAAAGGGCTTGAGGAGTGTATGAGCTCCGGTGTACTTGCTGGTTTCCCGGTTGTTGATGTCCGTGCTTGTTTGGTTGATGGATCTTACCATGATGTTGACTCTAGCGTGCTGGCTTTCCAGCTCGCTGCGAGAGGAGCTTTCAGGGAAGGGATGAGGAAAGCTGGTCCGAGGATGCTTGAGCCTATCATGAGAGTTGAAGTTGTTACACCTGAAGAACATCTTGGTGATGTTATTGGTGATCTTAACTCTAGAAGAGGTCAGATCAACAGCTTTGGAGACAAACCTGGTGGTCTCAAGGTATGTTATGAGACAAATTTTGAACATGGAATGATTGAAAAAAAACGAATTTACTATACTGATGAAAATCTTGATTTGGTGTTGTTGTAGGTTGTGGATTCGCTGGTGCCATTAGCAGAGATGTTTCAGTATGTGAGTACATTGAGAGGGATGACAAAAGGAAGAGCTTCGTACACAATGCAATTGGCTAAGTTCGATGTTGTTCCTCAGCATATTCAGAACCAGCTTTCGTCAAAGGATCAAGAAGTTGCTGCTTAGATGAAAATTTTGTTCTTTTTACTGAAAAAAACTTAATTGTGATTTTGTTTTGGTTGTATACAGAAATGTAAGTGAATCAAATCTATTGAAAACAAGGTTGTTGTTATTGTCTTGAAAACACATGGATGGATATGAGAAGAAAAATGTTACATCAGAATAGTTTTGAAAAATGGGAAGAATCCGATGTTTGGTATTTGAGAGTTTATAAAACTGAAATCGAATGTCTTTTCTTCTGGGTTTATTTCATCTGGACGATTCCTGAGCTGATCAGCTTTTGGATTTTGTTCATCACCATTGGGTTCTGCATGTGTTTTTGTGCTGCTGCTGGATTCTCCTGGAGATCAGACAGTACCTGTTCAAAGAAAGAAGTGTCGAACAAGAGTCAAGAGACATCAACATGAAGATAACTCAAGATCTGATACAAACATAGATTTGTTTCTTTACCTGTCTCATAACAGGATCTGTGAGAATGTTCTGGATTTCTGGATCTTGCATTCCCTTTGCCTGTCAAGAACAAAAGAGCAAAATCTCAAATTTTGTACCTAAAAATCATATGAATTTTCTCTGTGAATATAGTCAGAATCTAACCTGTCTTTCTTTTATCTCCTCCGGGGTAAGGTCACCACGGTTCGCTTTGTTGATCTGTTGTACACATCTGCAGCATAAACAGAGTTTATAACATGTTACAGAGGCATATTAACGAGTGAATAATCTCGCAATGACAATACAGTTTCTATATACAGTATGTTACCTTCTAACGCCGTCGAGAAGCTCTTGGTTGTTAGGATCATGTTTGAGACCTTCCTGGTATGTTTCCATAGCATTGTCATACTCCTTCATGAAGAACTGGACCGCACCTTTTCTGCTGTATCCCTTTGAGAACGTTGGGTCGAGCTCGATACACTTCTCTGCGTCCTTTAATCCTTCCGGCATGGCTCCTAGCTTAGTGTAGCATGCAGCTCGGTTGCTATACGCCTATGTCAAGCACAGATAAAGCAAACAGTTAAAAAAAGAGAAACCTTTATACACAACACTGAAGAACACTGATGATGAAATTAAGCTTACTCTCGGGTCTTTTGGATTCCTTTTGATCGCTTCAGTGTAATGTCTCACAGCGTCAGGATACTTCTGCTCCTTGAAAAACTCATTACCTGTATTACAAGAATGTCAAGCTCAATCTTCTCTCATACAAACATTATATAGCTGCAAAAGAGATTACCTTTCTCACGCTCTTCATCACCGATACTGGGATCAAAGTACTCTTGCTGCTCCAGCTCTTTCTTTGCTCTCTCTGCTTCATTCAGTCTCTTCAAGGTCTCTGGGTTACGATGCTCCGTAAGAGCTTTCTGGTAAGTCTCAATCACAGGCTCATAGTCTTTTGAGGATTTAGCCATCTTCCCAAGAGCTGTTCCTTTCCTAGTCAAAGCTTTAGCTACCATCTTGTAATCTGACCTAAGTTCTCTACCTCTTTCAACTGCCTTATCACAATCCTTGATGCACTCATCATACTGAACCAAACACACATTCACACAACTTAGACTCATAAACCAAATCACTCTAGATTCTAATGCTCAAGAATGTAAAACAAAGAGAGAACTTTTACCTCTCCCATCTCCAGATGAACAGCAGCACGGTTTGTGATATAAGAGATATCTTCATCATCAATCTCCATGGCCGCTGTGTAATGCTGGATTGCAGTTTCGAAGTCCTTCTTCTTGTACGCAGCATTCCCCAACTCTTTCTCCTTTAAAGCTTTCTGTTTCCTCTCCTTCTTCTCCTTCTCTTCTTCACCAACCTCCGGCTCAGGCTCAGGCTCAGGCTCCGGTTCTCGCTTCTTCTCCACCTCAGGCTCTTTCCTCTGCGGCACAGCCATCTCATCCTCCTGAAGATCCACTTCTTCATCTCCAGTCTGAGTCCTGAATTGAACATTCAGCAAAACCCCAAGCGCTTGCATCACTCTCTGGTCTTTCAAGTAGTGATTGAGATTGCTAGGGTTTTTCTGGATCTCCTGCATCATGTTGACGAAATCAGGCTGTTTCAAAAACCCTCTCGTCGAAGCATCCGCCGTCAATTTCGCCCACATCTCCGGTCCCTGAAAGGCATCCCCAAACGGATTCGGCGGAGGAGCGGAGCGTGACCTCGACGCGGAAGCTTGCGCATCTGACAATCCGGATTTCAGAGCTTCGTTGCTCGGATCAATCTCAAGCCCTTTACTATACGCATCGACGGCTTCTTCGAACTGATTCAGCCCTAAGTGAGCAGCGCCGAGACGGCTGTATCCTTTTCCCCAATCGGGTTTTAGCTCGACGGTCTTCTTCGCGTCGGAGAGAGCTTCGTCGTAGTGATTAAGCGAGGCGTGAGCAGCGGAACGGTTGGAGAAGAGAACGTGATTGGTTGGAGCTAGGTTGATTGCGTCGGTGAAGTGAGTAACGGCGGCGTTGAAGTCGCCGGAGGAGAAAGCTGCGTTTCCTTTAGCTTTTGCTTCGTCTGCCATAGTTGAATCTGAGAATTTTGCAGAGAGCTCTCTCTTTGGTTTGTGTTCTTCTGGAAGATACCTTGAGGGGTTTTTAGTTAAAGAGAAGAAGTCACTGTTTGGATACGAGTATAAATATATGCCAGAGAAAGTGTTTGTTAGGGTTTAAAAATATCCTAACCACGTTTATTTAAAACAGTGGTTTATATCAAACGACGTCGTTTATGGTTATATCGTCCCGTCGGCTCTTCTTCGTCTCCGGGCACGATTGTTCAGCGCTCGACTTCCATTTTCGGGTCGAAAGATCGATAATTTACAGATTTGGATGATCGATTTGATGCGATTCCGATTTCCTGCTTCTGATTTCGGTGCGCAGATCTCAGATCTCCTGAAGTTTTAGGTAATGGTTTTTCTTCATTTCGTTTTCAGGGGACGACATTTATGGTTTCTAGCGATTTCACATCACCTTGCTTGAATTTCTCTGTAAATTTTCGTGATCTCCATTGTTGTTCATGTTTCTTCTTGTGTTTATGATCGTGCATTACGAATTTCGTGTTGACAAAATCATGCTTTTCTGTTCAAAACCAATGCTAGTCTTTTGCCCACCAAGTGTTTGATTTAATTCCTCTACGAATCTATTGATTGAAGAATCTATGAAATATTGAGATTTTCTGACTTTTTTTTCATTTGAATTTGTTACTGTTCAAGTATCAGCTCTAGTGTTGGTTCTGGGTTACTGTTATTAATGGAGGAATAGAAGAAAGTAGAGGTTTTGTATCAACTGATCTTGTTTATGGTTTATATGGTTGTAGGAGAAGAGAAAGAAGCAAACTTTTTGGAGCTAATCTGATGATGAATGGAGGAGGCTCTCATAGTTTACGATCAGCGTTCTCTTACTGTGTACAACAAGTACGAAACTATGACTACCATCACTACCTCTGCCTCCTCGAACTCCCACCTGAGATGCGTAAAGCCGCCTTCGCACTCCGAGCTTTCAACGTAGAAACCGCAAGAGCCATGGACGTCGCATCCGATCCCAAGATCGGACTCATGCGTCTACTCTGGTGGCAAGAAGCAATTGAGAAACTCTACACCAAGAAACCCATAAACCATCCAGCCGCACAAGCTCTCTCTTGGACGATATCTGAGCACAACATCAGTAAACCGTGGCTGAAACGCTCGGTGGAAGCTAGAATCCGAGACGCTCAGAGAGAAGTGGAGGACATGCCAGAGAGCATCGAGGAGCTAGAGAAATACGCAGAGGACACTGTTTCGACTCTTCTCTACAATACACTCCAAGCAGGAGGGATTAGTTCAACGACAGCTGATCACGCAGCTTCACACATTGGTAAAGCCAGTGGTCTCGTCTTGCTACTGAAGTCCTTACCGTACCATTGTACCAGAAACCGTCACCAGAGCTACATCCCTTCGAACCTCGCTGAGAAGCACGGTTTGCTTGTGAAACAAGGCGGACGATCGGAGATTCTTCTGGATGAGAACTCAAGAGAAGGACTATGCAATGTGGTGTTTGAGATTGCGTCTGTCGCTAATGTACATCTCTTGAAAGCCCGTGAACTCGCCGGAAAAGTCCCCCCGGAAGCTAAACCGGTCCTGCTCCACTCAGTCCCGGTACAAGTCCTTCTTGATTCTTTGCGTAAAGCACACTTCGACGTCTTTGATCCTAAGATTCAAAGAGGTGTTCTTGGTGTTCCTCCACTTTGGTTTCAGCTTAAACTCAAATGGTACTCATGGAGATCTATCTTCTGACTCTGCTTTCAATACAAAATAAAAGAATGTGTCTTCTTCTTTCTCTTTCAAAACAGTATACAGTTTCATAAACAATCTATCTACATGAGAATGTTATAATGGAGCAAGACCATCTTCTTGCATTCTTTTATACAGCTCAGCAGCTTCATGCCACATTCGTTTCCTACAATAGCATGAGATCATCGTAGTGTATGAGACAACATCAGGCTCAACTAGGCTACAAAACAAGTCCCAAGCATCGTCCACTTTATCAGCTTTACACAACCCATGAATCATGATGTTATACGTCGTAACATCAAGAACCATTCCACTACTCTCTCGCAGACGCTCGAATTCCACCAATGCCTTCTCTATCTTCCCGTTGATACAGAGACCATACAACAAAATGCTGTAGGTTCTCACATTCGGAGGCGGCGCGTCACAAGACATCATCATCCATCTGAAGATATCTTGAGCTCTCTCTACTTCGCCTGCTTGAAAGTATCCTTGAATCAGAGTGTTGTAAGTGACTATATCCCTCTCCAACCCTCTCCGAGACATCTCGTTGAGGAGCTTCACCAATTCCTTGACCCTCTCCGACTTGCAAACTCCGTTTATGAGAGTGTTATAAGTCACTACATCAGGTAAACAAACCATCGAATCAAGCATCCGTTTCGCCTCCTCTAAACGACCCTCGATGCAAAGCCCGTTGATCATCGCATTGTAAACGAACAGATCCGGCTCTATACACATCCGTATCATCTCCTCGTACAAGGTCTCAGCTCCCATAAAGTTCCCTTCTTTCACAAACCCATCAATCAAAGCAGTGAAAGTTATCACATTTGGGACTACACTCCTCGTTATCATCTCTCTCAAACCTTGAACAGCGTCGTTGCATCTACCAGAGCAACAAAGACCGGTTATGAGAGAGTTGTAAGTAACACAATCAGCTCTAACGCCTCTTTCTTCCATTAAATCGAACACTTCAAAAGCTTGATTTATTAATCTGTTCTTGCAGAAACTATTAATGATCGTGTTGTAGATAAAAACGTCTGCTTTACATCCCACAGACTCCATTTGAGCAACCAAAGAGACAGCTTCAAAGACTCTGTTCTCTTGACAAAACCCGTTAACCAGAGAGCTAACCGTGACGATATCCGGCTCGTAACCGAGTTTCATCATCTTCCCAATCACAGAGAAAGCGACCGAGAGACGAGAGCGACGACACAAGGAGTTGATTACGATGTTGTATGTGTAGAGATCATGCTCGATTCCGAGAGTCTCCATCTGAGTGAAGAAAGAGATGACGATGTCGAACTTCCTCATTTGGGCTAATCTGCTCAATAGTTTACTGAATTCGACGATTGAAGGAGGAGGACGAGACTCAATCATGTCGCTGAACAAATCAATTGCGTCTTTGAGGTCGAGTTTCCTCCAGTGAAGAGTGGCGGTGGAATATGCTCGTCTCCGGTGATGGCAACGGGTAAAGAGATTACCTTTCTCGAGAAGATGAAGACGATTGAGAAATTCTTTGGCTTTCGATGCGATTAAGATCGAAATCGATCTTCTCATTTGTTCAAATATCGAAATCTCTGTTTCTGTGAAAATGGTAAAACCCTCTGTAATAAACCCTATTATCTCCTTGGGGAGGAAGACGAGGTAACGAGATATGGAATCCGGTTCGATTTCGGTTAAGTAATTTCTAATCAAACCGGGTTATAATTAGAGATCTGCTTTGGTTTTGATTAGCTAATTAACATTAACCCAATGGTGACGTTGTAACGGTGGTAAGTAGCATCATGTGGTCCCTACAAACGTATACGTGTGTAGACTGTGTTTTGCATGTTCTGTTTTGTGTCGCAAAGCAGACAAGTGAGATCAAATGCTCAATCGTCAACATGATAATCATTTTAATTCATTTAAATTAGTGTCCAGCAAAACATTTTTTTTTTAAGTTAAGTCATTGGTCAGTTCTCCGAAATGGCACATTTTTTTTTGTATTTAAAATATAGCACAATAAATTTATTTTTCTAGTAATAGCACAAATTTAATATCAAAATGACTCAAAATTCCTTTTTAGCAAAGTTTATGTTCTGTTTAACAATATTTTTGTATGCTAACACAGTATTGTGATTTAGTTTTAAAACATACATAATAAACTGCATACATACGTGTTTACCAAAATGTTATCGTGCAAGTGATTATAGTATAAGTTTATAAATTACTCAGTCACTCTTGTCTTGTAAATAGTACTCCTCATATATTAAGATTTAAGAGTACTATATATCAAAAGGAATACATTAATATCTTTGCCCACAGAAAACCACCGAAAAAGGTTAGACTATTGACAAAAAGTGTAACTAGATATTAAAGCTTTGTGGACAAAAATATACTAGAATTTCTGCCTTTTCTCTTTATTTCATTGTTAGTTTATTATAAACACCATAACCATCCTTTGCTTTTTTTAATAGCTCTCTGTAGTAGTCTTTCAAAGTTTTTTTCTCTCTCAGTCTCTCTCTCTCCCTCTGCCTACTATGGCTAAGTCTTTTGGTTTCAGACCAGCTCTTCTGCTTCTTCTTTCACTTTTCTTGGTTCGTACTGAGTCACGCGGTCGTTTCGAGCCAAAGATTCTTATGCCGACAGATAAAACTGAAACTGCTGAGCAAGACGAAGACAGTATCGGCACAAGATGGGCGGTTCTCGTCGCCGGTTCTTCCGGTTATGGAAACTACAGGCACCAGGTACACATACAAAAACAGTATCTTCTAACTTCTAAGATAACTCTATTGCTTAATGAATTAATTCTTTAATCATCAAAAATTTCGTTGATGTAACTGCTTTGCCTTAATATTGAGTTTTTGTTTCTTTATTTATTTGACATACAAAGATTTATTTAATATTTTTCTTTATGATATAACTTTTTTTATCAAAGCCAGAAATATTCAATGAATTAGTTCAAGATTAAGATCCTAAATTAGTAATTTTCTCCATTTCTTAATCACATGTATAAATTGTCTTTTTGTTTGACAGCGTATAAATGTCATTTGAAAAAGAAAAAGAATCGCAAGCTTTCAAACTAATGAAAAATGTATATTTATTGTGTTTTGTTGCTTTGTATTATAGGCCGACGTGTGTCACGCATATCAAATACTGAGAAAGGGAGGTTTGAAGGAAGAGAACATAGTAGTCATGATGTATGATGACATCGCAAACCATCCACTTAATCCTCGTCCCGGTACTCTCATTAACCATCCCGACGGCGATGATGTTTACGCCGGAGTACCTAAGGTATTAATTATTTAATTACTCAGCTTTTCTCTTAATTTAATCCATCTTTGGTCCAGCTAGTGACTAACCAGGTTTATAATTTATTATTTTGTACAACGAGAATCAATTCCTTAGAATCTTATTCGAATTATAGTATTGTACTTTCTTCTTTGTCTTTGGCGCTCAGGTTATTGATATTTTCTGTAATACGATATAGGATATTTGTCTTGTAAGAGATGGTGACTTAGTCACTACACAACAATTATATTGAATTATTGATAGTGACTCTAGAGACTTTTAGTGTGGTAAACCAAAGTTAATGTGTGGTCCTTTGATTGAGATCTCTCCTAGATTTGTTTTCACCACTAATGATTTGCCATTTTTTTTAATAGCTGTACTAACTTGTTCCGATATTCACCTTTTAAAATATCTTAAAATTCAGGACTATACCGGTAGTAATGTTACAACTGCGAACTTCTACGCGGTGCTTCTAGGCGACAAGAAGGCTGTTAAAGGTGGAAGTGGCAAGGTCATCGATAGCAAAGCCAACGATCACATTTTCGTGTATTACTCTGATCATGGTGGTCCCGGAGTTCTTGGTAATTATTTCATCAACATTTTGCTGATTTCCGAATACAACTTCTGATACTAATTAAAGCTAATAATCGATTGAATAATGGTGTGTTTAATTTTTGGTCGGTCAGGGATGCCGAACCCGCCACACTTATATGCGACTGATTTTATCGAAACGCTTAAGAAGAAGCATGCTTCCGGAACATACAAAGAAATGGTAAAAATTTAGTATAACATTTTTTGAGTAATTGAGTGATATAATCTTTCTTAAATTTAATGGTGATATAATATTAGTATACTTGCTCGTATGATTGTGATAATGTAATGTAGGTTGTATACATAGAAGCATGCGAAAGCGGGAGTATATTCGAGGGGATAATGCCAAAGGACTTGAACATTTACGTAACAACGGCTTCAAATGCACAAGAGAGTAGCTACGGAACATATTGTCCCGGCATGAATCCGTCACCTCCATCCGAATACATTACTTGCTTAGGAGATTTATATAGCGTTGCTTGGATGGAAGATAGGTACGTTGATAATTATCCTATAATTATGTGCTTTTATGTGTATATATCTGTTCGTTCAAATTTTCTTGTGATTCGTTTGCAGTGAGACTCACAATTTAAAGAAAGAGACTATAAAGCAACAAACCCAATCGGTAATGAGAAATTTTTGTTTTACTCGTTTACTCTCATGTTGCGTTTGAAAATGTGAAATTTATGAATATATTGAATCTTTTTTTATGTGTGTGTAGGTGAAAATGCGGACGTCGAACAATTATACATATTCTGTGGGCTCCCATGTGATGGAATACGGTAACGATAATATTAAGTCGGAGAAGCTTTTTCTATACCAAGGATTTGATCCGGCCACGGTTAATCTCCCTCCTAATGAATTACCGGTCAAGTCACAAGTGGGAGTGGTTAACCAACGTGACGCAGACCTTCTATTCCTTTGGCATATGGTAATTGGACTATTCTGTTTTTTCTTGCTAAGTTATCTAAACCGGTTGCAAATATTTGGATTATGTAAACCATATTGGCTTTGGTTTTGTAGTACCGGACATCGGAAGATGGGTCAAGAAAGAAGGATGAGACATTGAAGGAGTTAACCGAGACAACAAGGCATAGGGAGCATTTAGACGCAAGTGTTGAATTGATTGGCACGGTTCTGTTTGGTCCAACGAAGAATGTTCTTAACTCGGTTAGAGAAACCGGTTTGCCGTTGGTTGACGATTGGGAATGTCTTAAATCAATGGTAAGAAGTTTCACAATCCTTTAATCTCATCTCTCGTTACACAATTTTATTCAAGTAATTTGCTTACCACATTAATGTTTATGGAGTATATATAATTTAATTTAATTGTTTTTAGGTTCGCGTGTTTGAAACGCATTGTGGATCACTGACGCAATACGGGATGAAACATATGCGAGCGTTTGCAAACGTTTGTAACAATGGTGTCTCAAAGGAGCTGATGGAGGAAGCTTCCGCTGCGGCGTGCGGTGGTTATGAGGCTCGCTTCACGTTGCACCCATCGATAGTAGGCTATAGCGCTTGAAATATTCCGAGGGTTGTATGATCTTCACGTGTTTCGGATTATAATGTTAAATCAAAATAAAGGAAACGTTTCTTTTTATATAGGTTTAGTTGTATGTAAATAAGTGCGTAGTAATAAGGTCGTTTAAGTTTCTTCCTCGTTTTATTTGTTTGTTTGTTTGTTTGGGATTTTGTATTTTCTTTCCTAATAATGTGATAATGTTAGCTGATTGTGCTACTTCAAAGTTCAATCCTTGATATAAATTATGTATCCACAAAGATTAATGTACGTAAATCATTCATATATTTAAAACATATATAATCGACTAGATAATGAAATGGATTCGTAGAGAACAGTTGGCTTTCCTTTCATGTACACTATCACGATAAATTTAAAACAACAGGCCCATAAATAAATGTCATATAAGATGACTAGAATGAGTACTAAAATGGGCCGTTTCGTTCTTGTTCAATAAATAAAGACTTTCCTTGAAAAATATTTCCTTACTCACCAAAATTAAGGTGAGATATTTTTATACATATGTAACCAACGTAAAAAGAAAGTGTTTATATTTAATCATAATCGAAATCAAAATAACCACATTTCTTTCTCTTATAAGTTATAAGTACTGCCATATATAACTGATATCATCTTTTTTTTTTTTTTTTGGTTTTAATAATTGATATCATTGATCCGAAGAAGACATACAAACCAATATGCAATCATTTATCCTCCATTTCTATTTCTATTTTACTTTCATACATATGTGAAGATAGAGTAGTTAAATGAATATTAAAAATACATGAAATCATGTAATTATTTGTCATCACGCCTTCAGCTACCCAAAGTGAAATCATGAAGGTTGGTGGTGTCACTGGTGTGCATATGTTATTTATATTTTTTTGGCGCTAAATAGTTGACTTTCATAGTCAACGAGTCAGCTTAAACATGGGCTTTTTCTTGATTATATGTATTCATATGCTCCGACATATTATTTATTTTTGCTAAGAAGATAGTCTGACATACATATATTTTGTGATTAATTAAGTATGTTTGTACGTAAATATATATATACATATGTAAATATCATTTGATTATAACCAAATTAACAAGTTTAATAACAAAAACGGATTTTGATCAGGCTGGCAAAAAGACAAGTTTGAGTTGTAGGTTGACACAAAAAAACAAGTTTGAATTGTAGATGCACCACCATTCACAATACTTGTTACAATTTTTTAAAAAAAATCTATATATCGGGTTTTCTTAAGATTTTTGACACTTATCAATTTGTCATTGGTTCGATTCTGGTTAAATCATTGGGTCTGCTTTTACACATTACTAAGAGAAAGTTGGTGATATTTATAAACGAAATTAAAGCTAATTATTAATTAGTTGAATTTGTTGAGTTAGTATTCGTCGAATAGACAACATGCAGTAATTTTTTCGTGTTTAATCATTTATATTTCATGAAATAATTAGAAGTTGGTGCTTGGTATAGTAATACTTAAGGATAATGAGGTTTTTGTATATGAAAATATTTAACACATTATTGAACAGACTTGTCTAAATTATACTCTATAATGAACTATTGAGAAAATGCATAACCAAATGCCGTGATTGTATATGAATAAGGAGGGATCACTAACACTTTGAGTAAAGCCGATTGTTTTGGCAAATAAAGCAAAGCGATTGTTCCATGCTCGAGGCGCTTGCTTCAAGCCGTAGAGAGATCGCCGTAGAAGGCAGACATGATCTGGTTTGGTTGGATCCACAAATCCTGGTGGCTGGTGCATGTAAACGATCTCTTCAAGATCACTATTGAGGAAAGCATTCTTTACATCGAGCTGATGCAAAGGCCAATCTTTTGCAACAGCGACATGAAGTACCGTGCGTACTGTAGCCGGTTTAACGACTGGACTAAACGTTTCATCACAATCAACGCCTAGCTTCTGAGATCTCCCGTTTGCACAGAGTCTTGCCTTGTGGCGAGTGAGCTCCCCGTTTGCATTGAATTTGTGCCTGTAATTTCAAAGAGAGCGAACAATGTTAATAGCGACTGGCCGCGGAACTAAGTCCCACGTTCGTGCTTTAATAAGAGAGCTATATTCCTCGCTCATGGCCCCATTCCAGTATGGATCCTTAGCTGCCTGTATATGAGATAAAGGAAGAGGAGAGACTACAGACGTATGAAGACAGAGTTGTTGTCGAGGTTTGACAATACCACTCTTACTCCGACTTACCATTGAGTGTTTTGGCAATGGAGGAGGAGGAGGAGGAGTAGGGGGAGGCGGAGGAGTAGCCTCAAGAGGTGGTGGTGGTGGAGTCTCAGGAACTGGAATGAGATCAGTTCGAGGAATGGAAGGCGGGACATCTATTATTGGGGAGACGACAGGGGAAGATGAAACTATCGCTGACTGAAATGGAAACAAGTTTTCATCAAAACGAACATGACGTGAGAAAATGATTTTCTTGGTGACAAGATCAAGGCAGCGGTATCCGCCATGATCTGTCGGATATCCCAAAAAAACACACGCCGTGGATCGTGGAGCGAGCTTGTGCTGCGACTGAGGAAAAAGATTAGGGTAACACAAGCAACCAAACACTCTTAAATGATCATAAGATGCAGGTTTTGAGAAAAGTTTAGTGAAAGGAATCTCGTTGGAAATAGAAGAGGAGGGAAGAAGATTGAGTATGTGTACGGCTGTGTGAAGAGCTTCGACCCAGAATTCCGGCTTCATATGAGCTTGGAAAAGAATAGCACGGATGAGATTGTTGATGGTGAGAAGCATTCTTTCAGCACGGCCATTTTGCTGGGAAGTGTATGGGCATGAAAACCGAATTTGAGTGCCTTCAGCTGCAAGATGAGAGAGAAATAAACGGTTGTTGTATTCTCCACCATTGTCACACTGAAAAGATTTGATAGAGCATCTAAATTGGTTACGCACAAGAGCAGAGAAGTGTAAGTATTTGCTAAAGTTTTCGCTCTTGCGCCTGAGAGGATAAGCCCAAACATAGTTAGAGAATTGATCAACAAAGATGACATAGAATTTAATTCCTCCAAAACTAGAGACTGGTGAAGTCCAAATATCTGAGTGAACAATTTCAAAAGGTTTAGTGATAATAGAGGAAGAGGAAGTAAATGGAAGTCGGACATTTTTCCCAGTTTGACATGCATGACACAATGTTGTCATGTCAGTCTTATTGAAAGAAAGAAAGCCATAAGAAGCAAGAGATTGTAAAACAGTGTTTCCAGGATGACCTAAGCGACGATGCCAAACGACACCATTTGTGGATGATGTGATGAGAGCTTGCGGTGAAGGTGGAGGTTTTATTGATGGAGTCACCGCATACAGAGGCCCGGGACTATCACATTGGAGTAGTGGTGTCCTGGTTTTGAGATCCTTAACAACAAAGCCACAAGGGTCAAATTCAACGGAGCATTTGTTATCAATGGAAAATCGTCTAACCGAAATGAGATTTTTGATAATAGATGGACAGACAAGAACATTTTGAAGAGAAAGAGCACGAGATTGAGATGGAATTGAGCCATTGCCAAGATTAGTAACTGGTGCATAGGATCCATTACCGACTTTGACTGGAGGATAAGCTCTAGTATTAAAGACAGAACGAAGGGTACCTTGATCCGCGGTGACGTGGTTTGTGGCTCCCGTGTCCATGTACCAACCGTTGGTGGCCGGGTTCTAAAGAGCCAGAGTATTGAAGGCATGAGTAATCTCAGACGGAAGGTAAGGAGATTGGGCCGATGGTGATGCAACGGGAGGTGAAGGAGAAGCAGTCTGAGTCACGTGAGCTTCATGGCGCGGTTGTGGCTGAGGAGCCGGACCGAGGATGCTTGATTGTGGAGGCAGAGGGTAGTAGTTGGTTGCAGGCGGTGGGAAGGAGGGCTGTGGTGGATACGGGGAAAACCCGTAAGGCATTGGCCATTGGGGATGACCATAGGACCACGGGGGGGGGGAGCGTGCACGAATTATTGTAGCGTCCCCGTCCTCTGTTGTTACGCCCGTCACGGCCACGATTGTTGTATCCTCTGTTCTGAGGAAAAGATGGCCGAGGAGAAGAGTGTTGCGGTGTTGGATCGGTTTCCGTGTATAGCACGTTAGGAGTGGAGGAGTTGCTGTTGTTTGTTGGCTGCGGTTTGATTTGTTTGGCGAGGCGATCTTCTTCAAGAAGCAGCATGGATCGTGCTGTAGAGAACGAGGGGAAAGGCTCCTTGTGTTTGATAATATTGATGATGTTATCAAATTTGCCAGAGAGACCGTTGAGAAGATGCATAACCAAGGCACGATCGGTCACCGGGGAATATTAAGGATAAATGTCCCACATCGGAGGTTGAAAGGGATTTCAAGTAGTATATAAGAGATGTGGGCCTCTCAACTCAAAACCAATTGGCAATGAGTGGAGAGGCCCACATCTCTTATATACTACTTGAGATCCCTTCCAACTTCCGATGTGGAACATTTATCCCTAATATGCCTCCTCGAGAGGATGGCTTTTTGGCCATCGATCTCGGTATGTTCGGACTTGGATCGCCAGCACCAATTTTGGGCATGGTCGATGATTGGACCAACTATGGGTTGGATCGGATTGGAATGTATGGATCGGGGCTCTGATACCATGTTTGTAAGAAGATCTGAGAGGGTTTTCAGGTTCTTGCAATATTCATGGATCGTCTGATCGCCTATGGTTGCAGTACGCAATTCGTGATCGAATTGCAGAGCACGGGCTTCCTTGTTGTCACGGAAAAGATTCTCGATGGAGATCCAAAGTTCTCGTGCGGTGCACTTTGCCGTGATGACTGTGTCAAGCAGGGATTCGGAAAGAGTTCTGTAGATCCACATCTTGACAAGGCCATCGCGTTCTTTCCATGCTTTCAGAATTTCAGGACTAGGGTTTCCTGTACCGTCGATGTGCTCAAGAACACCAAAAGTGGAGCAATGCGTCTCAAAGAGTTCTCGCCATAGATTGTAGTTGAACTTGGTCATGTCGAGGATGACCGGAATGTATGCCTTAATTTGAGAGATTCCGAATGGCTTGTCGGAGGTAGGTGGTGCAGGTACCACGGCAGTTGCGGTGGCAGACATGATTGCAAGAGAGGAGAAGAGAAGAGAAGAGAAAAAGAAAAGATCGGGAGAGAAAAAGTGAGAAGGAAAATGAGAAAGAAAGTGGAGGTCGAAGGAAAAAAAAGACCTAAGACTTTGATACCATGTAAGTTGGATAGAGGTCGATGCCTCATTGTATTATACAGAGCCCTATATAAAGGGATTACACAATATAGATCAGGTAGGATCTTAGGGAATATACAAGATTATATTCTACCTAACTCAACTCAATACAAATTCGTATATATCTAGTCTAACATTTCTAACTAAGCTCAAATCAAGCATGCGGGATAATCTTTTCTTATTGTGGTTTCTAACTTTACAAATTTAGCAAGTTATGTTCTTATTGGACAAGAAACTGACAAGTGACAAGTGAAACAAACTTCCACACACGTGGTTTAATCTCTAGGGTTTTTTTTTGTAATGATTAGTGTTAAGAGAGTTCTAGCTTTGAATGTCTTTTCATTAAATGGATTCAAGCCACGTGGAATGCTCACGTTCCCCACTCCCCAGCCTGATCCGGGCACCTAATCCCGTTTTAAAAATGTCAGTGCATAGCCGAAGAATATTAGGGTTAGGTCTAAAACGGATATATTGGAGAAAAAATAGAGGTTGTATACGTGATCGGTCCTTTAATTATAAGATAATTAGTTTTATGATCCGTTTTCTTCTGTTTTTTTTTTTCTTTTTTTTTTTTTCCTGATATTCGATTAGCGTTTAGGGAAATTTAGAACATCAATATGTTATAGTTAAATAATGAATGATATAGAAGAATTTTTACTATTCATACACCTTGATTACTTATGTTTCATGATGTTTAGAAAAAAAAGAGATAGTAGATAAAAAAAAAGTAGCGAAGTTCTACTCCTTTTACCATGCGTATACGTACGTAAGATAGAATTATTCGCTCTCTAGCTAGTCCATTTTGATACATTGTATTACAAAATTATTAACACTACATGTTTTAGCTTTGAAAAAACATTTGTAATAGGGCATGACTCAACAATTGTGGGCTTCTTCATGGAACAAATTTGCTTTAGATGTATCTGGAAATTCTTCTTCGAGAATATATATCTCCTGAAATATAACATTGAGTATACATATTAAACAAACATATCAGCCTCTGTGTATATATACTAACTCATAATTGTAACGTGCAATTTCAGCACGATCTATATGAAAAGTATTTGTTGACATTAAAGAATGTTATATTTATGTTACATATAACAGAAACTATATTAGATATGTTACATAAAACAGAAACTATATTAGATTTTAAAATCAAAAAAGTATATTAGATTTTCGTGGAAAGCAAAAATAGCAAGAAATGACCTGATAAAAACTAAATGAATCCAAAAATTATGTATCATTATGAAGAATAAGTTTTGATAGATAATATTTAATAAACTAAAGTAAAGCCATATTTTTCTATAGTTTTTTATATTCCATTTAGTTTTGGTGACCACTGACCATAACTTATACTCCCTCCATATCAAATTAGTTGTCATTTTGAAAAAATGTAACTACAAATATTTGGATGTATTTGGATGTATTTGGATGCATTTAAAGGAGGGAGTATATGTTTATTTTTAATAATAGAAAACATAGAATTTTTATTTCAGTCTTTTTGTTTGTAATAAAAAAACTCAAACATTTTATCAGATTAAAGATCATTTTTTGTTTGTTAAAGCAGATTAAAGATCATATAAGATAGATATATACTGTCGTTGCAGTATATCTCTGGCCATGGAAAAATTTAAACAATTTTTGTTTACATGGAAAAATATGTCAAAACTATTATATAAACATATATGGATCAGAATTATTCATGTATATATATTGTTTATTATACCCACACACACACACACACGTACAGTATATCATAGCATAAGTGTGGAACTAATAACAATAATTTTAATCGTATCGTCAAATAGGTGATCGACAAGAGACAAGGTGGGACAAAAAAAAATTGACACTTTTTAGGATCAAGACTTTACTTTTGCTTCACTTCTATACTTCGTTTCAACAACACACAAATTAAATAAGAAAAAACCTCAAACCCATTTTCCAAATCTTTTTGATAAAGTTTATCTGTATTGTTGATATGAATTTAGCAGAAAACAAGAAATTTCAGACCAAAATACTTCAAAAATAGAAGAAAGAAGAAGAACGGGGTTTCGGAAAACGGGATGGGACCCACAAAACCCAACTGGCCTGCAACAGCAAATTGTGAGATTAATGATCGAAGCCTATCTCACGCCGGACCAGCAGCTGCCACGTCAGCTCATTCTTATGTCGGCCCCAGATTCGACTATTTTTCCAAAAACAAATTCGGTAATATAAATGGGTGTAAACGGAATTACGCCTATACGAATACGATTACACTTTTGAATTTGCCTGAGGATGAAAATGTTCAAAGAGAATGTGTGCATAATTACCTTTTCAAAGTATCATATATATATTTCGTTGGATATATAGGAGTACTATATTTAACGGGTTAGTCTTCAAGAAGATACATGCACTTTGACAAGAAATTAGGATGCTTCAAATTTAATTTCTTTGGAAATGATAATATGAATACAAATGCATACATATTGTATGTGATACAAATATTATTAAAGTGACTTAGTTTTTAACTAAAAAGTAAAGAAGACTTTGAGGTCTTCCGAACCTTTTGTTTGAATTCCACAAATACAAAAGACGACGAATTAGATGTGTTTGCAATGCTGATATATAGTAAAACATCTTATTGTAAATATGACGTAAATGGTGTCGAGAAATTTATCAATCAAACTAGTTGGAATCTAACACCAAATGTGTTTCTTTTGTTAAAATCGTCAAGAATTAACAGATTTTTGTTTAAAATTTTAGACAGTCTCCATCAAGAGCTGGTAGGTGGTAATGGAAGTTGCCATCTCTCTATCTCTAGATCTTGCTTGACCCACATATCCACCTCTGTTTTTTCCGAAGCTTTTGCAACAAATAAAGTCTCTCACTCGAGGTTAAAGGACACAGAGAGACTATGACTGAGAAGGACAGATAGAGAGAGACAAGGTAGATACATTATTAGGACACGGTTGTCTACTTTTGGTTGTGTCTTCTCTCTCTTCTCATCCTCCTTCTTCATCATCATCTGATTTTCTTTATTTAACCCAACTCTCTTTCTCTTTTCCCATCCTCTGTCTATCTCTCTCTTAATATCTCTTGGGATTCGATCTCTTTCCGGTGGCTTTCCCGATGATAACTGTCAAATCTTTCCATTTGCATAACATCTTCTTTAGGGTTCTCTCTCTCTATCTCTCTCCCTCTCCTAGCTCTCTCTAGCTAGCTCTTTCTAGCTCTAAGTCTATAGTATATTTCATGAAGTGTTCGATCTGTTCAAGTACAAGAGGAAAATTTTAATAGAATCTAGTCACATACAATAGTTCAAATCTTGAGATTTTTGAAGGGTTTGAGTTGAAACTGCCTGTTTTTGTGCTTGTTGAGGTATAAACCCTAACTTCCTTTGAAATCTCTACTACATCTTTGATCCTCTCGTCATCTCTATTTTTTTTTTTTTTTTTTTTTCTATTTAGATATTTTTACATATGTTTACAGTTTTATTTGCTTGAGTGTTGTTGCATTTTTTATCATTATCATCAATATAATGATGATCATCATCGTCCTCTCATCCTACTCAATGTTGCTGATGTTACAAGCTAAGCAAAATAACATCCTTAAGAGACTCCTGGGCTATGTTTCAGAGTACCTAAAATCATATATAAATACAGAAAAAATGATTTTTCTGTAAGATTTGTTTTGAATGATAAATTATAGAATTAATCTATTATAGATCAATGACCAACCTAGAGATATTTCTTCTTATCTTCTTCTTACTATGACCTTATTTTATGATCAACGTAGAGATATTTCTCTATGTTGTTTTTTCTTTTTCTTTTACCTAGCATATATGGTCTATAGTTGCAAGAAAAAAAAAACATTTACATCAACGATATGGAAGAGTTTCTTCCACCTTATTATCATATATGTTCATAAGAAACTATTGATTACTTTTTTTACCAAAAAAAGTATTGATTATTTTATTGTTATCCCTCTTTCATCTTCAAGGGTGCCATGTATATCAAAACCCATTTATTGGGATTATAATCGGCTGTTTTTATTTTCCAATTTTATTTTTTCTTAAGATGCTGCATAGATGTTTCTTGTTGCAACAAACAAAATCTCAAGGCACAAGCTTGTAATCACGACTTAGTTACACACATGAATGTTTAATATATATATATATATATATATGTGTGTGTGTGTGTGGGTATGTGTGTGTGTTTGTGTGTAGGTGGTTAAAATGTATATAGGTCCGATATCTAGCCCTATTTTATTAAAATGTGTCTACAAAAATTCTCAAATTGTATTTTCATGATCCTAATTTCTTTTCTTTTTTTAACAGTAAAGAAAGACTAAAGGATGAATTCGTTTTCAAATGTACCTCCTGGCTTCAGATTTCATCCAACTGATGAAGAACTTGTAGACTACTACCTAAGGAAAAAAGTTGCATCCAAGAAAATAGAAATCGACTTCATCAAGGACGTTGATCTTTACAAGATTGAGCCATGGGACCTTCAAGGTTTGGCCGGCAAATCCTATTATCTCTCTTTAGTAATATCATTTTGTAAGAAAAAGTCTTACGATCGCTGTTTCTTTCTTTAGAGTTATGCAAAATTGGAAACGAGGAGCAGAGTGAATGGTACTTCTTTAGCCACAAAGACAAGAAGTATCCCACAGGAACTCGAACCAATAGAGCGACGAAAGCAGGATTCTGGAAAGCCACCGGAAGAGACAAGGCTATATATTTAAGACATAGTCTTATCGGTATGAGGAAGACACTTGTGTTTTACAAAGGAAGAGCCCCAAATGGACAGAAATCGGATTGGATCATGCACGAATATCGCTTAGAAACAAATGAAAATGGAACCTCTCAGGTATTTATTGATCCTAACATATCTTTGACACATATAGTTTACTTGTGTTAGAAAACTTAAGTATACTTCCTCAAAATTTGACATTTTCTTTAGTATGTTTCTTCAACCGTATTTGCGTAATTCATCACATTATAAAGACACATAATTTCTTACTTTGCATTCTTTTTTTTTTTAATGCAAAAAACAAATATCAAAAGTAAATTGTTCAACTTTCATAAACATATAGTTTACATGCTATAAAAATGCAACTCAAACTTAATACATATCAAACAAATTAGGAGAACCATTGTTCCTTTTTGACCCAAAAATGTTTACTAAAGTTTATTACAATCAGTCAATCACACATAGCTTACATAGTTACATGTTATTACAAGTTTACTAAATTTTCACCATATCCGAATTCGAAATTTGTTGGTCTCACACTAAGCATGGTATATCACATGTCCCGATCCAAACTCTCTACTTAGTTATATATGAAAAATAAATTAATATCCACACTCATAAGTGATAGAAAAGTGTGTGCCTGTGATATTGTAGATGTTAATTATCGTATATAATTGATATATGTGTACAGGAAGAAGGGTGGGGGGTATGTAGAGTTTTCAAGAAGAGATTGGCTGCGACAGTGAGGAGAATGGGAGATTACGATTCTTCGGCATCGCATTGGTACGATGATCAGCTCTCTTACATGGCCTCCGAGATCGATTCCAACACTCCACGCAGGATTCTTCCCAATCACCATCATCATTATAACCGCCACCTTAACCATCACCAGCAGCCTTATGGCCTCAATGCGTCTTCAGGTTATGCAATCAACAACAACCCTAACTTGCGTTGCAAGCAAGAGCTTGAGCTACATTACAACCATATGGTACAACATCAACAACAAAACCAACATCTTCATGAATCTATGTTTCTTCAGCTTCCGCAGCTAGAAAGTCCTAACAGTAATTGCACCTCTCTACCTTATGGATCAAGCAACAACAATAATAACACAAGACATATTGGTAACACGCAGCAATCATCAAATCAAGAAAAACAATTGCAACAAGGGAATCAAAGTTTTAGCTCTCTTTATTACGATCAAGGATTGGAACAAGTTACTACGGATTGGCGAGTTCTTGATAAGTTTGTTGCTTCACAGCTAAGCAACGAGGAGGTTGCAGCCGCGGCTTCTGCTTCTACTTCTGCTTCTACTCATCAAAACAACACCAATACCGACGTGAGAAACACTGGTTATCAAGTGGAAGACGAGAGAATGAATTTGTTGGAGAATGATACGGAAAGAGTTGTTGAAATGAGAGAAGAGTATGCAAATGCTCATGCTCCTTCTACTTCTTCGAGTTGTCAGATTGATCTCTGGAAATAGTGATCAAAGTGATGAAGATGCAAGATGAGTATATATATATAAGTATACATGCACAATAGTGCTGTGTAGATGGTGATGGTGGAAGCAGATTTATAATTAAGATGGAAGGGGAAAAACATGGAGTTATTTCCCGGATTTTTTTTTTTTTTTTTTTTTTTTTTTTTTTTTTTTTTTTTTTAATAATCGTGGGGATCCTAAAGATTTTCTAGGCCCAAAGACTAATCCCACGAGGCCCACGGCAGTCCGCGTATTCTTACCATTTAGGGTAGCCCGAGTGGCCAAGGGGACTCGAACCCAAGTGGCGGAAATCACAGCTGTGACCCCTTTACCACTGGGCCACGAGGCCTTGGTTTTATTTCCCAGATTTCTGGAGGTTTTTGTACATAATAAAACCTAAGAAAGTATGGTATGGTATTTGGTCTCGACGATTCTTGTTTTATTATTGAATTATATATTTGCTATATGCATACATGTATCATGTATATGCATCATGTATATGCATCCTTATATATACGTATATAAACATATATATGAGTTATGATTTAAATGTGAGACCAATTCTCATAATAAGCAACACTTACTTGTTTATAGTAAGAACATTTTCTTCTTCTTATTTTTGATATATTGATGTATACTCAAATAGTTCAGTCTCTCATATTTTTTTTGGCTTTACCCTCATACTTTTACAGTTTTACCTACGTTTTCTTAAAAAAATAAGATTTCAAATCAACAAAAGAACATTAGAAGAGCTATGATACACTTATGTTTTCACCATTCGCTTACGAGTTACATGTGCATTACATTACATAAACCAAATGAAAAAGAATGAAATCTTTTGATTTACTCGATCTTACCATCACACTTAATTTCTTCCATATACCAAACGTAAAAAAGAAAGAGAAAAGAAAAACATACGTTCTAAGAACGTAATGAAATAAGAGATGTTTAACTTATATATATATATATATTGATCATACATACTGACATAGGTAAAACAAAGAAAAGTCCATTCATGTATATTATATACCAAATATTAATAAATAAATTACCTGCTGAGTTTAATTTAGATTGACTCATTTGAGTTGTGTTGATGAGAAACAATTTACAAGAAGCTTGAAGAGTTAGTATGTGAAACCCAGGAAGATTATATTTATCTCTAATGGAATGTGAGTGAGAAGTAAAGATGGCTTGAAGAAGATCAATGTTGTTGGAAACAAAACTGTTATGACATGTTGGTTCGAGAATATACATATATATAGAGAGACAAGCCGTGAAAAGAAAGGAAGATAACAACAACGCATGCTTTGTCAATTGTCATTAGTTGTTTTATAATTATATTGTCTTATTCAAAGGAGGCACAAAAGACAATATGTTAAAGGTAAAAATATGTTTTCCTGCAAGTCATTAACTCCTTAAGAGTATTCCACATCGAAAACGTGATGGGATTTGAGCGATATGTCAAACTTCTTTTAGCAATTAACAACTTAGTTTCATTTTAATTTTGTAAAGGAACATCATGATTTGGGCGTGCTGTTTGGGATTAGCACACGACACGGTCCCTGTCCAAGCGAAAGCGTCTGATAACACTGATTTTTTATCGTATGCAAGAATTAAATCATATACTGACCATTATTAGACTTTGACCAATATAGCATTACTCAGATTTAGGGAGTGTTACATAACTTACATGAGACAAAGTCACAAACCATGTGCCATGTCATCGTTAATGTTTTTGTAATTTAGGGCATTTTACGCCACAGACGACAAAACTCAAGATCTCAAGAGTTTTTTTGTTGTAGGCTTGTAGCCCTTTATGAAAAACAAAAGAACAAAGAGTTTTTAATTGGCCAGAAAGGTTTACAGTCTTTTGAACTTTAATTGTATCTTACGTAATTAAGTGATCATACTTACAAATGAGTGACTTATTCCACTTGCCACTTTACTAACTTACTAGACTAATACCCGCGCGTACGCGCATGTTTTTCTATAATTTGTGACTAATATTATAAAATTTTACCCAAAGAGTATTGGCATTCTAATTATAACTTGTATAATTAGTGAGTGTTTTTAACTATATATTTTTGCATTATATCATAGTTTTATGCCATCAATTTTCTTTGTTTACTTACCGCTACATGGAACCGACTCTGTTTCTCCTACATTAGATCTGTTTCTTCATATATTAGAAAATTTCAGATACTCCCTCCGTTTTTTAAAGATAAATTTTCTAGAATTTTCACACATATTAAGGAAAAACTGATTTTCAATCATTGATGCATAGATTTTTGCAAGAAAACAACTTTTTATAATTTTCAACCAATAATAGTCCAACAAATATGATTAAAGTTTCTTGAAAACTGAAAAAGTGCACCAAAAAGCTATAAATTTTATCTTTGTGAAACAACAAATAATGTCTAGAAAATTTATCTTAAAAAAAACGGAGAGAGTATTTAATAGCGATTAAAACGAGAAGTGAAAGGATAATAATTTTAAAGTAATATAGTGGTTTTAAATACAATGATTGAAATGTTTAAAGTTGTTAATTGATAGGAAAATAAAAAGTTATTAATCTAAATTTAAATTAGTTAATTGAAGGAAAATGAAAAGTCATAACACATGTCAATTGTTAGTGTGTCCACATGTCCAAATTATGGAGAGAGTTGGACTCTTTTCATATATATGATTCAGTCATTTGACAAATACAAATACATGTTAAATTCTTGATCCTTTTTTTTTTCCGATTGTGAGATTTATTTATTTGCATAACTAATTCCAAGTTAGTTTGACAAAAAAAATATATTTTAGTTAATCTTTTCCCCCCATCATTTAAGCTAAGAATTATAAAATCTTAAAGTTGTAATAGTATTCAAAAGCATCCAGTGCTGTTTTTGGTTCATAATAATTTTTCTTTTTTGATTCAAATGAAATTCGAATAACTTTTTGATTCGGATTACAGTCGTACTGATGATTTATCTATCTTACAGAAAAAAAAGAAGATTTAATCCTTTTTTAGGGATTTATTTTTCCATAACGAAAAAAGAGACCACCTTTCTCGTTACAGATTAAAAATATATTTTCCAAAACTAATATTTTTGATGGGCTTTAAAATTTAATTTGGTAAAAATGGGCTCAAAAAGCATATAAAGTAGAGTTTTGACACATTCTTCTTTTTCGTTCGCTTGCTTGCTTGTCATTCTCTGGTACGCTCTCTCTCTCTCTCCACCGGTTTGTATTCTTCGAATTCGACCTCTGATCTGACTATTCCCTTGTTCCTGAAGTTAATCTCGTTGATCCCTTTAGGGTTCGTAAGTTTTTTGTTAAACCACTGCTTCGATTTCGCGAGCCTTCCCAGAGATCTCTCATTGAATTGAATTATTTTTCTGGATTTTTCATGAATTTATTTCTCTGGATTTTTTTTTCTTATGCGGTATGCGTTTGAGATAAGTTATATAACTCTGTCAAATTTTGTTTGTGTGTTTAAGGTTTTGATTTTTGGAGAGAGATGATGAACAAGAGAAGCCTTGTGCCTGTAGTCAGAGATTTTCCAGAAACTTGTGGTGTCCGTGTCTTCCCAGATTCCGGTGATATTTGGAAGCAAGCCAAGTTTAAGAGGAGAAGTATAGGTGCACATAGAGACTTCCCAGAGTTCTTCAAGTTCAATGATGAATCATCAAATCATTCGCAAACCGGAATCCAAGAACCAGAACCGGTTCTTGAATCTAATGAAGGTGTTAAAGATTATCAAGAGAAGGAAGAAGTTGTAGGAGAAAGCGAAGATAAGTTAAAGCAGAGTCTTGAATGCTCTGTTAACTCAACCGTTGAAGCTCAGGGAGATGATGTTGTGAACACGGCGAAGAGGGTTATTGTTTGTGGACTCGCGGCTACGTCGAAATGTCCTTGGAGGCAACCGAAGAAGCGAGGAGGCTCGAGAAAGGTGAATGATTTGAGATGATGAGTTCTTGAATTTTATGGTATTTGGTTTCAAGAAAATCTTGATTGCAAGGAGAAGAGAAGTGGATAAAATTACTTTCACTAAGCTATAGTTTTACTGTTTTAGTTAGTAAAATTATTTGCTTTGGCTCTTTTGATTGAGGTTTCAGATTTTTTGACAGGAATCTAAGTACAAAGTTTAAGGATTTTAGCAAATTTGATTCAACTTTTGTTACCTAAAGATCAGAGCTTTGTTACTTTTTCATGTTGATTATGTTTACAATACTTAACCAGAAACTGAACCGAGTCTTGAACCGAACGGAACCGAGATAAAAACACACAAACCAAATACGTTTAACAAGAACTGACAGTTAAAAGTCTTTGATCCTTTATCAAATTGGGCAAAGAAGCTGAGACTGTAGACACATTTCGACATTAGAAAGAGATTAATACTAAACCAGTAACCGAACCGAACCGAAATTAATAACATGAAATGTATCAAATTGAAACATATTTATCATACTTAAATCTTTATCAAATTGGGGATTGAAACTGAAATTTCCAAGCAAAACCTATTTTGTTAATCACTTGTTTTGTGTTCAAGTGTGACACAATCATTACGGTTTGTTGCCTTGTTGGGTTGGATTATATTTGGTTTACGATTAAAAATAATAAACCGGAATTAAACCGGTTTTGGTCGTGTCTCTCTCAATAAAACATTTCATTTCAGGATTCTCCAAATAGACAAAGCAAAGAGCCGAAAACGATGCAGAAATCGATTGCGATTGCGATTGCATCGACGGCGAAGAGATCTCTTCACCGGAGGAATCTTCTACAAAAAGGTAAACCCGAAACCGCCCCCACTTCTCCTTCGTTTAGCCATTGCGGTTTCTGCTGTTACTGGGAACGAGCTTTCTCTACCGTGATTGACTTCAGAGAGAGACTGAGCAGAAATCGGCTCCGTGACATAAACCTAGACGACGCAATCGATTTGTTCACCGACATGGTCAAGTCTCGTCCCTTCCCTTCAATCGTCGATTTCAACAGATTGCTGAGCGCCATTGTCAAATTGAACAAGTACGATGTCGTCATCTCTCTGGGGAAGAAGATGGAGATTCTGGGGATTCGAAATGATCTCTACACATTCAACATTCTGATTAACTGTTTCTGTAGCTGCTTTCAAGTCTCTCTCGCTTTATCTCTTCTCGGCAAAATGTTGAAGCTTGGTTACGAGCCGGATAAAGTCACGCTCGGCTCTCTTGTGAACGGATTCTGTCGCCGGAATAGGGTTTCTGAAGCGGTCTCTTTGCTTCATAGGATGGTGGAAATTGGATATAAGCCTGACATTGTTGCTTACAACACGATCATTGACAGTTTGTGCAAAACCAAACGAGCGAACGAAGCTCTCAGCTTCTTCAAAGGGATTGAGAGGAGAGGTGTTAGACCGAATGTTGTTACCTATACCTCTCTCGTGAAGGGACTTTGTAATTCCGGGAGATGGAGCGATGCAGCGAGAATGTTGAGTGAGATGATGAAGAGGAAGATCAGTCCTAATGTGATTACTTACAGTGCATTGGTGGATGCGTTTGTGAAAAAGGGGAAGGTTTTAGAGGCGAAAGAGCTGTTTGAGGAGATGGTGAGAATGTGTATTGAGCCTGATGTCGTCACTTACAGTTCGTTGATCAACGGGCTTTGTATGCAAGATCGGATTGATGAGGCGAGTGAGATGTTTGATTTGATGGTGAGGAAAGGTTGTTTCCCTGATGTTGTGAGTTACAACACTCTGATAAACGGATTTTGTAAGGCGCAGAGAGTGGAAGATGGTGTGAGACTGTTTAAGGAGATGTCTCAGAGAGGTTTAGTTTGCAGTACAGTCACTTACAACACTCTGATACAAGGGTTTTTCCAAGCAGGGGATGTTGATAAGGCTCAAGAGTTTTTTAGTCAGATGGATTCTCCTGATATTTGGACGTATAACATTCTGTTAGGTGGTCTCTGTGACAACGGGGAGCTAGAGAGAGCGTTGGTGATATTTGAAGATATGCAAAAGAAGGAAATGGGTCTTGATATCGTCACGTATACTACTATTATCCAGGGGATGTGCAAGGCTGGTATGGTTGAAGAAGCTTGGGGTTTGTTTTGTAGCCTCGGCGTCAAAGGAGTGAAGCCTGACGTTGTGACATACACTACGATGATGTTAGGCTTGTTTAGGAAAGGGCTACATGGTGAAATAGATTCGTTGTATATGAAAATGAAAAGGGACGGGCTTATGCTGAATGACGGCACGTTGTGTCTTAGTGATGGTGACATAACTGCGTCAGCTGAACTTATCAAAGAAATGTTGAGCTGTGGCAATGCACCGTCTTTACTCAGAGGCAGAGAATCTAAGGGATGCAGCAAAGTTGTGTCTATCTTGTGATTGTTACTGCAGTTTGGGTTTTGTCCTGCAAATTCATCTGTTCCAGTCGGTAGTTCTCTCGATCAAGCTGAGAGATATTCAATTGCTCCAATCAAGCAAGTGATTATCTTCTTCAGTCAATTATTATTCGTTGGGGACCGCATTTGGATTCTTCACGCATCCTTCAGTACTTATTGGAGATTCTGGATACAGTTTAGGCATTTCAAAGGGATTCCTAGAAGATTTTTGTGCTCCGAGATTGGTAGCACCTCGATTGGCGGTGCTGATAAAGCATGGTTCATCATCTTATCTCGACCTACGAGGTGAAATTTCTTTCTTCATTGTGATGATTCCTCCTTGGTTTGAAAATTTACTTGAAGATATATCACTTGCTGCTTCTCATAACTGGTGGAAGTGTTACTATGGATGAACTTAAACACATGAACGACCTTTGTTGTTTTACAATTTGCGTACTCAAACTGGTCTTGTGGTACGTAATGCAGGTGCTCAAGAACAAAGGAATGTAGGAACGGAGAAATGTATTTGGTTACTGGTTTCTCAAGCTAATCAAGAATTCAAGATTTCTCTCGACGCTTATACGCATAAGGAATGTAGGAGAAATGCGCTGGCAGAGGTTAATGTAAACCTACGATATTTAGCTATTCGTTGGAAAAAGTAGAAAAAAAGGCATCAGTTGGTAAATTTTTGTAGGGAAAATATAATCAGATTCGAAGATAAGATTTGTGCAAATGTAAGAAAAAGGCTGATAAGCAGTGAAGTCTATAAGATATTATAATTAAAGAAAGTGATTCCATTTTAGTCTTGTTTTGTTCCTTTTGGTGTAGTTTGACGTTTTACGGTTGCCAATTCTAGTCATAGTGTATGCCAAAGTTATGCGTTTGACAGAGTATATAATATTCATGGAAACGAAGTGGTGGAAAAGCACTCATCGTGAAGGCAAGAAAGTCAATGCTTCTGATTTAATTCTTGCTCTCTATCTTGACTTTTCTTCTTTCGCAATATTTATCACTTGCTTGCAAACTGCTCCATGGTTTTTTTTTGTTTGTGACTCTCCTCTTGGTGCCTGTTCAACGATGGGAGGTTGTTTCTCTTGCTCGTTGTCATGTGATCATGTGGTGGATCAAGTCACTCGATGGTTATGTGTCAAACAGAGTTATATCCACTATCTGGAAACTAGTTTCCTTGCCGACCGGAATATGGAAACTAGTTTCCTTGCAATATCTTAACTTGTCATGTACCGAGACACCTATGCTTCTTGAGCCTCTCACATGTGCATATACGGGGGGATGCCAATGGCTAAAGGAACTGACGTGGCTCATGTTTGCTCCAAGTCTTACACATGTTAACGTGAACTTTTCAGATCAACTAGAAGATATAATAAGCGGAGAAAAGGCTACTAGTGTATGTGAAAACTCTGGGATTGTTGTTCCTTTTCAAAAGCTGAAAATTCTACGTTTGTTTATATTACCGGAGCTGCATAACATCTATTGGAGTCCTCTGCCTTTTCCCTGTTTGGCAACAATCGTAGCAAATGGATGTCCAAAGTTGAGAAATGCTCGTGAAGCAGACATACTCCTTTTGTTGCATATCAAATAATGTATAATATGATTCTGCATTTTTGGACTCATACATTTTTGTATTTGAGTTCACTGGATTGTTTTGTAAGCCACCTAAAGATATATATAATGGGATGGATTGTTCACTGGATTGTTTTGTCACAACTCACAAGCAAGACTTGTACTGACTAGTAATGGGATGGCATGTTGATGTTAGAGCATCTCCAACCAAACTTCATATTTCACTTTTTTTTTTCACATTTTTCAAAGAAATGTTTTTACCCTACCATCATTTTTTTTTTGAAAATGAAAAAATGAATAGCAATTCTTCAAATATTAATTAAATGACAATTATAAAAACATAACCAACATAAAATTTAAAATACATAATGTAATAAAAATACATAATCAATTACCTTATATACGATTCCATTATTGCTATCGTAAGCATATATTTCCATGAAGTTGTTCACTTTGTTGATGTTTTGTAATTTCTTATAGAAAATTTACACTCCAAGCGGTTCTGAAATCCAATCCAGCACGCACCCTAGTATCATGGGGTCGGAATACTTCCCGTCGAGCTCAACGATGAACCGTAACGTGTGGAAAGAAATGAAGAGCTAAACACGACGAACCACACCGGTGCAAGCTGAGTCGCAACGAGCTACGGCGAGCAAAGTAGACGACGAGCTAGATCACAACGAGCTGGAGCTCACGCCAAGGACACGACGAAAGCTACGTCCGGCGAACCAAGCTCATGCGATGGAGAGCTGGGCCGAATCATTGCGCGCTATGGGCCAAACTAACGTCCGCTAAGTCGATTTGAGCTGAGGCCCAGTAAGGACGTGTGGTTCGCCCTAAGAAGCAACTAGAGTCAAACCGACGCGCCGCAAAGGATAACAACGAATCTTAGGAATATCTTGAGAAAGTCGGTCCTAAGTAAATATAGATCGAACCGAATGAGTTCGATCATCACTTTTTCATTGCAAAACGCTTTACACTTTACATCAATAAAATCACCATCTTTGGATCCTCGTTTGTGTTACTCTCAGAAATTCTAGTTCCTCTCTTAATCACATCCTTTGAAACTATTGTGCGGATTTCGGTTCACACAATCACCATGTTTTGTGAAGACCAATACGGCCACCCTTAATGCAAGATAGAAGATTTCTTTTTGTTTCAGCTCATGGCAAACTGATTAATATGTTTGTGGAAATGGCTTATGACCAGGTTGACACCACAGTGACATTTGTTTTTGGTACAAAGCCTGTGCTTTTTGAGTAGAATCAATCTTTTATGTTTTCTTTATTTATTCGCATGTGAAAAGCAAACTAAACCGTGAATGCTTAGTGATAAACCATATTTATAAATAGTTAAAGATGTCTAATGATTCGATTATTAAGATATTTGTTTAAGGATTTTCATAAGTAGCAAGGTTCTTGCAAACCTATTATTTCTTGTGATAATGATCAATCGACAAGTCTTATACAAATTTATGCACTCAAGGATCCTATTATTTCTTGTTGGAAAATTTCAATATTTAAAAACAATTATTGATCATCCTTTTAAAACCTTAAAAAGACTTGTCAATTGATCATTATCATAACTCTTTGTCAATATTACGTCGGATTGGCTCAACATATCTCTTTCAGAATTGGAGCAATGATCAATGAACGAATCCGAAGCTTTTTCAAAGAAAGAAGAATGAAATGTTCATTTTTCTTGTTCCCCCAACAAAAAGAAAGAAAAAAAAGACTCACTCACATGAATATGATGATTGATGAATCAATCACACAGATCAAATCAGACCCATTACATGACAACAATCAAAAGACTAAACAAATATAAATGAATAACAAAAACAATCATTTGTAACATAATCAGGTGCTGTCGTCTGCAGAGTAAGGACGAATAAAAGCATTGTTCATTTGCCACACCCTAAACGACGCTGTAATGGTCGCATCAATGGCGTTATTGAACAAGAAAAGCTTTGTAGCTCCATAGATGGCTTTTGTCGGATATACCCTTGAGGTAATGCATGTTCTTCCACCTTGTCCAAATCCTTCTACTATCGAATGATCCACCTATATATACATTCAAAGTTGAAGTTGATCACAACGCAATTATATGAAGTTTTTGTTTCTTGTTTTTTTGTAAGAAACAATTAATTAAAGCTAATAACTTACCAAGATTCTCATGGTCAATTTTTCTCCTTTCAGGACCGGTACGAAACTTCCGTATACCGGTTTCACCACATCGTTTGCTTTGGTCGACCTATTAAAACATATTTTAAAAATTAACCACATATCAATATTTCGTTAAAATTTAACATCTGGTACTTTCGAAATATGAATTTGCTATACATTTTAAACTTTATAATGGCTAAAGAAAAAAAAGGATGAATTATATATACAGAAGTGAGAATTTAAATAATTGTTTTGAAGAAATTACTTACCTTGAGGTGTCAGTGCAGAAGAATGTTTTGAGTTTTGAATCCTTTCCCTTGGTCACATAAAAGTAAACCGGAGTTTGCTCCGACAAGCTTTGGTCAGCAAGAACTGAGAATCCAAAAGGCCCTAAAGCCCCACGCACGGTGGAGCCTTTGCTTGTTTCGCAGCTGAATTCTTCGTCGGCCTCCAAGGAGTCCTCTCCAAAGATTACTTCGAGATCGTCTTTCTTGATCTTGAACTCAGCCTCTATGTCTAGCTGAGCGGCGGGACCCACCTCGACCGGAACCACCGTCCCTGGTCCAACCTTCATGTGGAACTTCTTGCTGGTTAATCTTAGAGATTCAGTTTCCTTAACTGGCCATTGAACCAAGTTCTTCCCCGTCTTCGTGTCCAAGACAACAGTTCTTGGGATGCCCTGATCATGATTAAAGCAAATTTAAGCCCTAACTTAGATCGCAAGTTACAAGTTACCTCAAAGCCCTAACTTCCGTAGCACGTTAGTTAAAGAAATTATACCTGAACAGAAGACCAACCCTTTTGTACGTCAGATGATTCGCTGTCAGATTCTCCGATCCAACCCCATAAGATTCTTCGTTTCTTGTGTTGATCATAAAACGTCTTCGATGCATAAAATTTACCGTAATCGTACCTCAAACCGGTACTAATCCCCACATCGATTTTAGGATTATCAGGGACCCATGTTCCTTTAGAATCACTGTACGTCCCAATGGCGTAATGATCGATTCTAGTATCGTCCATGCTAGCCTTGATCACATGCTTCACATCCGGTCCATTGACCGATGTGTCAAGACCATTAGCTTTAGTCTTCGACACCGGGTAAAAGTCAATGCACTCCCACATTCCGGTGTTTGGGACTTGGTGCAACAAGGTATCGAGTTGCTCGTAGGTCTTGAAATCGGTAGTGTCATAAACGATTGATATTCCAGTTCTATTGATTTTGGAGCCAATCGTGATCCTCCATTTACCGGCTGATGTCTTCCACGCCGTTGTTGGGTCACGGAAGTCCTTAGCACCGATACCTGGCGGCGGTACAAGAACCGGGTTGCCGGAGTATTTGGTCCATTTCAACAAAAGTGGATCTTTGGGGTCTTCAGGATAGGCAAGATTTTGAACCTACAAATATAATAATTATTATTAATATATTAGTGGTCCAAGCAAATTTATATTAAAAAGTTACATAAACGAATTAAGATCTAATTAGAACAACTATACTTAAAAATTCATTACCTGAACGAATTTGTCGGTGGAGCCGGTGTAGAGCATGACAATAGAACCATCATCGAGGAAAGTGGCCGAACCGGTCCAAACGCCGTTAGCGTCGTACCACTGGTCAGGAACCATGGCCAACGGGAGGTAAAGCCAATGAATGAGGTCCTTTGACACGGCGTGACCCCAAACAATGTCACCCCACACGGCTGCATTTGGGTTGTATTGATAGAAGAAATGGTACCATCCCTTGTAGTACAATGGACCTGGACAAATTTTTAACATTTCATTTGTTTAGGATCAAAATGAACGTTATGCAAACGTAGTGATATTTTAGTTCATAATGAAATAATAGAGACAGACCAGGTCAAAATGTAGCATAATGCATGATAAAGATAGGCCTAGCATAATGATAAAGATTCATTTTTGGTCAAATGGATAATGATAAAAATATGTATATTAGCATATTAACTTCATTTTAATAAAAAGATTCATTTTAACTTCATATTAAAAATGGTTATGAAGCATAAATATTTCCAAAAATAAAATAATTACGATCGAATTGAGTATATTAGCATCTAGAAAGTATTATGCTGGCTTAAAATTACTAAATATAATCTAAGTTGTTTTCTTCTTCCTTTTTGCCGGGCTAGTTTTCTAGAGTGGAATTACAACATTGGCAAAATCTATTAAAAATTATTATAAACCAGTTCATGCTGAGATGGTAAAAACACAATCTATATGTGGACGGACCAACATTTTTTTTTTTTTGGTCGAAAGTGGACGGACCAACATTGTCACAAATCAATAGTAAAAAGCAAGTTTTTACTAAATAAATCCCCACTATAAAGTACGACGTTTCAAAATGCGATTGGGTTGGTAGAACGAGTCAATCATATCACAAAATAGACTCTCAAACACACTAATGGCCAGTAATGGGCAAGCAATGATTTGTACAATTTGCACATGACTCACGTGGTGTTTACATAACAAACAAAACATAAAAAAAAAAAAAAAGGAACAAACATTATTGGCTTGCATGACTTTCTGTTCAGATTTTGTCATGTACTTTCATTTCACATTTTTAGGTTGTAAATGTCTTACAATATTTATTTTCCAATTTTTTTTTGTTCATTGGCATTAAATGTGGTCCGTAAACGACGAACCGTGTTTTCATGTATCTACCAATAATTTCGTTGGGTTTTAGATATATCTACCAATAGTGAAGCTAGCCAATCATGTCTTATGGAGTAATATGTTTTCCATATTTTGCATTACAATTTTGTTTTTTCCATATTTGATATGAATAAACAAGGTCAAAGGAAAATGTATCTACTTTTTTTTTTTGGTCAACGAAAATGTATATACTTTAAAAAGCACAAAAATAGAACTAGAAGACTTCAATGTAGGATCTAGAGCTTACCATTAGGATCTGCAGAGGGATCAGAAGCCACAATTTTGCCATTCAGAAACGCCAATCGAGTAGGTATACAAAAAAGAGCAAAAAAATAAATACAAAATGAACAATTAAATCTTCTATAATAAAAAAAAATAAAAAGTGACAGTGAAAATGTACGATCCCGAGTTGAAAATCCTCAGGAGTCGAAACTATAAATATTGACCTTAAGTTATAGTCTAACTATATAAATCGTTATGAAATTCAAATAAAATAAAAACATATAGAAAAAAAGTGAAATCATATGATGTTGTTTGGAAAAAAAAAAGGGGAAACACTTTTTATACTCTTTTAGCTATATATATACGAAATTTAACAGTCGAAAAATATATTAACAAATTATTCATAGAATTAATAAAATAGTCTTTTTTTTGTTCATACCGTTCATCCAGTTTTTCTCAGGCTGGAAATGAAACGCCGTTCGTTGCCACGACAACATAGTATTGTTCCACGCAAACGCTTCTGTTTTCCGATCATCGGAAAGTCCCGAAATCCGTTCGTTGTTCTTCTCCGACACGCCGGCCAAACGAGCACGTGACACCGCCGATGTTTCATGGTTGGCGTCACTATTGCGTGCGGATCCGCTGTGTGTGACGATGACCGTGACGTACAAAGAGATCAGCAGAAAACCTGAAAAGATAGCAAGATAGACTGTGTTGGGTCTTCTCCGTCGGGTCTCCGGGATCGAGTCGGATCCTGAATCGGATAATGGATCTTGTTGGGAAGTGACCGGCAAGAGAGACTCAGAGCTCGCCATTTCTGTTCTGTTTTGGTTTCTTTAGATTTGATGGTTGTTGTTAAAGAAATATGGCAAAGTCCAATTTATATATCGGAAATTTAGCTCAGAAGGAATAAAAAAACACAAATCTCAAAATAAAAAATTATTAAATCAGACAGGTGGGGAGTTTAGATAGAGAACTGGATTGGGTTGGCAATTTGGAGCTGTAATTTTTATATATCTAAGATTCATATTGACAGACTACAAGTCAATTCTTTTTTGAGTTTTTTCAATAATTACTTAGTAATATTTATACTCCTTTTCTTTTTTCCCTATCACTTCATATACCCTACAATGTTTTTGATCCTTACCCATTCCAGTAATTATATTGTTTTAAAATTCTTCACACAAATAAAGAAAAATATTTATATATAAGTTTACTATATATATTTAACAAAACTTAAATAAATAAAAATAGATATATAGTTCCAAATGATACATTATCTTTGTAACAAGATATAACATGTTACTTATTATCTCATTTAAAATATAATTTACCTTTAACTTTCTAGTTAATATGATAACAATACTATATATGTTATGCAATGAATTGTGCTTACACAACAAACAATATAATACATTTCTAAACTAACATAATATGTTGAGTTTATAATGTGTTAAATTATGTAACACATCAACATCAACCTACTACAATTTTTTTTTTTTATTACCAATGCTGGTCATAGTAGTCAAAAAGAAGTGTACCCCCCCCCGTATTTTAATCTATTAATTCACCCACGTTTTACTTGGTGTCTATCAAAGGGCCAACCTAATTTATATGTCTTGATTAGTAGTCCTTTTCAATTAAATACATATTGATTATTATTTTTGAAATTTTGTCCATGTCACGCCCCTGAGTGTTGCACTTGGACCACTAGAGCTCGTTTATTACACTCCGTAAACTATCAAAGACTTGTTTTGGTTGATATTGTTAATACATGTGGATAACGGTTGAATCATTGATATCTGCTAAAGTTAGTTACTAAAGCCATGTAGTATCTCTCTTTTTGTGTAGTTTCCCTCTTTTCGTTTCTCTTTATAAAATAATCTAGAATCATACTTATTACTTAGATAAAAAACAAAGGGCACGAGGAACGCGAGCGAAGGACGGGCCAACCACTAATTTGAAGCTAGACGTTTTTCTTGGGAACATATCAAATATTTAAGTAGAAGAAAGTTTACAAGTTTTTCTTAGGGAAGTAGGAACATGTTTACAGCAAGATCTCAGATCTATTCTTTCTCCAGCAGAAAACGGTGATGCGATTAACATGAATAATAATACGAAACACGTCTGCATATATAGATGTATCGTAATGTACATCAGACAAATGTGTTTGGTCAGGCCACGTGAAATTTTTCGTTTTTCTATATCACATATATGAATAAAATCTTATCACGATCGTTGTTTGATATAAATACTCTCATCACGATCGTGTCACATACCTGTACCCAACAATGATGAAGATAAATGATTGACTCGAACGGGTTTTAGTCTTAAAATACATTTGGAGGAAATTTTTTAATTTAACGTTGATTTGAAGTCGATTGAACAAATAGAGCAATAAAAGTTATCATGATCAATATGCTAGAAACTGTCATTGAACATCTTTATAGGCTATAATCTTATTTGCTAAAATTTGTTAGAAATTGGCATCATATATGTCCATTGACCAAAACAGTTTTCAAAATGTTTGATGGAAAAAACCGGAATTTACATAGCCTAGCTGCAGCTCTAGGTCCAACACAAAAATTTGATTTGATTTTTTCATCTAACTATTTTCAGATCTAACTATTTGATTTGATCTGTTTGTGTTTTCTCTGGAATTATGTATGAGTAGTTTATAATTAGTTTTTATGTTTTTTAAAAAATTGATAAAGAATTATCTGTTGGCTTCTACATCTAAAATTGTATTCAATTAAAATAGAAGACAAGATCTCAAATAATAATACGACAAGATCTAATAATTTTTGGACGTGGAAAGACAGAGCCCATTCGGTCTCTCACAGAAAAAGACGTTCTCTTGCTCCATCTAAAATATACAACAATCTATTACTATTATGTTTGTCTCCAACTTCTGAAAATGATCCAAGTATTATCCAAAATAAGAAGATGTTATCGCTGACTTCTGTTTTGTTTCAGCAATCAAGATGAAAAAAATTAATTTTCCACTGAAAACAGAGTCATTGCTTGTTATGGTAGGCTAGATTAATTTTTTACTTAGGATTAACTTCATGAATTAATTTTTTACATAGGATTATATATCCAGAGTTAAAGCCTTTTTGCATTTTTACTTAGGATTAAACAGTGTTGGCATGGTCCTTATAAGACAAGTTGAACGTTATTCTTTCCATTTTAGTGACGGATCCTTAATCACCCACATATAATAGTAAATAAATACATACTTTCTCTAAATTCTGATTGCTTTGGATCGGAATGTACAGCTCGACATCCTATTTAAAAATTGTAATGCAAAAGTACAAGCACGATTGCAAGACAAAACATCAATTATTATTATTAACATGATACTCTTTTTGTTTCTTTCCGTTTCAGAAAAAGTTAGTGTATATCAAATGATTCTGATTTCCAGCATATACTATATCGTTATAGTTAATCCTGTTCGGAAACCTAATTATGATTTGTAAATGTAAAAAAAATACACAGATTAAGCATACAGGCTCCATTAACCCAACTAATTAATCTGATTTTCTGTTGACAATAGCCAACTAACTCAAGACAATTGTGTTTTTTTTTTTTTTTTTTTTTTTTTTTTTTTCTGATGATGAACAACTATTAAAGTGTATCATGGCATTTTGATCATTGGTGATTCACACGATACTAACTAATTAACTAAATCCAAGATCTGTTTTCATTTTATGATCTAAGAGATATCAATATCTCACAGTTTCAGACTTTTATACTTTGCCATATACAATTATTGGGCATTAAATGCCAATGAAGCTTGGTAGAATCGTGACCTAAGCTGACATGGATCTGACTCAGACGAACACGTTTATTTTCATCCTTTCTTGTCTTCATGTTATCTGTCATTTGGTACACACCGAAGAACAACTTCTATTTTTTTTCTTTAAATTATTGTTTATATATTTTACGGTTTTAATTGACAACTAGTGAAATTAATTTATACTATAGTTTAGAGTTTTCTCCAGAAACTGAGTGCTCATACCTCATAGACTTAAAATAACTCTATGATTAGAAAAACGTAAGGAACTAATGATGCGCCACATATAACAATTTTTTATACGCCATCAGAACATGCACATGGATTAGATAAACGTAATGATGCAGTAAATACTCTTTATTTGAAAAATTAATACAGATTGTAGTCTTCGTGTCCAGTTGTGGAAACCTTTAGCCTAGTGGTTAAAGGGATTTAATACTTCTACATAGGTATGAGTTTCGAATCGCGGCGGATGCGATTTCCTAATAATTTATACAAATTATTGGAGACAAGCTTACATGAGGTCTACAGAATGGTGCACATGGAGCCGTCGGCCAGGGAGCCTTTGAAGATTATTGAATTGTCTTGTAACAGTTCTCATATTTGTATATTAGATTAGTCAATCTAGTGTTAAAAAAAAAATCTTTGTGTCCATTGTCAATTCCCTAAGATCCTCTATGTGCCTAAGTGTCATGCTTTTATTGCATATACATAATAGCTAAAAAATTATCACATAGAAAGAAAAAAAAAACATCTTATATGTGGTAATACAAAAACTAAGAATAAATTATAATATTTTATATGTAGATGTAATTTTTGTTCTTCTGCCCTTCGTAATTTGTGTGTGAAGGAAGCGACCAGATCAAGCACTTGTTTTCTTCGCTGATAATTGTCGTCTCTTATTACGCCTGACGGAAGCTCCTTCAGATATCTTTGTTTTCGTTGGTTCTTCTTACAAAAAGATGTGTTTGAGCTTTAAACGAATTCATAATAGATACTTCAGCCAAGAAGTTTAGATACACCAAAATTGCTGGTAGTAGTAAACACAGACCTGTTTCAAATTGCTGGTAATAAAGTCAAACCTTTTTCAATTCGCTGCTACGAAAAAAATATCTAAATACGGATGATATTATCTTTTTTTTTTTTTTTGATAACCCAGGTGTCCGGTTCACAAGGGGTCTTGGACACGAGCCATATAGCTCTCCCCGAAGGGGTCCTGGACGCCACAGATGGGTGACGACTAGCGCTGTATCCAAGGAAACTGGCGTGATCCTGGGGGCCCGGAGGGACCATGTGAAAACTCCGGTGGCCAAGGGGAATCGAACCGTGGGCACCATATTGGGATTACCCCCTCAAGTACCACTGGCCCAACCCACCTTGATAAACCTTCAAAATATGTAACCCTAATTTCAGTTATTGATATATATTATCTAGCTTGAAAGTTTAATAAAAAAACATTTTCTCTTTCAAGTGTTACTTCTGCACCACAGTTAATTCATTGTATACGTAGTTTTGATCTATTAGCTTGATATCGTCTGATCCATTTCAGACTCTGAGTTTTTACTTTTTAGGTTTCACATTTCGGTTTGGACGATCACATATAGCATCGAATGTATCTTTCTTTTTAGGACAATTACGTTGAAATGAAGAATTTGTAGTCGAGAGAAGAAGATTAATAAAGACACATTATTATCACGTACACATTATTATTTGTTTAGACGATAGGATACAGAAGGCATATACAATCAAGGATCGACAACCTTCTAGGACACATACATAAGCCATCAACAAACTTATTCAGATACTGGCATTTTTTTCACATACACAAATTAAACACAACAATTATTGAAAATAGGGCAAACAACACTTAGGTACCTCCGTACGTGATATCATCTTTGGATATGCTTGTTTAGGCACTTGTAACCGCTACAAGAGAGCTCTTGTGGCATATAATAGAGCATGCCTTGGTGCATTGCTTAACCGCTCCATTCACAATTTCCTTTGCGTCTACTCACCGAA